CGCAAACTCCGTACGCGAACGGAATTCCCGATAAAAATAAATGAAGCAACTGCAAACCTTGTCAGGAATAGAGTTCTCCAGTGGTAAACGACCGTATGCTCATGCTGTTCTGAAAAATTGCCGTTGGCGCTCTTTCCTCGTCGTGGGAAAGCCCCGGTATCGGTTCCACGGATCGTGCTACGTTTCGTACTGGGTTAAAATCGAAATTAAAACTCCGCTTCGTCGTCGTGCCGTTACCAAAACTTTCCTGTAATACCTCCGGGCGCGCGGTATTTTTCATTGCAATTTTTTCGTCGCCAAATATGTTATTCCTCGGGTGTAGCGATCCCAGGGAACGTTTTTCGTTGCAAACGAATTATTCGCGAACAATGGTCCGTTGAATACGTAATACGAAAACCGTGGCGGATTTTCGATAGAAGCAAATGAAGCGATTAGAGGGCTCGTCGGCGATAGAACTCTCAAGTGGTAAACGAGTGGATGCTCTTGCCGTTCTGAAAATCTGCCGACAGCAAAATAGAGGAAAAATCCAGCGTCAATTTCGCGGTCGTGGCGCATTCACGTCGGGTCGGGGCCAAAATTAAAACACCGGCGGTTTCGTCGTTCGTATCGTTATCGCCTGAAGCGTATTCTCGTTTTTACGCTGGTGCACTTGTGCAGACAATTTTCACGGTACCGAAGGCTTAATCGCGTCACGGGCTGGCGTACAGGAATCACGTTTCGCCGTTCGGGAATGCAAATTCCCAACTACGTCAGCCATTCATGCCCAGGAAACGTCGATGGATATATACGCGGCTGAAGATGGGAACGTATGAATAAATAAATTTTCTGCGTTCCGGCTTTGTACTTCTAAGGCTCTCCCTGTCATTTACATTGCAATTTTATACGGTTTCGACGTACAGAAAATAATGCAAAGTATATCTCACAAGGGGAGGTCACGACCTGTCAATTTGGGATTTGAACCAAATTTGGTAGAGTTGTAGGGGCTGATGTCCAAATGTGATCTATAAAATACTAGACGTTTATGGCCAGCCATTTTTGAAAAAAATGACTTTAAAGTTTAAAATTTCGAAGTTGTCGGATCGAATTCGTTTTTTTTTAAATTGCAGGTCTCGACGAGAGGCTAACACAAACGTCCAATACATTTTTACCGTATTTTAACGTCGAAGAATTCGGCCTGGAAGGTTCTTCATGTTCCTGAAATGTGTGCATTCTGTTTTTTTTTCTTTTTTTCGCTTATTTTTTATTTTTATTTATTTTTAATTTTAATTTTTTATAGTATAAAAAATGTTGGCTGTTATAAATAAATAATATACTGTTATGGTTATAAATGTTTATGTTCACACATATTTACACACATATTTTCACATATATTTACATCTCACGTATAAATAAATACAAAAAGTAGATAATTATTTTATACCAGTTTCACAATGCATTGTATGATTTTTATCATAAAAGCAAGAAAAACAAAATGGTTTCATACACCAAGCACAGGTTATAAATGCTTGTTCTGTGCAGCATCTTCTATGTCGTGTGGAAAACATATTTGATTCACGTTACAAAATATTCCTTTTTCATGGTCTGGAGGGGTGAGTTTAAACACATACCATACACATTTAATCATGTCGATAAAAATTGGAGCAGAACAATATTTTATTTATCTATTTATATATTTTATTTGTCAGTTAATAAAATTACCAGTCCGTCTCAACTAAAAAACAAATTTACAATTATTTTTGCTTTGTTGCGAAACTTTAGCGAGTGACGCAATTAACTCCAATAAAAACATAAAGAATTGTATATTATTTTTGCTTGGTAAATCTGTTTTTAGTTGTGACAAGTTTTGTACTGTTTTTAACCACTGTAAGTAAATGAAAATAACATTTGACTAATTGTTAGTATCATGAGAGAGAAATTATGGGTAGAATTCGTATAACAGAGATATAATTGGTTTAATTTACATGTATCACTGTTTCAGAATTATTAACATTTTTTATTAGATGGAGAAACGATATAAAGTGGGTTATGAAGTTCAGAAAGCAATATGTGAACGACGGGTGTTACAAAATGTCGTGTGTATCGCGAGGGAGAGAGGATGATTCTGAACAGATTTTCACTGAATTTCCTCGTAAAACAAGTTTTCGTATCCATCGGGATTACTGTATATAGGTTTCTGCAACTGCATTAGGCGAAAGTTTGCTCATAAAAATTTTCATTCCTTAGGGGCTTGGACATATAACGTTGTTCTAACACTGAAGAATACACAATTATAACAAATATTATCCAGATGCAGTCGTGTCCGACTTATATCCGACTCTTCTACTTAGAAATCCAAGAACTCAAGAAACATTGGAAATCTTTATTAAATTTCTCTGTTAGACTTATCTCGTTTGTAACTATAAAAGTTATAGTACATATACTCGTTATATTAATTAATCTGTCCGGCCTTTGCTTGATTTTTCTACATTGAAACTCCAAAAATAAAAAACATTGCTACACTCAGATTGAGGGTGTTATTTATTACGAAACATCGTCAGGATTGTATCGTGTATGTCCTATATTCGACTTTTCTACTTGAATACTAGTTTATGAATTTAAAAAATATTGTAATCAGCATATCATGGCCTATCAATGCTCGGTTTTTCCATCGATGAACTTGAATTTAGAAAACGTTGATATCATCGCACTATGTTTGACCTCCTCTTGATATTTCTACTGTAAAAGAAGTTCGAGAACTCATTAAACGTTATTGCATCCTACATACCGTGTCTGGTCTTCGTTCGATTTTTCCACTGAAGAACATATGAATGTAAGAAATATAGCCATCTGCGTACCGTGCCCGCCGTTTGATCGATACTTTTCTTGATATGAACTTCGATACTATTCATCGAATGCAGTGTTTCCAAACACTTTAATCCCCAAAAGAAAAACAATAGTTTCTTTTGTATTAAAAGTTTTCTTTTCTGTCTCCCTTAAATTTAAAAATGGCGCTCCCATAAGGGCGGTGTCATCCAAAACAGTCAAAATTTAACTCCTCGGAGAAATCAAGCGCAGAAATCATAAACTCTTAGAGAATAAAACTAAGTACGTAGAATACAGCACCTCTGGGAGTTTCTAATTATTCTCTTGGGTCGCGTTTTCTTCTGGAAACGACCGGTCCACGTCGAGGAAAGGGAAACAACAGAACAAGGACAAGATCGTGATCCTTGGTCGTTAGTTCGCGTGGGCGTAAAGAATCGCGAGGCCATGAAACAGACGGAAACGAATCATTTTCAGGCCAGTGAACGCCGGTCGGAATGCAACCAGTCGTTAACGCGAACCAGCCAAGGCAGAGCGGTGCACTTTAAAAAAACTCTCAGGAAATTCGAAGCCTCGTTGGTAATTTTGCAGCTGGTCTAACGTGGCCGCGTTTAAGGATTATTCCATTAGCTCGGGCAACGAACGTTGTCTAATTTCCTCTCAAACAAGGTCCAAGACTTTTAAAAGATACTTAATCAACTGGTTTTGATCCTTAAATTTTTCTTTTTATTCATCGTCTGTGCAGGATATTATCTACAAGTAGGCATTTCTTTTAAAGTAATTCTATGCACCTAAGTATTAGGGTAAAGTTGTTAATCGTTGATAGTATAGGATGAATTTAATATTGTTTCGTTATTAGAGACGATGCACAATACGTTTAAAATGAAACACAGTAATATAAAGTAGTTTGTTTTCCTTTCATAATATTGAATCTTTTTTAATAAACTTTGCCTAGTTATTGAGTAATAAAATCAACGAACGATATTATTTCCGTGAAATGAAATGCAACCGCTTATTTGCTATTGGTAATTTATATAAATAAAACCGAGATGCATCTGTTTGAAGCGTCGTTAAGAAAACAGTCGCGTTTATCTCGCTTATGGTTGTTTTTGCAGTAAATACGTATCCCGGGGCTCGTAGTAGGTCACTCGTTACAGTCGGCGTTCGCTAGGCAAAATTACTCGGCGCTGACCACATTCCAGTTATTCGAACTATCGCATTAATCTTAATTTCAGACTGTTCTGCCTTTCTCTCCCCATTACGCGACAAAAGTTGTCGTAAATTGAATTTGCATTTTTTTTTCTCTGTTATCGTGCTTCCTATAGGATCGACGTCTCGATTGCTGTGGACTCTATCGAAAGCTTTTCTTCCTCCATCTTGTTATTTAGACCCAAACGCATCGAACCAGAGTCGAGTATTACGGTCATATTTCTGATTCCATACGAAATCAATGTAATAAAAATTCTTCTGAACGCCTTAATAACGATTTTATAAAGAGAATTTGTCAGTATTTCGTTACAACTGACCACCAAAAAAAGTTACTGGATGTTGAATTTCGAAACAAGCAAACTCGATTGAAGTAATATCGTTTACTCGAGGCTTCTTTTTATTTAAAATTTCTATCGTGTAACTTTAACTGTAAGAATAAATTTTACTTCTGCGGCCTCGTCCCTCTCTTTTGAGCTCTTTTCGTTAGTCGGGGGGAAAAGGTCAAAGCGGCAACAGAGTAGAATTGAAAAGCACAGGAACGCCTTGAATATCTCGTCGCGTCAAACGTTTCTGCGAGCTTGCGAAAACTATGCTCGCGGTGAAATCTCGTTTCACTGTCACGCTTCTTTAATAAATTAACGTTGACGCTTCGCGCTACAAATTCATGTCGCGTAGTTACACGAGAATATATATAGACATATATATTAATTACGAAAATTAATTTCGCGTAACAGAGGATCCGACGTTTACGTCGAACCGGAATATAATTCACGGTAATAGACATTTATTGTGTATCGTAAATTTGCTATGCGATGTGACAAAATTTACTACATTCGATATAGGTATACCCCGCGTCAGTTGTAAATTATTTTATTATAGGTGAAACGCATTATGTCACTATTTAACTCTGACGTTAATTCATTATTGAAATTAGTTTATCCCCCAACTTTCTTTTCTTTCGAAACTAACGGTACTTAACTTTTCTGTTACAGCTAGAATTCTCCAGATGATCGAAGACTTCCAACGAAGTAATGTTCATCGATTAACCCGGACGCTGAAGATCTAACAGAATTTTCCTCAAATGCACGACGAAGACTTCCACTCTTGTCTTTTGGACATATCAATCTTTCTAATATACACCCATAACAATGAAATATAAAAAAGACAAGAGTAAGATGAATTAATAATTATCGAATATCTACGTGGTTGAATAGCCAGAGAACTTCGAAAGAAAAATAATTCCATTTTTCATCTTGCATCATCCGGACGGTGAAAAATATTTCTTATTCGTCGATGACGCGACGTCGCTTGGTAAACAACGACTAAACATTGGCTAACGACGATGAGAACAACGACGAAATTGTCTTCCCGCGGCGATAGTTTCGGAATTGACCCGGAATAAAATTTCAAAGGATAGTCAGCGCCGGTGCGTTCAGCGGCTCAGAACAAATTCCTCTTGTCCTGTTTCGCCGGGCAGGAATACGAGATAAAAAGGTCGACTGGCGCCTGTGGGAGGGAAGGGCGACAGGAAGAAACGGGAGAACGTTCGGTTTTCCAACCGAACACGACTGTATTCTCTGTTAGAGAGGCGAGAACGAACCGAGGAATGAGATAAGAACGCGGAAAAGGGAACGAACGGGCTATCGGGTCCGAGTCGCGACAGAAACTGGTTTAGCGGGCAAACAGGATGAAGAACGGGGATGCGGAGTCGGGATGCAGTCAAAGGGAGTTGAAAATGGACAACTAGAGGAAACATGGACGCGCCTAATGCCATTGGCAACGACACTCGGGACTTTTGCAGCGCGAGGTACAAGGATTTCGCGCCTCCCGAAGGCGGTGAGCATGAATCCTCGCAGTGATCCATTTTATAGAAATTCGATCCTTTGCTACTGACCATTGGTTTCTCTCATCAGCGAGTAAAAACTATTCTAAGCTGTCCTTTGCGTTGATTCTTCTTTCATCGATAATTCCTCTGTTTGCATTTGAATTAATCAGTATTTCTTGGGTAATGTACCCCTGAAAATTTATTTGACTTTTCGCTCCTGATCATTGGTTTCTGCCATCAACGACTAAAAACTATTCTAAGCTTTACTTTGCGTTAATTTTTCCGCGATCAACAATTCCTCTGCTTATATTTAAATTAAGAGTGTCACGTATCTTAGGGCGACCGATGAAATAAAAATCATCATGTTTTTGTGAACTTTCAACAAAATAAAGATATTTTTGTAGTTCTGAACCACCTGAATACCCCCTCAAAGAAAAGCTCTGGTCTCGGGTTTATGCCAGACGCAAGAAACTATTTCTCGGGGGTCTTTTAGTTTTCCACTCGCTGAATTTCAAATTGTATCGAACGTCAATGCGTCGACATCGAGAAAAGTTGCGACGACAGTAACAAGCTTCGTGCTTTTTTTCTTTCCTTTTGCAGAGCTGTGGTGCGAGCCAGCATGGGATTCGCTGCTCTGTTGGCCGCCGACCAAAGCATCCACCACGATCAAACAGAGATGCCCCTTCGAGGACGGATTCGACACGACCAGTAAGTGTGCACGCGCGCTCGATTGATGAATGCACATTTAAATTGCTTGTTAGAGGAGCCCGGGACACCGAGAAATGTCGAACAATAATTAGAATTCGCGTGTTATTTTTCAAGGATCGCCACAGGTGACCAGCGATCGACTTTCCGACCCGACGGAAATTAACGGAAAATTGTTTGTAGGATAGTTAACGATCGACGGGTAAGACAAATTGTTACTAATGTCTCCAATAAACATCGAACAACGTCATTGTTGTAATATTCGTGGTTTCGAGTCAGCTGTAAAAAAAAAATCAAAGATTTAATTTCTCGACGATAGTTCGAAAATAGGATCGTGATTACGAGACATTCGTAGGAGGAAGTTCGAAAAACCACTCGATTAATTAATTTCTAGCTCAATGTCGACGAAAAAGAAGAATTCTCATAAATCCTTGGGAAGCAAATGAACCGCTCGCATACCAAAAACCGATCGTGGATTTATTTTCGTATTTCAGTCGGTAATTACGGATCTCTGACCTTGGTTCTGATCTTAATTGAAAGAAGGTGCTTTGAGCGAAGAACTTCGTAAATTTCGTGATTTATTAATGGGAGTTCCTTGCCGGGAAAGTCGGTTTGCATAACAAAGGACGGAACTTACGTCGCTTTTCAGGATAATTATTAAGCTCTTCGTCGCGTTTTGATCCTCAATATTCCGCACTGTACTTAAATCGTTCTATAGGAAGCTTACAACAGCAACCAGTTGATAGAACACTATTGTTTATCGAGTTTTATTGAAAATTAACATGAGTGATTAGATTCTCAATTTCGATCCCATGGTTTAGTTTTCTTCTTCCACAGAAAAAATTTCGTTCCTTCTTCGCCCCTGTTGAATATTCGCAATTTTCAAAGGTTTCTATACTCGATTTCATTGTTAGTTCTTCTCGTGAATGTCAACAAGGGTTAATAAAAAGGTTGTGACATAATACGTTTAAACGTGGCTTGAAATTTTAGTTTTATCTCTGAAATCCAATATTGACTCCAGTATTAACCGGCAGTAAAATTGGCCTGGTGCCTGGAGTCACGTACTGAAACTAAGCTTCCGTACCATATGCAAACTGGAATTGTAATCTATCTTCCAAGCCACAGCATGTAACGTGCACGGAATACCTACAAATCCATTTAATTCTACGCGTGCACATAAATACAGAACTTATAAACTTTCATTTTGTTCGTCAAACACAAGCAGAATCGTTCCGCCATTGATTGAAATATTTTCGAAAATTTCAGAAATAAATTGTTGATCGACAAATTCATAAACTCTTTTATTTCAGGGATTCGGTATTCGAAGACGTAGAAATCGAAAATAACATCGATTATACTAAATTTCGATGCTAGTATATTAAGCACACATCCACGAGTCTCTTATGCGAAGTTCACAGTGTTCGTAACTACGTTGACCATAATTAAAGTTCTTGTTTCCTGTTTAACAAGCCATCATTTCGTTCTTGCAACATCGTTGCTCGAACAAAGGGAATTTCAGACAACGTCTTATTTTTTGTCCAATTTTCAACCGCCTAATATTATATTATAAAGTATGCTTTAAGTACAATTATGGGGCACGTCTGTATATTCATTTACGCTTTTAGCGTGAGTTCATGTCAGAAAGTATCAAAGATTTCTAATAACTCGTCTGGTTCTTCCAACGCAATCAATTTCAGAAGACCGGGGAATTACTTTTTGATTATTTATATGTTCGTCGGGCCTTTGTGTGGCGGAAACGCCGTTCCTGGTCATCGAAAGCGAACATAATTTATATTGCAGATCAGCAACAAGTGTGCCTGATTGCCTGTGAGTTCCGCCTAATTGCCCGATTCGAAGAAGTTGAGCTTAAATAAGAAACAAATTAAACTCGCTCGACTGTGGACGCTTCCACAAAGCACAGTCTTATCGCTCTCTTTTTAAACATTATTCGTCCCCGTTTAAGAAAAATCCGTCTACTGTTACGATCGTCGAATTTTTCAACGTTCGAACTACCTTTTCTCACGCGAACGAACGAGAATATAAATATTTCAAAGTTTCAACGTAAATTTTTTATTCTTAAAACCTTAAAAGTGTCCAAAGAAGATTCAGAGAGATTTCGAGGCGTTCGACAAGCTTGTTCACGAAATATTTATTTTCACAGTGTTGAAAAAAACGTACGAAGTTCACCCACGTTTATTTCGCGCGCGAACAGGGCACGCTGGCATTTAAACGACTGAGGAAATTCAATGCGGCCACTTCTCGAGCCTCCCCTTCGGAAAACGGTTTGCAGAAGGAATTATATATCGAAGAAAATAAACTGGAGGTTTTCCTTTAGCCGACAAAACGTCATCGTGCTTCGATAGAAAAACCAAGCTGAAAGCAGATTCAGCGCCGTTGCTCAAAGAGAAACTATTTTTGCAGCCTCTGCATCTTCATATTTGCGCGGTTGAAAAACTGAAACGAAACCCCCTAACGTCCGTGCTTTTTCTTGAAACGCTCGAGTATTTCATTGTGCACCGCATGCTATCAAATGCCGGAGTATTTCATTGTGTTCCCTCCACGAAAACGTTTCGACCACTTATTCCGGACCACTCCGCGATCTCTATCCAAAATTTAAAGGGACGTTATCGTTTAACGAGTCGAAACACTCGTTCCATGACCCCTTTTGTTAAGGCTAAATCCTTTGGAAGATTGCCGGAAGTTACGACGATCTGAACAGAACTATTCCTGTCGTTATATCATAAGAATAGAAGAATAGGTATTATTATTATTCCTTTATTAACGAGAATAAAATCCTTTGGTACAAAAGATGTACTATGTAAGGAACGACAAATGTGGATTACAATAGATATTCTCGCTTATAAAATTTTAACAAAATAAGCAAGGATAATTCTAAACTGTCTAATGATTGTAACAGTGACTTATTAGCGTCGAATAATCGATAGTAAATTTTAAAAATTATTTCCAGTAACGAAGAAATTTTTTTTGCAACAAGGAACAATTTCCATAAATTAAATGCCCGGTTTTGTTTTTCGATCTGTGACGCGAACTGAAAATGGCTAAGAGCTATCCGTGTAACCAATACGTATTGTTTACCTCATGAATCTATTTAAGTATCGTCAGATCGGGGATGGAAATCGACGGGGTTCAATTTTGCGATAACAAATTGTCTCGCCTGTTGAGTCCGGGCCGTGTGACACAGTTTCGTTGCGCCAGAGAGATGCTGGGGAAAAAATTTGCATATCGCGGATTAACGCTCGACCAGATGTGACCGTCGTCGTTCTCCCATTCTCGTCGTTGTATTCGATTCAGCCCCGTTTCCACGCTGGGATGCGGCGCGTCCTGGATGCAAATTACTCGCGCTTCGTTGCGACGCGAGCCAAAAATACGGATTTAAGAATACCCGGTGGACGAAAACGCGATTTCCGTTCCGTGATCTTCGCCCATTTGAAAATCAGAAGTTATACCATTCGATACCGGTACGTTAAAGCTTCACATAATCTCATAATGCTTAAAATTTTTTTTATCATATTATTGGCTAAGGAATCTTTTTTTGCAGGACCTTCCAAGCATTAATTGCAATTCTTTGATATAAATATCAGCGCGAATGAAGTTCCCTTTCTACCGGAAACCGTGCACCTACTGGTCACACTCATCCCTCGACACGCGAGATTAAAAGACGAAAGCAGCCCATTTCCTTCGTTTACGTGTTCTTCTCGACATTAATTGCATCTGGCGCGCGAAACAGGATAGAAGTACTTAATATAGTGTTCCTTAATATCTTCCGAAGCGAGGGCTAAAATTTGTCTAAGCTAAGATACGCTACAAGTAAAAGGGAAGCATTTTAACGGATGTTATTAAATTACGAATTTAATAGGCCACGATAATTTTACGTCACATTCAGAGTGGACGAGTCTAAAAATTGTACGAATTTTACTTTGGGAATAAATGGAAAAATGGCCATAAAAGTACCTTGAGCTCGCTAGGGGTGGAACGAATCCCCCAAATGGCAGCTCGGATCGCGTTTAGAGTCGTTCCACTTTAACGTTTCGCGTCCCGACACATCGATTCGTAACCGGGATTCGCATGCACATGCAACTTACTTGAACTTGCCCGCCGGCCTTCGGGGGATACACTTCCGTTTCCACGACGACAATAAACGGGGGCCAAGAGACAGAGGCGAATGAGAACCGTGGTTCGGCAATGCTCGGATCGAGTTGCATCGGTGTTGGCGCACCACTCGACCCACTTCTCCGCATTTTGATTGCACTCGATGACGCCGCGACATGTTATACAGTGTTAACAGGGCGGTAAAACTCTCCCCTCGTATCTCGAGCCGCCTAAAAAGCTAAAAGCATACCCCATTCGTCGCCACAACAAGCCCGAAATTAGTAAGATTTTTTGAGACGTCCGTACTCCAGGATCCTTTTGTTTGACGGAGTTGAGGGGTGTCTGGAGATCGTTTGAATCATATTTGTATCATCCTGATGCATTCCATAGTTTCTTCTTCTTGTAAAAAATAGAAATTCCCATTATTGAATCTTTCTAGATGATTAAGAATACCTAGACTATCCAAATTCAGCGTGAAATCCCTTATTTGCACGTTTGTTGCAGAGCTATTGGAGTTTGCTCGCGCCTATTTAGCTCCGTATTCCCAAACTACACCTTCATCCCCATGATGAAATTTACCATTTAATTTATGTTGCAGAATCCTATCAGAGCTCCAAGAGTACCCACATTGTGTATGCATTTGAACAAGATTGTTTAGATCATAATGGATTCAAAAATTCTGTATTATCAGCCGTTAGATCTTCTCAGACATTTAAGAATATCTAAACTTAGTTAATTATGAAATTTCCTATTTGTATAATTGATCCACAGCCGTTCGAGCCTCATTATGTTTCACAATTACGCTTAAAATTATTATTAGCGTTGCCAGTACCGAACGATAGGCTCTTAACGATTACTTGCATATTCTAGTTACCTGTGTAAACAGCCTTTCATCGCGATTCGGAATCTTTGGACCGAAAAGTTCTGTCCGGTGCCAAGTTCCATTTATTTACAAGCAACCTGTGCGGAGTGCTCGATGTCGGCGTTATTTGATCAGACTAAAAGTTACACGAATTCGATCCGAATCTTTAGTTCGTTCGATGTTTCCTGTCCTTGCTTTTTGCTTTTCGTTTTCCTTCGCTGAAATCGAACGGCAACCAGCCACGTCCGATTAAAGCGCGACGCAAACTGCGCAGCTGATCTATGGGGCTCGAGAAAGTTTGACGTCTTCCAATATCTCCTCGAGGATGTTTTCGAAGTTGGTAACTTTTTTATGAAAAAGTTAAGAGCACCGGGAGCGAAGCTTATATTTATATTCCGTTCGTGTTTGGTTTTCCATTGCCATTAAATTGCTGATAATTGCAATTATCGGACGGATCGGTTCGAAAGTTCAAAAGATCCTGTTGCCCATCAGAGTTGGGCGAATTTTGTTCCCGAATAACAAATACAGATTTTAGGTTCACTTGTAAACCGATTTTTAAACGGAAGTTCAGAAATGGATTTGAAATTTGCCCGACGCTGTTATTCGAAAGTTCGTTCGCTATGGAGGAATTTAGTCGATCATCGAGAAACGATTCAGATTTATTTAAAAGTAGATAAATTGCTCGACGTTCGCGGGTATGGGAAATATCGTTTGAATTTAAAGAGCGTTCGATAGAGCGTTCCCACGCGATCATCGAATTTTCGCTGGAGTTCTTTATCGACGTTTAAAGTAGCGTCGACTGCAATCTTTGTTAAATTCAATCGTATTCTGCGACGTCTATTTTCGAAACGCTGAAAACGTTCTCGCAGAGCTTGGTATTTAGAAGGTATCGTTTTTCGTTAAATTTTGTCTTCATTGCAGTTTAATTGTTCACTGTTTATCGATTGCTATTATTTATGTATCGTTTCAGATTGATTTGCACGATTATCGTAAACTATGCACGAAATATTCGACCGGAGAATGGGACGTGAATTTTCAGCGATATTGCGAGAATGTTTCGTAGGTATTCGCGGACAGTGTGAAAAAATTTGATGCAATTACGATTAAATGCCCGCGAAATCAGATCAATAGCGGGGGTTGGATTCTTCATCTGGCCTTGGCTTTGTGAATGCCTTAAAGGTGCAACCTCGAGGCAGATACAGCAGAACGGACTGCATTTTCGCGTGCTTGGAATTTGCGGGCTTTAATGAAAACCCATACTTCTCGTCGTGCATGAAAACGTGATTGTACATTCATACTTCGTCATGGAATAATAACAGCAAATTTGCATAACAAACTACGTAATATTCGTTCGCCATTCATCGACTGTATTTGTTGCATTTTAGTCGCCAATGTCAGGAATCAAACTATCTTCGTCATAATATTCCTATTCCCTTTTCGTTTGTATTAAAAAATATTTCATGTCGATAACACTCACCTCGACTCCACACTGTTCGGTGGCCATTCTTGACTCGCTTTTGTTTTATGTGTTGGGGTTTTCTTGGAAATTCAGCCTTTGCCTTTAGAAGATAGTCCTACTTAGGAAGATTACCATTCCTTCCAGTGCATTCTTTTCGACAGACTTTGACTCCGGTTTTAACGTCTCCTCTGCAAAAATAAAGATCCTACCTTCATACAGTGGTTTCAAAGTTCTTTCGACTCTAGACCACAGTAGTCACAAGAAAGCAATTCTATTATTATATTCTCATAGATAATTGACCCCCAATGCATTCTAACCAGATTCTCGTAGATTTCTAATCCCAGTTTCGACATTTTTCTTTCTTTCTTGAGGATATCTGAAAGTGTACGTAAATAGTTTTCGAAAACAGTGTTTTCCTCTGATTCGAACACATAACGAGTGATCAAATGATATCGAAGACCAGTGTGGTTGTCTTGGTTTTGCGGTGGATAATAATGCTGACGAACAAGTTACGCGGTTCACCCGATATGCCATGTTTCAGGAACTAGAACGCCCAATTACGACTTTGCGCAAGGGTAACTTTGGAGCGACGTTGCTGGCTGTGTACGACATAATTCGATCCCTGCTCGATACCAAATCGTATTATACAGTGTGATACTAGAAACTGGAACAACCTGGGATGTTCTAACTTTATCTCGGTGAAAATACGAAAAAATTCACCGAGAAAAACGATGAATCCCCAGCACGGTCAGCTTTTTGTTCAACACGCTATTCCACTTTAATGTTTTTTAAACTGTACTGTGTACATGGATTCTCCTCATCCATCTTTGTATCAAAGTGCCAATCCACGATACTAATTTTTGATTACATAAACATTTAACTCATCTTTTACAACATACATTAACAGTGACTGTATTTAATCAGAACTTAAACAGTAAGCTTCAGTTTTGTACCAATCGACTCAACAACTGTTTTCTGTAACATATTCAAATGTTTTTAGATAAACGCACTATACAGGGCAGCATCGTTTAAAAAAAAAACGATTCCAAAGTTTACCATAATCTTCTGGGAATAATGCGCTTCAGGAGTTGAATACGCAAGATAGGAGAAGAAAGGAAAGTCAATTTTTTATCTCGAGTTACCAGACTGTCCCGTTAAGAAAAGAATTATAGGCATCCGGAGAGATGGTCTCCTCTTTGAGATTTCTTTCGTGGAATATTCATGGTCGTCCTTTATTCTGGCTTTTTGATAACGGTGGCCTGGAGATGAAACTCTTTTGGAAATGCCGGGAATCGCATTGTTAGTTAGGAGCCTTCGGAACAGTGCTTTGAACGAGTTTCATCGGCTCGTTATTACTTTGAAACTATTAAAGAAGGTTTTGAGGAAATTTGAAACCAAAGTAGCTTATATTAAACGAAAAAGCGTGCAGCATTCCATTTTTGTTATTCGGAAACGTGTATTGCAAGACCAAAGTTTCGAACAATTTTAATATCAGCTCCTGTTTTCTTGTTTAAAGAATACACAACTAACATGTAACCATTTATTCGAGAATAAAGAACCGCCAAAGTGCCCGATATGTAAAACAACAATTTCAATTAAACACGTAATAGAAGACTGTCCAACCCACAACAGACTGATGAACAGATTACAAATGAACAGGTCACTACACCAAACACTAAACAATGATATAAACAACATAAGAAAAATACTGATATTTTACAGAATAACGAATATAACAGAGAAAATATAAAGGAAAAACAAAATAACAAGAAAACACAGGAAGAAAAATAAAACAAGGATTACATAAAACATGAAAACAACAACCAAAGACCAAGCAGTCGGTGTTGTTACAAAATTAAAAAAAAAAAACACGAATATTCGTAGAGAAAAGATAGTTTCAGAGTGTTTTCAGTTCCTGTTTCTCTGTAAATAAACAAAAACCACGAACATACGTAATCAAGCGTCAATTTACGTAGCAGTGGCCGGAAATGGAAATTTTATATCGTATGAATTCATTAATTTCTGTTTACTTTGTTAATGGATTTTATGGTAATATTTTCTGGTTCGATATTGGTGTCCATTCGAATGCATAAACACGTCCTGTTTTATAAAATTTGAAGTTTCCGCGAACGGCAGAAAACAAAGCTTCGCGAGTCAACAAGAAAGAATCGTTTCCAATTATTTTACAATCGCATCGAGAAGGGTTTAACATACGTATTTCTTCCTCGACGAGAAATAAAGTTTTTTCGTTCGATTTTACTATTGTTAACTGTAAAACGATTAATCGGATCTAATTGCCTCTGGTAGAGTATCAATACTGAAAGAAGAAAAGTAAAATTTAAAGGGAAGATTTCGGAAGTCAAACATCGACAAAGTCCGACCATCAAGTGTAACTTGAATGCAATCTCATGGCACATTCCGGTTTTCGACGAATCCCTTGGGAGCCTTTAGCCTCCAGTCGTTTACTCAGAGTTCAGAGGTTCTATTAGAAAGTGCGTAATGACTGGTTTCCAGCTTGAAACTATTTTACGGAGCACACCAATTTGGTTAAATCCGGAGTTAATCTCTCCGCCATTTCGACAGTCGAGCTTCGAGTTCCTGAATTATGTCACACGGACGAATACTTTTTTTTAAAAAAGATAAATACATATCAGAACTCACAGGGCATATAAGAATCATCAAACCGAACTTTCGCGTTACATTTGCTATTTCATATTTTCCAATACTTTTGTTTACAACGCTGGAGGATCGAAAGAAATATCTTCGATTTAGTTTGCGCTATGATGTTTGTTATTTTCAAAAGCAAATCATTTGTAATCCTCTGATAGAAACCAGATACACATAAATTTATCGTCGTTGTGTCTGGGATACAACAGTTTCCTCCATGAATTTGTGCGTACATTTTTTCGGGAAAGAGTCGCATTTTGTCCCAGTTTCCAGAATTCGCAAAGTTTAAAGAACGCTGCTTTGGAAGATCGAGCTTCCTCCGGGCATATTATTCCGACGTTTTCCATACTGGTTGTTTGTCTAGAATCCGTGGAGAAGAAGTGCGGTTACAACGGTCGCTGGGAGGCCCAGAACGGTACCAGCAACGAGGATTCGCCTCACGGTTGGGCGAACTACACGACCTGCTTGACACCGGAAATGCTCCGGTTGCACGGGAAAGTTTACACAAACACCATCGAGGGCAACGTAAGTACCAGTTCCAGCGCGAGATTGCAGAATTTAAATGAACCCTCGGTTGCCTTCGTTCCTTGTTATTCAAAGAATGGGGGCGCAAGCAACTGCTAGCCCCTCATTGTCGGTCGCTTGAAACAATTATAGATTAAATAGAGTGGTCTCACCCTTCGAGACAATCGCTTTTCAACTATTAAAAAAAAGTCCACTACTCGACAAAAAAAATTACTTTCTTCGTTTAAATATTGATCTCAACGTTTCAATTTTGTATCGAGTCTTTTATAGGCAATAGAAAAATTTTAAAAGACTCGTATAAGTTTATGCTCGAAACGGTGGACCGAAGACCTCGCGTTTCATCGATGCATAACATGTTATCTGTGCCAACGCTAGTCCGCGTTTATATTGCGAACGTTTATGTGGCAGAAGTACGATAACAGGTTCCTCGGAGAAATGAATCGGGTCGAAGACAGTGTATGTATGGTAAATTCGAAGACGAATGCTTCGGCCTGTGTATAAATGTATATATAATTATTCTGCTTAAAGTTTGGAGTAGCATGGAAGTGGGCCAAATCGATTCCAGGCGAACGCCGGGAATGGGAAGAAATTAACTCGTGAAAGAGATCGATGAGGTTCTGGTCGCGTTTTCCTCTTTCATTTGTGCATTCTCTCTGTTCTGTCTAAAAACTTAAATGGCGAAAATCTGTTTAATCCTCAGTCGGGGAACTCCAGAAACTACCCATAAAATTCTCTATTAACTTTCTTCGCTCCTTCATTACATATTTTAAAAGAAGTCTCGGAATTACCGAGTTGATAAAGTTTTATAGCTCGGGTCTATTATCAGAAATTACGCAATTTGGACGATGATAAAATAAAGTATGATTACACGACCGGAATTTAGGGTTTTAATTAATTTCTTGTTTTCCTGTTTCAGATGAAGATGGACATCGCCGAGAGGACGCGAACGCTAGAGTTCGTTGGTTTAAGCATTTCTTTGGTAGCGCTGCTTGCTTCGCTCGCCATATTTTGTCGATTTAGGTAGGCGATTCGCCGTTCCTCGAAGGAACTAGGAACTTTCTTCCGTCCACGTAATTAATTTCCACAAAAAGGAGTCGCCTCTGGAGTAAATACAAACTTCCCTCGCGTGCAAATCAAGCTTTCGCGTAAATTTGGTCCCTTTAGCCGTTGTAAGACGACTTTCATTTGCAACAGAGTGAATTTGATCGTCGAAACACAGTTAGATTTATTACGAGACTGTAAAATCAACGTCGCGAGATACGCCGTTGCAGAAGTAGCATGCATTTCGCTTTGATATATTCTGATAACTACAAAAGCTCATGCTTTTGTTCCAACGGCTATTGGAACACGGTGTGATTGTTCTACCATTTTTGTCTGGTATATTTATTTATTTTCCGTTTCCCAGGGTTCCATTAATGGACAAAGAAACGCAACTTCGTGGATGGTAACGATTCGCCTCGAAAGATGGGAGACTGTGTTTGTTTCGCGAAACTGGGTTAAGCTTCTCGTAAGACGTAACATTACTGGAATGAAAACTCTAATGATGTCAAAGAGTTCAAACCGTATTACGTTTGTTTCTCATTTTTTAATAATTATTTTATTACATCCGATCTGAAACTACGCGAACGTCGTACGTTTTTAATTTTTATTCCTCTTCCGATGATCGCATAAATCATATAAATTTACAACGAAACGAATTTCGACCCCCTTGGTAGAGATTTAACGTAAAAACGTAAGCCAATACGCGTCGATAATATATCGATTCCGATGTAACTCAGGTCCTTAAGGAACACCAGGACCAGAATCCACAAGAATCTGTTCGTGGCGATGGTTGTCCAGGTACTCATACGATTAATCGTCTACATCGACATCGAGATCCTCAGGAGGAAGACTTATGGCATTCAACGGGGTATAGGGAACACTGTAAGTACTTCCGGTTAATGGAGATTCGTTTCAAGGCGGAGCCCACTCGAAAAAGTTTCTTTCCCTTGCAGCCCGTTCTCTGCGAAGCCAGTTACGCTCTGTTGGAATACGCCAAAACCGCGATGTTCATGTGGATGTTCATAGAGGGTCTGTTCCTCCACAATATGGTTACAGGCAAGCCCTTAATTATTTTAATTATTTAAATTCCACACCGATTAACTCCACTGTATCAAAAGTAGAGAACAGTGACGATTACGAAGCCATTACTTTGTTGTTTGTACTATTAATCCATGTTTCTCAGAAGAAAGGTTTTAGATAGATCTTCCAACACATGAAAATACTTAAAATGTTTACTATCCCAAAGAAAATATCCCATTCTTGAATACGTCAAAGATAATTTTCCATGGAAAATTCAATGTCTTGGGGGCTACACACTGATAGAGGAGCGTTCTAACCGTGAGCACGTTCGTAGCCTGCTTAACTATGCGAAAATTAAACATTTCTCGGCTCCGAGCAATCGTCCCAGTTTTTTTTTCGCCCGAGTGTGCAGTCTTCGTGTACCGCGAAACGCCCTCGAGTTTGATGAAAAATTCCTGAATCTCTCTCTCCCCTTTCCTCTGCCCGGAATTAAATGTGTTTCTCCTTTTGTCCAACGTGTCCCTTTTTACCGTATTCTTTTACATCTACCGATTTGTTTGTCACAGTGACGGTGTTTCAAGAGACCTCGTACTATCGGATGTATCGATTCGTCGGCTGGGGATGTCCCGTCGCGATGACTCTCGTGTGGGCCACCATCACGGCCTTCTATTACCACCCAAAGTCCAGGCAAGTCGCCCAATTAACGGACTCGCGATTAGTTTCATTATAAAAAACGTATTCCCCGTTTTATCGTTTCTCAAGAAAGTTTCGAAATTCGAGGTTTATAATCTCACACGCTGGAACGAATAGGTTTTCCAGGTGTTGGTCCGGCTACAATCTGTCTTCCTACTTCTGGATTCTCGAGGGACCCAGGTTCGCGGTGATATTGGTAAGGACGCTTCCCTACGCGAGATCAAAGAATGTTTCTTACTACCAGTGACACGTATGCTGTTGCCAACTTTCATGGAAAAGGGTGGATAAACAAAAAATCAAGAAACGAATTTGAGAATTTATAAAAAAGTCGCGAATCCCTCTGCACCCGTTGCCAAACACCCTATATGTTTATTTCGTTCGCGAAGAAACATTCTTATTTACTTCGACTTAATTCGAATCCCTGAACCTCGACTTGATTTCGATTTCCCAGCTCAATTTTCTTTTTCTACTGAACATCGTGAGGGTGCTCGTGGTGAAGCTTCGACAGAGTCACACTAGCGAGATCGAGCAAGTCCTGTGAGTGAAATAAAATCAAAATAATAACAAAAATTCTCGAAACGCGCTGAGACAAATTCTAACGATCCCAAGAATTTCTCTTTGTAGAAAAGCGGTGAGAGCAGCCGTGGTGCTTCTACCTTTGTTGGGCATCACCAACATACTCTTCATGATCGAGGCGCCTCTGCACAACGTAAAGAAGTTCGCATTATGGTCGTACTCGACGCACTTTTTGCAGTCGTTTCAGGGCCTCTTCATAGCGACCCTTTATTGTTTCCTAAACGGCGAGGTGAGACGATTTATCAGTAATCTTAGTTTTTAAACACATTAGTTACTTCTTTATACAAGTGTATATAAAACGTAATATAAAATAGATGGTGCATATATTTTTGTACGATTTTTAGAAAGTGCAATTTATCGCAGTAGCTTTTCTTTAAAATATTGTGGGGTGTGAATGTGAGTGTATTGTTGTGTAAGTGCGCGAGGCGTCAATCGATTGCTATGACCGGAGTCGGAATCAGCTGTTCGAACCGGATAAACAAATCAATCGATTGCCAGGTTGCGAAGACGAATGCAGAATGCGTGCAGGTTTTGTCTCAGGGCGTGTGTGTGTGTGTATGTGTTTGTATGAGTGATTAGGTGAAGGCGACCGGCGTGGAGGGGAAGGAGGAGGGGGGGGCAGAGCAATTGAAGCGAGTGGTTAAGGCGGAGTGAGCTTGCGTCGTGTGAAAACGATTATTTTTGTGTAATAAACTTTTTGATATGAATTCGTGACAACCGTTGCTCTCGTAGCTAGCTTGATCCTACAATATTTCTTTATCGCGAATGTAAATGAAAATGCGACCATACCTGGTAGAAAAATGTATGTAACAGATGTATCGTATGTCTCCGTTGACAAGGAATCGGTATCGAAGCAAGGGAAATTCATGTTTGAGGGTAAGAAATCGTTGGGAATAAAAGTCGGTTGTCGAGAATTTGAAAATGGAAAATTCCAGAAACTGAACATGCCTGGGATTCCAAGTATGTCTTGCGGTTGGGATGGTTTATGATGCAGCCTGCGTCGAACTTCAAAGCACGTGCGTCCTGTTTGACTATGCTTCTGAAGTCCATTTTAAACGCACCGTATTCTATCCTAATAGCGAATAATTCTAGTTCGAAAATTCACCGCGATTCTATGTAAACACATTCGTCGTTATTTAATATCTTATTCTCCGTATCAACGAGTTATAAATATTTGTGTTCAATGTATCGAAGTATCCCGTGAAATTGTAAATACTTGGAGAAGAATTTCGATCACCGGTTGCTTTACTCGACGAACGATTAATAATTCACAGCGATTACTGTTCGACTCGGATGGCTAAATGGAAACCGATCATGCATTATGCATAAGGAAACATTGCTGGAGTAAACAATAGACTCGTGGGAATACCTTGGATCTCATTAAATCTGTAACGGAACCGCAAGGCCGGATGAAATCGTTAACAACAGAGCGTATCGATCTTCCGCCGAGGGGTTTGGACAAAATTACGTATTGCTTCTGCGTAACTTGCGTTTCCCTTTATTTCCGAACCTCTTAAGCCAATGTCGATACGCAAATTAAGATTAAGGGCTTCTCTAGCGTTTGCATTTCGAGAAAACTGGGTCGTCTTCGAAATGATAATTTATTAACCAGCTCAGTTTTTAGATATTTAAAATGATAATTAGTTGATAACTGTTCCATTCACAGGTCAGGCTAGCTCTGGATAAAACCATCTCCGTCTACCTATCCCTGAGAGGAACCGATCTGCAAGCCAGGAGGCAGTCGGCCTTCAGTGGCTGTCAGCCCCAACGAATCGCATCAGGTTAGTATAACAAGGAGCAAAGTATCCTCATTCTTCGTATTTCTCGTAATCTGGGATCAGCCGTCGTTACTAAATCAATGTGCAAAGCTCTAACTGTTTAAACGTGCATAAAACCCCGGACAAGTAAATTTACACAGCGCGCAATTTGCATTATAGATTTCTATGAATCTAATGGTAATTAAGCTCATAATGGTGCTCGATACGAGCCTCGCGATATCGAATTTTCATCGCGGGGTGAGAAAGTAATTTCCATCTATAATTTCCGCCACAGTTTGTACTTAAATTGCTTCACTATCGTTTAAACCAAACGTATATTTGGATAAACGACTTTAAACGATACATCCTGGCGTTATTTCCGGCGCTCGCGATCCTTGGCTTCGCTAAACGCGTTATGAAAACGGCGAGCAGCACGATATTAAATTTATCTTTAATCGACGAATTTTCAAATTCGATTATCCACCGAACGTAGTTTATAGTCGAGGAATATTTCGAGAAAAGTTATGTTTATAGTTGGTCGTAAAATATCCTCGATTTTTAATCGAGACCGTTCGCGGGACGAGTGTTTACATTGAACATCGATCGTGGCCAAGGGGGATCCTAATTGCGATTTTCGACGAAGTTCCCGTGTAAAACTCGCGAGCAGTCGATTCGTCGCATGGAAATTATTTTTAAAACAAGATCACAAAATATACGGCTGGAAGAGACTTGTCGCAGAAACTCGGCGGCGAGTTGTTCGGTCGGTTCAATCAAATTAATGAAAGCCCAGAGCACTCTGGAAGCTCTTGAAGTCCAGAAAAGCGTCGGCTGAGATCCTCTTCGCGCGAATCGATTTCGTACGCAATTTAGAGGCCAAAGCAAGAGGTTTCCAAGGAGCAGCAAAACAAATTACGATTATGATTCGATCCAGAATTGGGCAGACTTTATTCGCAAACATTTCTCCATCGATTTCGTCTACTTTTAGGGTAGTTTTCACCCTTTGTCGAACGATAAAACAAAGTACAGCCTTGAAGTTTAACGCGCGATGTTTAATAACAATCGGGGACTCTCGATCTATGGCTGAACGGAGTTTGAAATTAGTTTTGAAGCGTATCGAGAATTATAGGACCGAGTTTTATTCAAGTTTCTAGAATTAAGTTGGGCTTGGTTGTAAATATTGTAATTGCGCCGCGAATCGAGCTGCAGAAACGGAGGATGACGGATATCGAGATAATTATTATTGATGCGTGCAGTGATCGAGATGGAGGAGGAAGAGATGAGATCCAGCGGTTGGATAAGACTATGCTGTCGAGGTGGAAACACTCCACCGCCGGACCGACCTGCCGAGTGAGTAATGATCGAGGAAAGCTCGCCAATCCGCGTTTAGATCATTACCAGCATCGACGGTCGATCCTCGCAAGATCATACCAGTAGGTAAAAACACGAGACACGCGCCAGCCATGCATGTGCTGTTGCATCGCTTCCTCTATACTGGAATCTCGCGAACGGTGATTCTCTGTGTTTTCGACAATTTTCCCCTTCATTTCAGTTCGTTGAATTTTGTTTGGAAGCCCTCAGACTTTCTTTGAAATAATTCGAAGCTACTTCGAAACTCGGATTCTCATTTTTTGACTTTTCTAGAGCCAGTTGGACATTTTTTATTATTTCCTCCATTCATTTAAAATTCATTACATATTTCTATATTGTTCATTGAACCTTTCCAGAGTACTAATTCCAATTCTGCAATGTTTCCACAATTCATCGAAGTCGTTGAGAATTTTTCTGATCCTTTCAGAGTCTGTCGATGTCTTCTCCAGCTTTCTATACTTTTGTATAGCTCAATGAGTGCGAATAATACAATATAAAACCTGTATATGATTATCAATTATTCAGCAACATCAGATCTTCAAAGAAATAAGCCACAGACAGCTTGTATCGCTTGTACACTAGTGTTCGCGTTTGTATGTCAACCTCCTATACATATAATTCCTATGTAGAAATAATCATTTAATAATTCCCTGACAAATTCCAGACGCTTTTAATCGTTAACCACCCCTTTTATACTCCTCCAAACTGCACAAAACCTTTCAATGTAAACTTTCGCTCCCGAACAGCCGAAAAATATCTCCTGTACATTGTTCAACATTCAGATACACTTATGTGCTTGAATTTAAATGTTTATTCCCCCAGAAGAAAATTCTACTTAAAATCAACTGTTTTCTCTAGCTGAAAGCAAATTCCATGTTTACTGTTTCCATTTGTTACACATTTTCTTTTCGACGATTGTTTCCTAAACAAAAATCCCCGCAATTCCCAGGAGCAACATGCCTCCGTTTGTGTTCGATAGCCGGTGGAATGTCCTGTCGTTGTCGAGGAACCGCTTTTTCCGATCACGAGGACAGTTTGTGCGGAGGCGATCGTGTTCTCTCGCGTTTCAGAACAGCGGTCTGACCACGGAACATCTCCGGATCTCTGGGCACCGGACGCGAGCCTCGAGATTTACCGGAAATTACGAAATCCTGGGCTGCGGGCTTCGTCGAAAGATGGAGAAGTACCTGGAGGACCTGGAGACCAGCCAGGAAATTCAAACGCCAGGAATTCAGCCTGAGACTGCGTCAAACGGAACTGGCTGATCCGATGATCGGTTCAGGCTAGTCCTTAAACGCTGTGAAAACTAGAATTCGATAAACGGGACCGAATGGAATGGAACTTAATGAACTTTCGAGTGACTTTTTAAATTTATCAAACTAATCGAGTCGTGAAGTTATCGTAGAAGCCAATCGGGACTGGAAATTTTATGGACAATGGAGAATCGCCTGAGTGGTCTGGAGACCAGCCAGGAAGTTCAAGGATTATGTGTTTTAGGCTACAAGTTTTATCAGCGGATAGATAAACTGCACTCGAACTGATTCGAACTGCAAGTTTCATCGAACGATATTCAAGTATTTAGGCTAAGGCTAAGTAAAATTGCATTTAAAGATCAGAGGATACGCGTGCTTCGACTGTACGTGAATTTTTTAGTTTCCAACTTCGTATATAGAAGTATATCTTTCTTCTTGGGGTCACTTTAAAGGTTGAATCCTCCATTTTCGCACCCCTAAGTTGAATTTCCTCACAGATTCTTTCGCGGTGGGGAACGAGTGTGAAGATGAGGTTTAGTTCACAAAATAGTTTAAGAGATTCGTCAATTAAACCTACTACTTCTGAAACGTCGATGTACTATTTATTTACCATTTTATTTCACTTTATTTTCTGGTTTCGATCGAAACACATAATCAGCTACTAAGTTATTTCTTAAAATTAAGTACGGAAGAATGGCTTTTTCTTAATAAGTACTCTTCGATCCTTTTTGTAAGATCTTCGTAAGAATTTGTAAGATGCTTCGATGAAAAAAACAGACGAATTGTATATATAAAGCAACAGTTTGCGAATAATATGTTGTTAAACGAGATGTTTTAAAATTTCATCGAGAGCGAATCGAAGGAAGCGTGTGCATAGCTTTAACTGGGTGCTACTGCTGTTTATATGCTTTTAAAAGTCTCTGTAATTCGTGTTTACGGATCGGGCTTAGTTCGACGTGGCGAGAAACGATTCTCCACGAAAACCTAGATCGATAATATACGACATACTTTTTCCATGTTACTCTTCCTTTTGAAGGAAATCGAGTTTTGAAAGTGGACCGCGCGTCTCGATCCTCGATTTTCCTCGAAACGAAGAGCGAAGAAATTGTACTATACATTTTTGTATTCAATTTGCCATGCAGAATCGCAGGCGATAGATCGTTCCGCGTTTTCTATGCGAGAAAAGCTTTCGAAATGAACTTCCAAACGATTTATTCCGTCGGAATCCAAGTTCTGCTGACTCTATTGACTGAGAAATTAGTTTGACTCAAAGCATAGTACTCGCTGGGCCTTGGATTCGCGATATTAAACGCTGTGTCGCCTATTTGTCAACCGTGTTAAAAGCGCAGAGTAATTAGTCGTAAGGCTAGCCAATTAGCGGACGCATCGTTGCTTAAATGATTTTGTAGTCGTGCATTTTTTAAACATGTAAATAAATAATCGTGACATCGAGATGTGCGATCGAATCCTTGACGATTCCCCATTTTTAAGACAAATTTCTTTCATCCACCATATAGTTGAACGTGTAAAAAAAATACTCTTATTCTAAAATAATTATAAATCTGAAAGTATCTCGGCGAAGAAATTGTTAAATAAGTCGTACTCGCAAAAAAGTTTTATTGTGACAGTGAACGGTACAAAAATGTGTTACAAGGTACAAATGCTTTCGAAAAGGAACATTGATCATTTTCCTCCTAAAAAATTATTCCTTTTTCTCCTATTAAATTTCAGTCGAAACAGTTTCTAATATACGCTCAAGTAGTCAATAGAATTTTATCGATATTATAGCCGACAGAAAGACAGTAGAAAAAGTAAAAATCCATTGAAAGGACGGATTCGAGAATTTGATCATTGTTCACCCTTTTTGCCATTGTTTAAACAAATATCCGAACGTTATAGAAGCCATGTTTTCTAGCTACTATTTATTTCAGGATAACTCGTATGCCTGATTTCATTTTTCTTTCAATTTTAACGTTTCCTTCTCGTTACTAAGAAGTTATTTTGACAAAGGCATTTCATATTCTGATAATTTAATAATAGAATAAAAATTGTTTCTTTCAGTCTATACTTCCATGGTAGAACTCGGTCCTAAGTGATTTAATTTGACATTTATGAACAGAGTATTCGTCGTATCTATCGTGTAATGAAAGTAACATCTACCGAGGACAAAATTAATATGAAATTGTACAAACGAACACTTATCGATCATTGTATCTCAGTCCTACGAATTGCAGGCAAATAAATAATATTCTACGTCACAAAGACTATCACAGACGCGTTTTAAAAAATATTATACATGGAAAGTAATATTGACGATCTTTCGTCCCTAAAAGAATAGTTGTGTAAATATTTCAATTCGAAAGTATAATCGAGGGAAACTAACATTTTATTATTCTTTTAAATTTGAAACAATAATTATATTCGTGACAATATTACTTTCCTGTTATTGCTAAACAAGAGTATCACTTACAATTTAACCAATTCCTTATATTTAATCGAACGAATCGATGCGTGTGTAATATGGACAAATAAATGTCTTGTAAAATGCAAGAAAGTAATTGTTTGTCTTGGCAGAAGTGTACAACGTTATGCTAGAAATACAGAAAAAGTAGAAGAAAAATTTGTTCCGTAATAAAAAAATGTTTCCATGTGTTTTTATAAGAGATTAAGTGATTTTATAAACTCATCTCGAGAAAGATCGTCGTTCCATTGAGCCATTAAATATTGTCTGCTTTAGCGATAGTGGACCTTCTTTATAAAAAAAAGGATTTAAAGAAACCACAATTGGACACTTTAACTATTTATCGTCGATTTTCTCCGTTCGAATGCTATTCGATATTTCACGGAACTCTTCGTTAAATAGTATTAAAATAAATGCCCAATTTTTATTACAAAAGGGGTACCATTCTTCTCTACAAAATATGATAGGAAATATCGTTTCTCAGCCTTTCGTTTTCAATTAGTTCTCTCCTTTTACCGAATTATCAAAATTCATCGTGGAAACTTCTTTCGGTGTCCACCATTTTGCTGCCCAGAAATAAGTCCATTTTGTTCAGAATCTCCGAAAGATTCAGCTTCCCATCGAGATTCGTGTCCGACAGATTAATTAGGTGTCGAGCTTCCTGAATGGCGTGCCTTGGATTGATTGGATCTATATACATCTGAAAAGACACATTTTAATTCGAATAAAAATCATTCCAGACGAACCATTTTATAAATCTTGTTGAGAAGTTTATCAACTACTTCGTAGAAGATTGTCGATTATTGCGAGTTGCCGATTATCAGTGATAATAACCGCGTTTATACGTGTATCTATGTATTTAAAAGCGTGAAAAATAGCTTCTGCAAATATTTGTATTCGAATATAAGAGGGTACGATCGCGTTTACCGATGTTTGTATCCGATCGTATCATTGCAATTCCGATAATTGACGTCTATCGTATTACTATTACACTTTCTTCTTACAGAAAGTTCTCTTCGATCCGCCTTCCCGTTTTTGTCCTGGTCTATAAGATGTCGAAACTCCTGTCGCCTTTCCTCGCTTCCGCTCGCAGCCTCGTGTTTATCCTCCCTCAAATCCAAACCCATTCCTTCGAAGGGAAAACTCGAAAATTCGTCTTCCGTCAGTTGCTCGTCTCCGTCACGATCTGAAAATATTTTTTGTTTTTGATTTATAATAAATTTGTTTGACGATCTATAGACATGTTCTTTAACACCCTGTTGTAGGAGTTATGGCCGTTTGAAAATTGAAACATCTTTATCGTGTTTTTCTCAGTTTACGGGGTTAAAGAGCAACTTTCCCAACATTCTTTCAATTTCTAAATATCCTCCACTAAAATACGCATTGTTTGCATTTTGGAACACTAAAATCCTCCGATCTGTTCAAAAGTTGTGATGTTTTAAAGAAATACATGAAATTTCAGGGAAACATAGCCCCACATCATATATTCGGAAAAGAATTTTTTTCTCGAAAGTGGGTAGGAATTCGGAGGTATGTCTATTCACCAAAAATGATTTTAATTGACCCCCGGAACTAAAAATAATTTTTTGAAATTTTTTTTCGCCGTTTAGGCACCTGTCGATTTTTCTTAAAAATTCGTTTTTGATTTTTGATAAATTTGTTTGGTGCCCTATAGAAAAGTTGTGTAATACTTTTTTGTAGGTATCCGTGAGCTCTACTTCAAAAAAAGTTTCATTTAAATATATTCACTTTTGTAGAAGTTATGGCCGTTTGAACAACTTTTATCGAGTTTTTCTCATTTTACGGGGTCAAGGAACAACTTTTTCAATATTGTTAGATCTTTTACATATTCTTCACTAAAATACGCGTTATTTGCCATTTGAAATCCTTCTTCCGTTTAGGGGTTATGATGTTTCAAAGTTACGCATGAAATTTCGAAGAAACATTTCTGATCTGAAATTATATTTTCTGTAAGGAATTTTTTACTTGAAAATGGTTGGGATTTCGAGGGTATGTCTGTTGACCAAAAATGATTGTAATTGACCCCTGCAACCAAAAATAATTTTTTAGAGTGATTTGCACCTTTCCAATTTCGTTAAAAAATTCCCGTCGATTTTTCTTAAAATTTCGTTTTTGATTTTTAATAAATTTGTTGGACGCCGTATGGAAATGTTGTTTTATACTTTTTTGTAAGTAACCATGAGCTCTACTTCACAAATACATTTCAAGGAAATAATGATTCTCCACTACCGGGAGCAGCTCCACAGTATTCTCGTAGCCTCACCAAATTTTTCGAACAGGTCCTCCACCATTTGCAAAAGAGCTCTGTGACTGCACTCGGGATGCGTGAATGCCAGGAACTCGTCCAGAGCCAGCCTCTCCGGGTCGTTTCTGGCGGCCCCTGACCATCTTGCTCTGTCCCTCATGATGCTCTCTTTCATAGTTCGCGACATGTCGCTGTGCTTCTTATCGTGCGAATTGACATAGCTCTCGGGAAACCCGTGGGATCGTAGAAAGTACGCGTGATACTCCTCCCACGACACCTCGCCTGGAACCATTAAACAATTTTTAAATACAGTTCGAACATGGTAATAAATACGTTTCAGCGATGAAAGTAAGGTCATAGGAATAACTAATTCAGTTAATAAACTCTGTAAGAAGTCCTTAGTCATTGTAAGTTCCTTAAAATTTGATTTTCTCAGGGTTTCAAGCATCCCTAGAAAAATCGTCCCAGTTAATAATTTACAAGTATCGTTTCAAATGAATCAGATGCTCACCATTTTGTGGATTTTTATCGATCGCCCTAAATAGGACGACGTTCTCGTACATAGCGCGACTGAGGTGTTGAGTGATCTTGAGGTAGATCCATTTGGCCAGTTCCTGGATGTCCAACAGCTGATCCTTGTCAGCGTCAGCCCTTTGAAATATGTCCTCGAGCAGTGTTCTCGGGCTCTCGCGATTCTCCGCTTCCTCCGTCTCCTTTATGCTCTGCTCGTCCCTGAGATCGATGCCCATGCCCCTGTAACGCTCTAGATCCTTTTTGTCGACCGTCACCGCTTCCAACTCGACGAACAGATTCTCGATCATGACGCCCTCGCTGTCCTTTTCGGTCGATGCCGCGGTTAGGCTCTTCAGAGGCACATTCTTGCGGTACTTGACGAACAGGAGGGAAAAGTAAATAACCAGGGGCACCAGGACGGTCCAACGGAGGTACCGGAAGCACCGCAGATTGGTCGTGCAGACTATCTTGGGGAACTGTGAACCGGAAATTGCCGGGCGTTTCAATAGAGATTTCTCTGCGACAAAGAAGCTCACATTATCCTTCGAAACTCTTTTTTCTTCGAGTTCCGCAGAAATTTAAATAGAAATTTATTTTCACTTTTAATGGGGGGAATTTCTGTTGAAAATATTACTTTGATCTCTTCCTCGTTTCCACCTCTGAGTGTTTTACGTACAATTAAATAATAATAAATACCATACGTCTACGGAGGGAATAACATTAGACACTTCGATCCATTAAATTTCCATTTTAAATATACTCACAAAGTATGAGAAATGCATATCGGTCACGATCCGTAGAACAAATAGATCCTCAGGGTTAATCTAGGGCCCAGCCATCGGTGTGTCCCCAAAAATCGGAGCTTCCTGATTCAGCAATTACTTCGTGGATGCTTCAACGATCCGAACAGCCTCATAAGACACATTTTTAACAGTTCCATCGTCGTCACTGGACACTAGATCACCACTGTCAATCGCAAATCCCATCGACGAGCGTTTCCTTCGCCGATGACACTACCTGTCCGTCGACTGTCATGTTTTGACAGCTAGGAACACGAAGGGAGAACGCGTTTTTGTAGCCGGGGGGAAGTCGCAGAGGGTTCTGCTCGGTTGTGAATAGACGAATCATCGACCGTGACTATGGTAAATGATGCTCAAAAACGGGAGGAATCACTGTGACACTGTCTATTGACACTCTTATCTCTTATGGCTCTGTTCCTCGATAGAAAATAGACGAGCACGAAGGAGAAACTCTGTTCGCACGCTGTCTGGCGAAACGTTAACGGCGTATTGATCCACTTTCACTGTCGTCCCCTTTCTCTCGATCGCCATCTCTGTCTTGATCACTATACGCCATTACCCTCCTCGTCCTCCTCCAACATCTACTTCCGTCCTTTTTCTTGTCAGATACGCCACTGTACGGCTTCCTTTTTACTAAAAGGTAATTTGCAATTTTTTTTGCCACCTCCTAGATTGTGGATATACATTATGTAAAATAAGTACCCGGAATTTGTAAATAAAACTCAGATTGCTTACTTAATCATCTAAATTTATTTTGTCGCCTTCAAAGTAGGCCCCATCAGAAGCAATGCACGTACAGTGGTCCGCTGACTTGAAGTCCCGCGAGACGGCACAGGGGCAAGGGGAGTCGGACCGCCCATTTATCTGTCTCGCTCCCTTGCTCTCAGGCAGTCCACATGTGTGTGTAACTGCCGCGACGAATAGCGAGCTAGAGACCAATGTGTGCGTGGGAATACGTGTGCCCCTTCTACTTCTCCCGCATTCCTTCCGCGGGACTTCAAGTGAGCGGAGCACAGTACACCAACGCTTCTCCCAGTGTTCAAAACACTTTTTAAACGCTGAAGAAGGTAGCGCCTTCAGCTCTTTCTGCGAATTTTCTTTTATGGCCTCTATCAGACTCAAAACGCCTTCCCCGAAGGGGTAATTTGAGTTTCGGAAATAAGAAAAAGTCACAGGGGGGCATATCTAGTGAATACGGTGCTTGTTCGATCACATTTATTGAGTTCTTGGCCAAAAATTCGCGTACCAAGATCGATGTGTGCAACGGAGCATTATCGTGGTGCAGGATCCAAGAATTGTTTTTCCACACATCTGGCCGTTTCCGACGAATATTTTCACACAAGCATCTCATGACGCTCAAACAATATTCTTTATTTATTGTTTGTCCATCTGGAAAAAATTCCGAATGAACAACACCATGATAATCAAAGAAAACAGTGAGCATGACCTTGATTTTCGAGCGACTTTGACACGGTTTTTTAGGGTTTAATTCATTTTCTAAGCGATATTCCGAAGATTGTTGACCTGTTTGCATATCGTACACATAAACCCACGTTTCGTCACCGGTTATGATGCGTTTCATGAAGGTAAAGTCACTAGAAGCTCGTGAAATCATGTCTTCAGCAACTTGTTTTCGATGTTCTTTTTGCAGAAAATTTAGCTCCTTCGGAACAAATTTTGCAGCGATGCGTCTCATGCCCAAAACTTCAGTTAAAATGTTGTGCACGGACATGTGAGACATTTCCACTTCATGAGCCACCTCTCTAACACTCAGACGACGATTATCGATGACCATTTTTTTTATCTTTTCGATGTTTTCGTCAGCCGAAACCATTGACGGTCGGCCGGCACACGGCAAATCTTGCACTTCTTCTCGGCCCTCTTTAAATGCCTTGTACCTGTTACATATCATTCATGTATGGGACCGAAACGTTTGGTAGCTTGGGCGTTGGCCTGATGATCTAGCGCACAACCCCTCCGGACGGGGTTGACTCATGCCGTATGTGAGCACCCGGCCCAATTTTCATTGCCTTATATGGTAATACGCCATCATTGTACAGAATAATTTTGAGTATACATATAAGGGCCGCGTTTTCTCACTCGAGGAGTTCAGTTTTTCTAAAACTCTCGACACAACGTTATTTTGACACTCGAAGCAAGATCGGGCTATAATCCCCATCAAGCAATGTATCTACCTTAGCGGTTTTTTTTAGTATTCATTAGACTAATCGAGAAGTAGCTCCCGCGAACGCACCGCGTAAAAGTCGACATAGAACTTTCGCCGTCAAGGCAGCCTAGCAATAGTACTAGTTCTGTTAATTGACCATTGTACTTGAGCATCGACTAGAATATATTCAAGTAGTTATCCTCATTTGCATTATTCACTTAATACAACCCTGAACACTATTAACAGGAAGACTAGGGGTATCTCACGAACCCGGTACACCTTTACCGCTCGAGGTGTACCATTACGACAGAACAAGATCCTAAAACATCCTAAAAACCTACGTGGCTCCCAGGGTATAGAACCCCTGGTTCGTCCGGAACTCCTTTCTCTTTCCTAACCATACCTAAAACCACCGGTCGAGTACTGCCCACGACCGAATCCAGGATCTCGCGCTCGCGCTCGTAACATACCATTCGTATGTTTGCGTTTTTGATAGACACCACTTAACATAGGCTTTCTGTAACATTTTTAACGCTTCGGCACAAGAAATTTCGTTAGAAACGCAAAATTGAAGGCAAATTCTTTGCTCGACAGTTCTTTCCATCGCAAAAATCGCAGAGCACACTTGAGATCCATTGGTGTAAATAACTGCCGTAAACATACTAGTTGTCATATTGCGATCAAATTTAGCGTAACAACTGAATACAATGTTGCCTACTTACCACAAAAATTTGTTTCAATACATGCACTGCGGGATTTGAAAGTGAGAAATTCCGAGAACTTATTTTACACAATGTATACCATTATTTCGCAACAATAACGTTCTGATAAAGATTCGAACATCTTTTTTTGAAGTAACGAACGTTCTAAAAAAGGAAGAAACATCGAAGAAATAAAGAAAGATTTTAATAAAATTGGTTACCTCGTGTATTTTCATCTTATGTATAAAATTCTCGTAGAAATACATTCTCGAGACGAAGCAGCTTGCGTTAACCGAGAAAATTGTATAGGATTCCCGCGTGGGACTGCTAGCTCTATAAATACAAATTAAACGATGAATGCGTATATATAAATTAACAAGTTTCTTCTAGAGAAGGTAAAATTAAAATTTACGCGACGAAGGGATAAAACGCATCAGAGTTGATTTCTTATTTCCCGATTGCTTAAAAATACGAACGAGTACACATCCGCAGTGAAAGTGATATTCATCTTCAAGGTATAAAAAAAAAAAATTATAGAACAACCATCCCCTAATCGACGAGTCGCTGAACAGGGCGTGTATTTGAAAAAAATTTGGAAGAAGGATAAAAGAATCTGGTGTTGGAGATTTATTTATTTGCGGATAGAACTGGTTAAAATGGATAGCGGAACTTTTCTGTGTTATTTGAAGAAAAATAAATAACTTTTAGAAGCAAGTTAAAAACGGTAAGATATTTCGAAGTGAATTAAACATTGTCGTGGATCACAGGTCTCTCTAAACGAATCTTTTCTGCTTAAACAAAATTTGAAACACGAAATGAATAAAAATTCTTCCGCGTACTTAACGAAGGGCTAAACAAATACAAAGAATCTGGACTGTTTTTTTTCTTTTAAATAGAAAATAAATTAAGTGTATCGGTTTTTCATTGATCGAGACCGCCCTCGAAACAACGCCTCGTCCAGGTATGGCCGAAATTCGAGAATTAAAGTAAGTACAATATTAACAGTGCCATAAATAAACTATTCTACACCATCGTGAGTCGCCCCCTTGCTGGGAGTCTTCTCCGACTGTCTACAGAGTCTTAAAAAATCCCTCCCTGAACTGACAAGATTCCTTTCTGTTGGTCATTACATTCTGCAGAATCAATTATCAGTATTCCCTTATTAGTATCATCATTGTCATTAGTATTCTTTAAAGAACCACCGTTGACGAGTCTCTTGCTTTGGTTGCTTTGGTTTGTTCGTTTCGAAGTCCAGCTTCGCTTTTCGACATTGTCCTCCAGCGGATTTAGAATTTACAATTCTAATCTGAATCGTTTTCGATTGGAGACTGAAACTGAGTCCTTCGAAAAATAGACTCAGAATACTAATTAATTCCTTTTTCACTTCTTCGATATTCTTTCGATATAAAAGCGAATAATATTGAACTATCTACCGCCCCAATAAGTGTTATTCTAGTCAATGGAGATTCCACTTCGTTGTATCCATTTAAGACGATAAAGAAGAAACAATAACAGTCGAAGTTCGAACGCGTTCCAAACGATAGATCAGTGGATGAATCTTTCAAAATCTCCATTCGCGAGGTCCAAGATTAAAGTTTCTCTCACTGGTTGGCGGAGTACTGGTTCAGATTTCTCTTAGTTTCGAACTTATTCGTAATTTAAGTTTAACGTGCTGTTAAATAGTGGAATAAAATTAAGAATGTTTCTCCATTTGAAAATTAAAATGTCTAAACTTTTCCCAACAGACAACCTCAAGAAGTAGAATACTTTTGGCAGAGACGAGCAAAATTTCTTCTATCTCTGGTCGCTCGAAGTTGAATTTAAGTTCCTCGACGCCATTGCTCGCTTCACTCGGGACGCATGCTGCTTTCCACCTGCGATTTTTCGTCGCTCAGCTCCAAACCGAAGTTTGTGATCCCCTGGACGTTATTTGCGGGTGTTTTCGCCTTGAGACGGAACAGAGAAGCGATCGGAGGACTCAGCAGATCCGGATCGAGATCTGCCGGTTTCTGGAAGCCTGTGGCAAAGCTGATCACGACACCGACCAGCAGCGTCAGGATACAACCGATTGCGCTGTACCATAGATAACTGATCTGCAAATTGATCGAAATGATGAAAATTTATCTGAAAGTATCCTGTGTTTTAAAATTCGTCCTCGAGAGAAGTAAGAAGAAAACGACGAGTATTATACAGGAGACAAATTTTAATGGGGGATGCTAGAGGGCAAAATAAGACGAAAATCAAGAATACCAATTTGTTAATTGGGGCTTCGTTAAAAAGTTATTAACGTTTAAAGTTCCGCCTGTAGAACGTATCGACAGCTTTACAGTTTTTTGAGCGAAAACCACTAGCAGCTGTTCGCAAGTTGCCGTTCCACAGGCGGAGCTTTAAACGTTAATAACTTTTTAACGAAGCCTCGATCAACAAATTGGTATTCTTGATTTTCGTCTTATTTTGCCCTCTAGAATCTCCCATTAAAATTTTTCGCCGAGGTGGTCGAATACCCTGCATAGAGAGGGTTGTCCTTACCTTGTATATCGAAGAGATTTCATCATCTTCCTCGACCAAATGATCGGTCGTTAGATTCGTGGTGTTTGCTATGCAGGGACAAGCATCGATCGACAGAGGTTTGCTGTCTGAGTGAACACGTCCGCCGAAAACAGCAACCTGAGTGCCTATTCCGATCCATATAACGATTATCAAACTCACGATGGCGCCTGAAATTGCTCCCTTAGCGTTCGCCCACGGCACAAACATCCCCAGAGAGAACAGTCCCAGTGTGACTCCACCGACCATGCCATTAAACGATAACGCAACCTGGAACATTGATTTCGATTGTCCCTGAAGTGATAATCCCAACGCGTTGACATCACGATAATACACATCCATTCAACGGTACGGTAGATCCTTCGTTATTCGTACTAATATTAACCGAGATCGGTGCAAAAATTCGACGCTAATTACTGATTGGTTTTTCGCAACAGAAAACGAAAAAAGAAACGTCAGAGGATTTAGGATACCTGGAGAACGCTGCCAAGACGCTCCACAACGAAGACTAAAGCGAAGCTAAGACCGCCGAAGAAAATGCTGATCCTCCTGGCGTATACGGCGCCTTTTGCATCTGGCAATTTTATCCTGAACAGCCCTTGAAGAATGTCCTCGCAGGTGATCGCGGCCAGCGAGTTCAAGGCGCTCGCCACGGTTCTGAAAAGTTTCGCAAGTTTCTGTACCGTTCTTACTTATTTTGGTGTATTAAACACTAGAATTACCAAACTGATCGAAACAATTGTAAATTCTAACAAAAATTCTTACAAATTTACCGCGGTTTTCTATAAGAGAATGAATAAATAGTTATTTCCATTGCATTGTACATTTTTTCAAATATCTATCGTTTTAATTTCTTCGGTAGAAATAAAGACACCATAATTGTTGGTAGCTCTGGTGTTAATGGTCGCTGGGGAAACGTACCCCAAAGAGGCAGCAAAGATTCCAGCGACGAAGAATCCGGGCATGCCTTTGAGACTGCCCAAATAGTTCATCACGTACAGTGGCAGAAGTTGATCTCGGCTGCTTATGTAACCAGCCAACAGAGGATCACAGTCTTTGTAAGTGCTGTAGAGCACCATACCGGTCAAGAAGTTCACGGTGTATATGATGATCATGCCGATAGCAGACACCCATAACGCCCTGGAACGATATGTTTATGATAGATATTATATGATAGATATGGTATATTTACATAGGACAGTATGAGATTTGTAAATGTTGCGATAAAAGGTTGTAATGAATAGAAATCTTGGAAAAATTTCCACGAGGGACTCACGTTCTGGCTTGGCCAATGGTCTCGACGCTGAGGTATTTTTGGATGGACGCCTGATTGCTGCAGAACATGGTGGTCCAGTAGACAGTCCCGCCGATCACCACGCTCCAGAAGCTGTGCTTGGTCGTAAAACTGGGATCCATGTTGAAGAACTGCATCCTACCAGTCTTTTCATTCGCGTTCCACACTTGGGCAAGACCGCCCTCCCAGGTCATGCCGTAACCGAGGATAAGAAACAGGGAACCTAGGAGCACCGCCCCTTGGAACGTGTCCGTCATTATGACGGCTGACATTCCACCCTGAAACGAACAAAGAAGAAAACTAGAATCTTGTCATGATCATGATGATTATTTTAGGAAGTTGATTCTTTATATCATAGTGTGAGATCCTGTAAAGGAGATGGAAGAGGAAAGGCGGTACAAAGGATTCTATTTCTATAGAACTTGAAAGCTTTTGGGAGTCAAAGTAAATTCTAGATCAAACAAAAATTAGATTGTTCCACAAGTCTCGCGGTTGCGGTACCGGATACATATTATGGCGAACGAAAAGAATGGTACGAACCTGTGAGGCGTAGAAAATACAGACTACGTAGACTAGAGTGACGGCTATATAAGTATTGAGACCCGTGACTGCAAGAAGACAAGGTAAACAAGGTGAATCGAGACAAGCTTATGATCGATACCAGCCATATTTCGTTCGACTTACCATGACTTAGAGCTAACGCTGGCGCGTAAACGGCCACGGACGTGTAAAGAATCATTTGTAACATGTACAGTCCGCTGGCGAGCAGTCTGCAGCGTCGATCGAACCGATAATCCAGATATTCGTAACTGGAGGTCAGCCTTAGTTTCATGTAAACCGGCAGGTACAGGAGCGAGGTAATCGGTACGACCAGGATGAACGTCACGCAGCTCATCCAAAATTGCGTTCCCTTTATTTTATGGAGAAGAAATAGATTTACGTTAGTAAAGTTAGTTAGTTAGTCAGTATTCAAGATAAGGAAGAATGTAAAATGTAAGAATAAGGGCATTTTTGTCTTTCATTCTGAGTCGAGTCCATTTTTGTTTCGGCAACCAGTGCGTATCATAAGTCGCGTACCTGTTCGTACATCTCCGCAGGATTCCCAAGAAGTTCGATGGCCGTGATGAAACTGGCGCCCAGGGACATCGCCATGGGGAACGTTCCAATGTTCGAACCGCCCAACAGGAACTCGTTGCTGGTCTCCTCCTTCTTGGAGAAGAAACCGTAGAATGTGCCGATCAGGGACGAGATTAACAGCATCCCCGTGAACACCACGTAGTCGGCCCAGGAGAAGTAGTGCAGCAGAACCGGATGCTCGTCCGTGCATATCCTGTCGGCATCCTCGGGCGGCTGTTGGTCCGCCGAGCAGACGGCCAGGAAGAAGAACAGCGCGAGCAAACGCGACCACATCTTTCAGGGGCTGGAACGAAATCGTACATTTATCATGATCGTTTTCAAGTACAGTGAAACCTCGCTTAACGAGCACCTCGCATAACAAGTAATTCGCATAACGAGCAATATAAATTGTAAAAAAATGACTCGCTTAACGAGCGACGTTTCACATAATGAGTGACGTGGATAGGGGAATCCTCGAATTGTGCGATGGAACTTTTCGTGCCATTGCTACATCAGTCTGTTTAGAACTTGTTGCGCTAGCATCTTACAATTAGTGTTCCATGTGATCACACATTTTTCCAAACTTGTGTTCAGACATTATTTGTGATTTTTTTGTGCAAATATTAATAACCCTTGTAAAAATTGTAAACCGTTGGCTGACCAGCTGCCATGCACACGTGGCAGTAGGTCAAAGGCGACCGCGAGCCGCCAAAAGAGTTTATGTTACGCCGCGCGGACGCGACGCCGTGCTTTGGAGAAATGCCGATTCGCCGGCGATGACCAAATGTTCGGACGATCGAGAATCAGTCTCGTCCAGGGCATCATCGAGGAAAGACGAATAAAGCCGACATTATTCCCAAACGTTGCTGTTGAGCGCGGAAAGCGGACACTCTGCTTCAAGCACCGCGCCCAACAAAAAAAAACGCAACAAAGCGAGATATATGCCAGGGAAAAACTCTTCGATACTCGGCACTTCGAGCATCTACATCTGCGTGCCAACATTCAGCCCTGGCATAAATCTCCAAATTCGACGAAGCAACCACTTAAGACAGAGCCATTGTCGCTAGGCGCAGCTAGCGGTACCTAGACGTACGGCCAATGGTTTATGACGGGGCCTGGGTTTCGTCGGCAGCGTGCAGGTCGAAACTCCGGCATCTGCAGGCCAGCCCAGACCTCCGCATAAAAACACTGGCTCTATTTTTCGCTAAGTATTACAAGGATCAGGAGAGCAACAAATTCAGCGACATCGTCTCGAAATTTCCACACTCCCACGCGACACGCACCCCCTTCCAAGGGCATCGCGTAAGGGCGATTTGGAAGGGAGGAGACGGCATGGGAGTTTAAAAAAAGGCCAAGCGAGGCAAAAATCTTCACTTCGTTCTGAGACTTCATTCTGAAACATCAGCCTAACAACGACCATTAAACTCTAACTTCTTACGCCTACGATACAGGCATCGTCGATCATTCGCATCTTTTGTAAATAGAAGTCGCGTGCAGTATTAATAAACCTAAATAACCAACCAAAGCTACATCCTCGTTATTCCTCCATCCGAGTTATTAGTTTACTTCGGAGCCACGCGAGCCCGACGTTGAGTGGCGAATTTACTTGACGGATTCCGCGCGCCGCAACAGTTGCACTTTACCACGAATCCCGGCCATCCCCTTACAAAATGTCCCCGAAGAAAAAGCCGCAAGAGAGCACCTTGTATAAGAGACTAAAAATAACCTTCAAAATAAAACGTGAAATCATTGAAAAACGAAAACGAGGTGTGAGCGTGGCTGATTTAGCACGCACATACAATCGGTCTACATCAACCATTTGCACCATTCTCAAGAACAAGGACAAGATTATGGAGGTAGATGCTTCAAAGGGAGTGACAAGAATATCTACGCAAAGGTTACGTAGTCTCGACGATGTTGAAAGGTTGCTGCTCATATGGATAAACGAAAAGCAATTGCAAGGCGACACAATTAACGAAAGCATAATTTGTGAGAAGGCGAAAGTGATTTTCGCCGACCTCGTTAAGAAGACGCCAGGATCATCAACAGCCGGAGAAGAAGTACAATTTAAGGCAAGTCGTGGGTGGTTTGAGAAATTTAAGAGAAGAACAGGTATCCACAGCGTTGTAAGGCACGGCGAAGCAGCAAGCTCCGACACAAAGGCAGCAGAGAACTTCATCGCCGACTTCAAGAAGCTCGTAGATTCTGAGGGTTATCTGCCGCAACAAGTTTTTAATTGTGACGAGACGGGTCTCTTCTGGAAAAAGATGCCGAAGCGAACATATATGTATAACAGCAGAAGAGAATGCATTGCCCGGGCACAAGCCAATGAAAGACCGCCTCACGCTGCTATTTTGTGCCAATGCAAGCGGTGATTTGAAAATTAAACCGCTACTTATATACCATTCAGAAACTCCACGAGCATTCAAGAAATGTAAAGTTCAGAGGAGCAAGCTAAATGTGATGTGGAGATCCAACAAGAAGGCTTGGGTGACACGCGACATTTTTACTGATTGGATTAATGAAGTGTTTGGTCCTTCTGTGAAAAAATATTTGCTTGAGATGAATCTTCCACTCCATGTCTTGCTTGTTATGGACAACGCACCTGCTCATCCTCCAAGCCTACAAAATGATCTCCTTGAAGAATACAATTTCATCAAGATCCAGTTTCTGCCTCCCAACACAACTCCGTTACTCCAGCCAATGGACCAGCAGGTTATTTCTAATTTTAAGAAGCTCTATACAAAAGCACTCTTTGAGCGTTGTTTTGAGGTGACTGAAGGGACCAATTTCACTCTTACAGAGTTTTGGAAATATCACTTCCACATTGTTGCCTGCCTCAAGATGATCGAAAAGGCGTGGGAAGGAATTACCAAGAGAACTCTCACTTCTGCTTGGAAGAAGCTTTGGCCAGAGAGCGTTGTCGAATGTGACGTTGTGGGGTTTGAGACCGTTGTAGTATCTGAGGACCCTGTAGTCAATGAGATTGTGTCTCTGTCCAATATGTTGAGGCTGGAGGTGGATCACAACTATATCGATGAGCTTATAGAAGAGCACAGTCAAGAGCTGACCACTGAAGAGCTTATGGAGTTGCATTGTGCTTCACAGCAAGAAGGTGTGGAGGAGGAGGAGGTAACATCAAAGCAACAATCTTCTGGTGAAATAAGAGAAATGCTAAAAGCATGGGAAAGTGTTGCTTCGTACATTGAGAAGCATCACCCTAATAAGACAGTGGCTATGCGCGCTACAAATATATTCAATGATAATGCGGTGTCACATTTTTATCAAATTTTGAAGGGTCGGCAAAAACAAATGTCTCTAGACAGCTTTCTAGTAAAAAGAAATTAGGTATGTTACTAAGAAAAGATGACGATGAATCACGCTTATTAACCATTTATATGTATTTTTCTTTGAATAAATATTATACATAACGTTTTTTTGAGTACTTTTTTGAAAATTTCAAATTTGGAGTATTTTTTTCGGCATAGAACGCATTATCGTATTTTACATCAATTTATATGGTAAAAATTGTTTCGCTTAACGAGTGTTTCGCGTTACGAGTAAGACTCCGGAACGAATTATGCTCGTTATGCGAGGTTCCACTGTATTAGGTCGATGCATATAAAATGTTGGACCTCACGAAGAATAATGGAAACGATTTTCATCTGTTTAAGTTCCTATTATCAAGGAGAACCACCAGAGTTGATAAAATTGATGTTATAGTTCCCAGGAGTACGATAGATAAAATAAGTGTTAAAGGAGTACCGTTTAATCCAGTCTTTGTTCTCGCCGGTTACACAATCGTACGAAGAAGTTTAGCCATGTTTCTATTATACGTTTGTCCAACAATACTGACTTTGTCTTCCTAGGTTTCTTCGAGTCAGATTTTATTGGAATAACATACAACGAATGAAACTAATGCCATAGTAATTTACACACGATCGATAGGTTGAATTTTTGTTCATTGTGAAATTCTAATTTCTGTTCAGCGAATAGCAAAGAATTGTTTATCTTTTTTTCGTTGTTCGCGGTTTGTGTCTGAATAGATTTTGAAAATAGAAGTAGATAGGATCGATGATAGATCACACGATCCCTGTGCACTTGACATTCCCGTGTTCTCGAGTCTCATTCATCGACACTCTGTCGAAGGACGGATCTAGGATCACGTGAAAGCCACGCGAACACATCCGCGCGATCCAGATTGATCTCTATTGCCTGTCGACGTAACCGGAGACTTCTCGATTTTCTTTTTGGTTTTGGTCTCACCTTACTCTTGCTTGGCTTTTCAATTCATACATGAATTAACATCGAAATCGCAAATAACTAGAACACAGTTTCTATCGTTTACGTTCTTTTTCTTTTTATACGACAAAAATTGAAGAATTTCCAAATCGAAATAACCGTGAAATACACTCGACTCTCTTTTTACGCGATTTTAAATTGCTTTTTGTATAGTTTGCATCCATTACAACGAGATTGATATATTTCTATTGATCAGTACTTGCACTATGTGAGAAAAGGGTCAGGTATAAATTGTGTTATTTTATATAGAATAAGTTTGCGTAATTGCATTTTAGAAATAACACCGAAATAAGATAGCATCTTATTGGATATAATAAGAACGCGTTTCGAATGACGTTATTTCAAATGCGCCCAGGTTTAATTAGAACCATTGTCACAGTTAATTGATCTAGTCTGGGAACACCCAACAGATGCATAATCTCGCCGATTGTGTCTCCCTTACATAAGCAAAGTGTAACGAACTGCGTTCCGTCTTGTTCGGTTCGTGCGATACGGTTATTGAGCGCCTCGTGCCTCGCCATTGGGCGCGTAATTGTTTAGAAAGATTTGCACCGTCGTTGCGACTATTAAAACGGACATTTGATCGTCGTTAAGGAATCTGGTTGTTTCTGGATGAAACCAGTTATCCCGATGGCGAATCCAGCTCGCACGAAACGAAGAGCAGCATTTTTTAGAGAAGAAGAAAGCAATCTCTTCTCTTCCTTCTTACTCTTCCCGTTAAACTTCTGGACTAAATTTCTCAACTGTTCAGCAATTAGGACTCAGAACATCTGGAATTCTTTTTCAAACTTTCTGCATTGTTTCGGCTGCTTCTGCTACTAATTTCTTTTTTCAAAAGACTCGAATTTCTTCGTTTATTTCTTCTTTTCCCTATTTTTGGAAGTTTCAAATCCAGCTCGTACGAAACGAAAATTTTTCAACATTAAAAGAGGAAGTAGTTTCGATAATATCCGAAGGGGAAAGAAGAAATGTGACGTCGAACTTCAACTTCGTTTTCTACGCGCAACAATTAGAGTTTGAAGAAACACGAGACAAGCTGCGACCGGCATTAAAATTTGTAAACATTTTTGTTACGATGATCATTATCGACGTCGCGCGGATCGATGATGCTCAATCATCTAGTCGTTTCTGGACGAAACCGGTTTCGTTAAATCGAAACATATTTCATGCTAGAACGAACGGGAAAAATGTCTTCGTGAAATCCTTGTTTTCTTGTTAAACCTATGAGGAAGTAAATTAATCGAGAAGAAATTCTACGTTAAAGACAAAGTACACGGTCCAATCTTACGATTTTCTAGTTACTCTAATGTAATAAAACGAACGATAATGAACATTGTTTGCTACCTTTCAGGCTTCGATAATTAATCCATTCGAAACTGCTGGAATATCGACGCCAGGAAACAACAGATTTAACATAGAACAGCGGACAGATGCTGTGCTCGGCAGGATTTCAATGCCAACACAAAGCTCGGTTACAATTATGATTTGTTTGAAGCCTGACAAGCGGAAACGCAGGAACTACATCATGTAATTGGAATTGGAACCAGAGATCCGTGAAAAAAAATCGCCTATTATGGGACACCGTGATGAAGTAATATCGAGTTATTTATTTGTTTCATTGTCTCCGGCCTTTGTTGATAAAATATGGATCGACTGTTACGGGATAATGCTCTTTTTCAATGGAAACGTCGCAAAAAATAGCTGAAATCTCTGACGTTTTTTACAAAAGAAAATAACAATGAAAAAAATGCATGTACAAAAATCATCAAGATCAGGAATGAAATTTAAATTCGAGCAGATCAACTAATTTTGGAAGGAACATTCTGGTTTCCATACATAGGGATTGATCTTTGTAGCCAAGAAAAAAATGTTTATAGTATAGTTTGTGGTGAATGAAGGATCTCTTTCACAGTGCTCTTACCTTTTGAGTTTCGAGTTCGCAGTCCAACGGTCCTAGGTCGAAAGAAGAGAAGAAGAGATCTTCGATCGGGGTGTTCTACTATTGATCCAGCGTGGCCGGCAGAAACGTGCGAAACTGCAGCTGAATGATCTTGCTGGTTTTCCTGACGTAACGCATGTATGCTCGGATTTCTCAGTACCTCGAATCGAAGAACTTTGGGGAACCGTCGAGAGAGTAACGATTAATTAATTAGGAGGAGGTTTCACGCTTCTCGTTTGGAACTGAGGCCGGACGAATTAAGCGGAGAACGATTTCAGACTGTCGTTTTAATTGTGACATGTGCCCATTTATACGAAGCATCCCCTTCCAGGCTCCGTGTTTCTTCCATTCCGCGGACTTATGGAAACAACAACAACAATTACGACGTGCACGGTGTGCCTATTGCGTGGGCACGAGTCATACGATGACACCTTATGCTTCCAAGAAAGTGCATCACGGGGTGGAAACAGGTTACACCAAATTATACAGATGTTTCGATGGTGACTATCGAAAAGACTTATAAAATGGTAAATGAAGAGACAACCTGATTAGAAGTATAAAAGTTAAATTTAGTCATTGTGAATAATTTGAAAAACTCTGGATCAGTGGGAGAGACTCGTATTAAATAGTAACCGATGAGACAATCCAGCTAGAGATATAGAAATTAAATTGAAAATTCGATGGATACTTGAGTTAAGGGGTAGAACCACTGTAAAACCATGAAATAAAGTGTTTTTCTGCGATATGAATGGAAAAGTGAAAGGATAATATTATTCAAGAATGTTATTAACCATGTCGTTAAGTGTTAAAAAAAAATATTTATTCAAAAATAGTGCAAAATGACGACGCTGGAGCCATTCTAGCGAGGCGTGTTTTGAATTTGAGACAGACTGCGGCACGCAGTGTAACTGACGCAGTGTATCTGGAAAAAAGCAAAACATTTTCTCTTAATCTACACAAGTATAGCTAGAGAAATACGTAGGGGATCTTCGATAAGTTAATTTTAACGTTATTTATTGACAAATGATTGACCCATTTTTTGTACAAAATTGAACTTTCTACTTCAAATGCTCGTCAATCACACAAAAATTAATGTTTCAAAAATCCCCTACGCATTTCTCTAGCTATACTCATGTAGATTAACAGAAAATTTGTTGTTTTTTTTTAGATACAAATTACACTGCGTGCCGCAGAGCACCTCAAATTCAAAACACGCCTCGCGAGAATAGCTTCAGCGTCGTCATTTTGCATTATTTTTGAATAAATATTCTTTTTTGTAACACATAACGACATGGTTAATAACATTTTTGAATATTATTATCCTCTTACTTTTCTATCCAACAAAAAAAATAAAAAAATCGCAGAAAAACGCTTTATTTCAGGTTTTTACACTAGTCTTACCCCTTAAGATTGGAAATTGCTTCAGAATGAGGTCCTCGAAAAAATAAAGTCCTTGTTTTATCGAAGGGACACCTGTAGAACTATGTCTGTAAAACACAGTTATCTGAAGGAACTTAACAATTCTAAAATTTCATAGTTCTATTGAAGAGATGACTGTGGAACAGTGGTTGTGGAGATATACCGGTCAGAAGGTTAAACATCTTTAAAAGTGATTCAGTTCAGTGGAAGTTGAATTAAAAATTGAGACTATAATACCATTAGAAGTTATTAAAGAATTCATGGTTCCACTGAAGTTGAGTAATCAGGAGAAAAATAGTTTTCTAACAATCTATTAATATTTCTATTCGAAGTAGTTAAGATTGTACAATATTTTCTAAAGCAACCTAATATAGAGGAAAAAATCTTAAATTAACAATGAAGAGGCTTGATAATATTGTTAAATGAAGAAGAAAACCCATGGGTGAGAATAAAATTCCAAATCAGCGTTGAATCGTTATTCCTTGGCAGAACGAAGCACCACGAAACTTACATTATTTATTCCAACCATATTTGCCGAACTTGAACGCTAAGCAGTTGCTGGAAATGACCGACACCAAGAACAGCTTCAAGACTGAGCGTAGAACCGCACCAGCAATACTTGCTACGATAAGGATGGCTCTAATCGACAGTGGCTGCAACTCCATCAGTCGAAAAATCGACTCTTGTATTGGAGTGCGTATGAAATTCATGAACACGGTCGGTTAAATCAGGATTCAACCAGTTACAGCTTACAGGGTTGCAAGCAAAGTGTGATTATCACTTGTTTCCTTAAAGTCCTATCTCTCTGTGGCCCCATTTAACCCCACGACAATGGCCGCCGAGCAGACGTCGACTTGGAGTACCCGGAATAATTTATATTTCCATTTATATTTATTCAGCTAGAACGTATCCGTTTAGGAGGTCTTCCACAAAATTTTATTCATCATCCGAGAATACATACAAATATTTTCAGTCCAAAATAATAAAAATTGTAAAAATTATCTAATAATATGTCCAGGCTCTCTCAAATAACGAGTCTGGATGGTCGACATTTTTATGAGATATCAAACCATATCACTTACTTCTACTGCAGATTTGAGATAGAATCTTAATATTCAGGAATGAGTTTGAGAAATATCTATTAGTATTTCTAAGTATCATCCCCTAGCGTGAATCACTGATTCTTTTTGTACTGCTTAATTGATGATATAACGGTTCTAACCGGTTGTAACTATCATCTGTCTCGTGGGGTTTTCACGATGAATCGAAGGTGATGCTTCGGTTACGATTTTATTGCAGTTCTTGGACCTAAAGTGGCCACATGCATTACCGTGAAGACATGTATGTGTACCATCACATTTTGCATAATTAAACAGTAGCTCATTGAGATTATAAAGACGAACGTTTACTTATATTTGCAATCAGCGTTTGGAGTTCAACGAAAATAATTACAGAAATAGTTTAATTGTTGAGTATGTGTATATTCGTGAAATGGAATTCTTGACCCTCAGATTTTGTAACTAATCAGCGATTCATATCGATGAATTTACAGCTTCAAAACGTTTCGGTTAACGTGTTACATAATGTCTGTGTTGTTTCACAGTGCAAATTATAAACAGTTTTATAGCGGATCGTTTACATTTCATTTCATTTGTAAAGTTAGAGATGTTCTGGAGGTGAAGCGAAGGTAAATTAGATTATTTATGACACAACGCGATTCACTGGCATTCCTTGCCCCCGCTCATTATGCTAATTTTGCCAGGAACGCCATAACTCGTGCACGATTGAGCCGATTCGCACTGTTCCTTAGATAAATGGATAAACACGACTAAACGAAACGCGTAATGGATAAATTTCTACAGAAGAATTTTAAAAACACTTTTAAAAATGTTCAAACATCGATTAGAAAATTATCTTAGCCCAGAATCAAGGCTTGAACTGAGACTATTGAAGTACGAGGTGTGTAAATTAAGTAATGAGACTGAATGAGACTTTTTTTTAAATTGTTTTTATTCGAATAGAATTACAATTCAATATTGTCTCCCTCAAAATAACTTCCTTGGGAAGGCACACAGCGCTGGAAACGATTCTTCCAATCCTCATAGCAGTGCTGGAACACGGATACTGGTATAGCCTTCAGCTGGTCGGTTACAGCCGCTTCGATGAATTCGAGTGCCCCAAAATAACGTCCCTCGAGGTGATTCTTCAATCTCGGGAAGAAGAAAAAATCACAAGGACTCAAGTCAGGCGAATAAAGAGACTGAGGAGCCACGGGAATGTTTTTACTGGCCAAAAACTCATTTACTGAAATTGCTGTGTGACAAGGCGCATTGCCGTGAATACAACACCCAGTTGTTCTTGGTGTTTCGCCTCACACGCATAACCCTTTTTCGAAGTTTTTCTAGAAACTCTCGGTAAAAGTGTTGATTGACCGTTTGGTCTTGAGGCACAAATAGTTTTGTGGACGATTCCCTGGCTACCGAAAAAGCAAATCAGCATAACTTTTGACTCATTTTTAGGACGCACTAGAAAGAACAGTTTTACGAAAACAATTGGTACGTTCAACCAAATGACTCTAGCGGGTACAAACTTGTATCGAAGGCGTATCACACGTTCACCTACCGTCCCTCCAAGTACCGCGTCCCAAATGTTGACAGATCGAACGTTACGTTGCCAGTCTCATTACTTAATTTATACACCTCGTACATGCCACTCTAAATCAATTTAAAAAAAAAAAACAAATTTTCTTACCGTTTTCCTTGGGAGAAATTTCTTTTGCAAAGAACAGAAAACTACCACTTCGACTTAGCACTCGAGCACCTCACAAACCTCATGCGTTGATCGTACAGAATCACCTTTTCATTATTTGAACAAACTGTGCCACTACACAAACGAATTCCCTTCCAATTTCTGCCTATCTTTATCCTAACTGTCCAGTCGATTGTAAAACTAAGTAATCAAACAGTTAGCGCGTTTCCCATTCCTCAATCACATTAAATTTACGAACTATTGCGGAACCGAGGCAGAGAAACCGTTTACTTCGAAGTTTGAAATACACCTAAGCGTACAAGTACATGATCCTGTATCGTAAAAGGTCGACAACAGGAACACAGGAAGCGGTGGAGTCCCAGGGAAATAAACAGAATTCAGGAAAAGTAAATACATCGTATAGATTGGTCAAGGTTTATACAACATCACACAGACTTCTGTAATTGGTCAGAAATTTTATCTATACAGGGTGCTCGGCCACCCCTGAGAAAAATTTTAATGGGAGATTCTAGAGGCCAAAATAAGACGAAAATCAAGAATACTAATGTGTTGATGAAGGCTTCGTTAAAAAGTTATTAACGTTTAAAGTTCCGCCCGTACTGAATTTTTTTTCTAAAAAGTGGGTAGGATTTCGGGGGTAGGTCTATTCACCAAAAATTATTGTAATTGACCCCCGCAACCGAAAATAATTTTTCCAGAATGATTTGAAATTTTTTAATTTTGTCCAAAAATTTGTCCACCTTCCTGAATTTTTTTCTAGAAAGTGTGACGTATTTCGAAGGTATATGTATTCACCATAAATGATTGTAATTGACCCCCGCAACTGAAAATAATTTTTCCAGAACGATTTGAAATTTCTTTTTCGCCGAAAAATTTAGGCACCCTTGTCGATTTTTCTTAAAAATTTATTTATCATTTTTAATAAATTTGTTTGGCACTCTACAGAAAAGTTGTCTAATACTTTTTTGTAGGTATCTGAGCACTACTTCAGAAAAAATTTCATTGAAATATATTCACTATTGTAGGAGTTATGGCCGTTTAAAAATTTGACCAGTTTTAGGGGGTTTTTCTCACTTTACGGTGCCAAGGAACAATTTGTTCAATATTGTTAGAATTTCTACATATTCCCCACTAAAAGACGCGTTGTTTGCATTTTGAAAAATTAAAATCCTCCAGTCCGTTCAAGAGTTATGACATTTTCAGGAAAGCATTTCTGGCCGCGCATTAGATTTTCGGTAAAGAATTTTTTTCTCGAAAGTGCATAGGAATTCGGGGGTATGTCTATTCACCAAAAATGCTTGTAATTGACCCCTATAACTAAATATAATTTTTTTAGTATAATTTGAAATTTGTTAAGTTCGTCTAAAAATTTCAGTACCCACTCAAATTTTTTTCTCGAAAGTGGGTAGGATTTCCGGGGTATGTGTATTCACCAAAAATAATTATAATTGAGCCCCGTAACCAAAAATAATTTTTCCAGAACGATTTGAAATTTTTTAACTTTTTAATGAAATCTCAGTCAAGAAGTTAATATTCTTGATTTTCGTCTTATTTTGGCATCTAGAATCTCACATTAAAATTTGTCTAGGGGATGGCCGAACACCCTGTATATTATAATGAATTATTGGATCTTTAATGATATACCATATGAAAACTGGTCATTTACAAAGTTTTGAGGTACCTTATTATTAACATAGTACTCTGTGAGCGTCACGCGTTGCATGAATGCTCTTTTACTACCAATGAATTCGTGTGGTGCTATACTTTCTTCGTGGCCAATAGAGACTACCTAAAAAAATTGAAAGGAACTCGTTGAACCATGAAATTAATTTACCATAAAAGGTTCGCACTGAAACATTTTTTAATTGATCCAGTGAAACGGTCAAAGGGAAACTGTGTCTTCAAGGGGCCAATGGCTGCTCAAGATATTCGACACCTCGTTCTAGATTATGAAACATCAACTAGATTTCTTGATGGATTAATTGGCAGTTGGCAGAAGCAACGTGAAAAAACGTCGGACGGAGTTTCGCTGTTAAAATAATTAAAAAGAGCCCATATCGCCTGATCGAAGCGCAGACCAACAGACAAATTGAAACTGGTTTCAACTAGCCGACGGTAGTTTTATCTGAACTGGTCGGTCACTTCAGAAGCACCTTGGATCGTTCTTCTTTCCCAACAAACGCTTCGCAAAGACTTCTCAAAGTTACTCTCCTCTTTTACATACAATGGACAGGCCTATCGACCTTTTTTTTATTTTCTTTTTCTGTTGTAGCATTGCGTATCGGAGTCCCTGAATATTCACAAGTATCTTTACTGTTACCGTAAAATTCAAATGGGACAACAAATAAAGAATCGAGTGACGTAAAAGAATCAATTATTCTGTAAATACATAAACAAAATTGCAGAGTAAAATATTTCGTAATTTCTTCAAAAAGGTATCACAAGTATTTGGTTATGCATATTGTTTGCAGATCCCTCTTTTTCTTCTTTAAATGGGAAACACAGATTAAAATTAGGCACAGCTATAATTACATTTTATCTAGTTCTATCGTCCTAATCGACCCGAATCATTCTACCATTTACAACCATGAATTCTTTTCTCTTAATTGCTTTGCGCTTAATTGTAATTACTTGATTCATTATCAAGATGAATACAAGCTAGAAACGTAGAAGCACTTTTATTACTTCTTTCACATGCAACACACTTATACGCACGGTATCTTATTTCTGAACAATCGAACGCGTTAACAAGGTACAAGATACAAATAAATTAAATTTTGATATCAAGTGCTTTTAATACTATGTTTAAATACATATGTATATATACTTAGAACGAAAACACATATTCGTCGCAACGTACTCCTGCAATCGTCACGAAGCAAAATACACGAATCGTCATTTTTCTGCGTAGAAAAAATATTCGCCAGAATCGTAAAAGTTTGAATGAATATTGTACATAATATCATATAATAACTGAAAAATATATTACAAATAAAAAATAACTTTTTTTGACCCGGTTAAAAGCTAGATATGCATATGTATCACAAAATCTTTTTTTTTTAGAAACATTATCTTTTTCTTTAAATAGAATTTCATATTTTTCTTATCTATATGAAACGGCGCTCTATCCCTTTCTTCCTTACTTAAATAAAATTAATATCCTGTCCAGTGAAAACTTTGTTATCGATATAATCTTGATATAATAATTTTGAAAAATACCACTCATTCAGTGCGTAACGTTTTAAAAATCATAACAGAATTCTAATGAGAAATACTGATAAATGATTAAATTAGGTCATAGTTGTAGATTTTTCCATAGAACAATTCAAATTCATCTGTTCTGCGAATCTATAATTAAATACAATTCGTTGAATAGTTTGTTGAATATATGGAAACAGGACAATAATTTAGTATAAAAGTGTTGTAAGTATCACGCTCAAAGAAGTAACATCGCATACAAACATGACCACCGAGTGGCAACATTTGGCTAAATTTCATTTAAAAATAGAAAATATACAAAAATGGCAGTTTAGGAACAATACGTGGAAGACATTTGGCTAGCAACTAAACCTCTAAACGTTCGCTAAGTAATAAACGACTAACACAATCGAGTTGAAAGTATCGATACTCAATTTTTCGATATCCGTTTACCTAGTTCTGCGACAATGGTAAGTAAAATGACACGCATCGGTGTTAAAAGTGACACATTTAAATAAAATTAAAACTCAGGAAAAACGACTTAGCTAAAATTTACAATAACAAAAGGTTATTTTCCATGTTTACAAAATCGAGGCTACAATTAATAACGAAAAAATTTTAATTAAATTAATCTCTTATTATTTTTTTAAACTTACCACTTTTCCCATAAAAGAATCAACGCGACAGTTTCCCTTTTAGGCCCAACGATTAACGAAATAATTGAATGTATACTTTCCTCAATTTTAAATACGGAATATATACTTTCCTCAATTTTAAGTACGGAATGTATACTTTCCTCAATTTTAAGTACGGAATGTCTAATGTCTAAAATAAAATGCTATTCAATAAATACTATGCATTGTACTATACTTTCGTAGTTGAGGTTCCATCCCTGTTTTCTAGATTACTAGACTTATTAATAGAGAAAATGTACTTCTTGTGGGTGGAGGTATCCCTTGGTGTTTCACACTCATTTATTTCTGAACTTTGCTTGTGTCTACGGCGTATACGGTTTCCTATTATAGGAAAAAATAGGTTGGGATCCAGCTCAACCTTTTGCTTTTTAAATAATAGCTTTAAGCAGTAACTGAGCGTCAGCCCCACAACGAACGTTAGCACAAAACCAAGTGGGCCGTACCACATGTATGAGATCCGGTACAAGTAAAAGTAAGACGAGTCACCTGTACTCCTAAAATAGAAGAAAAGGATTAATTCTGTTTTACCGAATATCTATACGCATTATTTCTACTTACTGTGCAAATTGTGTAATCTGTTGTGAAGTAGAAGTAGAAAAAGTCACGTTTCCATCACAACCATCAGGTAATGGCAAAATTGGCGGACTTGGTCTGGGTTGTCCAAAAGCTATCCAAAACAATAACACTAAAGACGCGGTGGTACTTGTTACGGATCCGATTTCCGTTGCCGATTCGGTAAGCATGCCAAGAGTGAAAAGGCCCAAAAGCGGGCCACCCACTATGCCAAATATTGTCAAGCTGACCTTTGATGATAAAAAGAATAAAATTCAGTTAATCCTAGATCGAAGTTGTCTTCGACGTTTTTTATATAACCATTTGTCACCTGTAAAATGCCGCCCAACAGTTGTGCTAAAAACGCCAAGGCAATGGAAATAACGCCAAACACTAATGCAAGCAATTTAGCTATGACTAATGACGTTGTAGCAGAGAATTCGCTACCGCGACATTTTTTATAGGCAGGTTTCATATAATCTTCTAACGTTACCGCTGCTAAAGAATTTAAAGCTGCGGAAATAGTGCTGAGCCCGGCACTAAAAATACCTAAGCAAAAAACGTAAAAAAAGTATAAATATGTAAAAATCGTTCAATCAAAAGCGTTCTCGCATTAATACGTGGGCTCGACATTACAAAATAAAATTATTGTAATAGAAAATAATTAGAAATTCTACCTGCTATGAAGAGACCGGGCAAACCAGGTTTGTCGGACATGGTATCCATAACATATAATGGCATCAACATATCGGATGACGATATCCGTTTCGTACTAATAGGATCGCATTTGTAATATTTACTGTATATTGCCAACCCTGAGAAACACGTAGTCATTGAAAGTAACGTTAAAATCGGCCACGACAGCCAGAGCGCCATTTGTGCTGCTTTTACGTCTCTAAAATTATTATAAACGTTAATAATGTCATACTCGATGAATTTTCTTGTTACGTACGTTGTAATACGTACTTCACAGTCAGCATACGTTGTACTTGAACTTGATTCACACCATACAATGATAAAAACGTACATAAGCCTCCGATGGTAAGCGACCACCAAGTATGTCGCACTGTAGGATCTACAGAAATACTGTAAAAATATTTCTTCATTATTTAATTAAAATAGAGATTGCTTAACACGTTCGCTATTACATGTCGATCAGTGCAATTAAAAGCTACATTGAATAAGATTACTACAAATATAGCGTTGTTTGCGTTAGACGATTTTCTAATTGAACGATGGTAGTGAATGCGTTAATTACGTTCTTTGATTGCAAACTGAAGTACCTGTTAAATTCAATTCTATGACCAGCTTCCGCTATTCGCCAAATTTCTCCTAATCCTCCAGCTTCCTTAGCAGCTGTAGCGATTATAATAAAGACGGCAACGAACATAAGTAATCCTTGAAATACGTCCGTTATTAGGACAGCTTTAATGCCCCCTATACTTGAGTACAGGGTACAAACTAAACCAATAATAATAATACTGCCAGTTTTAGAAATTCCTGTTGTAGCTTCCAATGCTAAAGCAGGTGCATAAAGTACAACACCAGAATACAAAAGTAACTGAATCCAATAAACGAAACTAGCCACCATCCTAGCTCTTATTCCAAAGCGCTTCTCTAAATACTGAAAGAATAATAAAATAATAAAAACTTCTAAGGGTGTAACTTATTGTGCGTACCATAACTTATGATAAATTCTTTCTCTTTATTTATCACACTAACCTCGTAAGCGCTTGTTGCTTGAAGTTTAAAAAATACTGGTAAAAATCCATAACATACAAGAGGCGTTCCTATGAGGTACGACAGATTAATCACAACAAATTGTGTTCCATAAACATAGTTTTCAGCAGAAACGCCTAATAATGTGATAGCAGACATAAAAGACACTACAAGAGCTATTGATACAGGTATAACACTCATTGATTTGCTAGCACTGAAATATTCCTGTTGAAAATACAATTTCAATATTATTATAATTTAATAATTAATCAGTTTCTACATAAACTCGTGAAATAAATACCTCCGTAGTTTTTTGACGTCCACCACTAAAGCGATAGTAAATACCGATCCCTATGCTTATGACCAGTGTAGCTGCTATGACCAGGTAATCCTCCCATTGTAACATACCTGTTTCTGCCATGCTGTTGTCCTATTGCTGTTGTCCAAAACAAAAGTGATTTCTTTATTAGAAATCCAAATAAACACTTCATACAATGAATGGATAAATGAATTTTAAACCTTCTGTTTAAATCTATAACAGAAAATGAAATGTTCTATTGGAAAGAATGAAGTGTGTTCTAATGAAAAGATTGTATACCACTTTAATCTGTATTAATCTTTACACGTAATAGTCTCCCTTACTATACTACGTATCTTTATGGTGCATATTAAGCAATCTTTGATAACGTTGTTAGCCAAGAATGAGATTTACAACGTTTGCATGAAAAATTCAGCAACAATTTTATTACATTTAGACTCAATGGCTATTGATTGTGTCTAAAAAGTCTATTTCAATGATTAAAAGTTGATCCAAGGAAACACGAGCATTATCTACATCTTGTACAATGGAGCCAATCAATTCTAATTGCTGATAAACTAAATTAAGAAAGATAATAAATATTGCAAAGGTCAAAGCAATTTAAAAAGAACAGATGTTTCTTTGGAAGAAAATTGGGGCTATTATGTATTAAATATATACGATTTCGTCAGATTCTATTAGACTCTTTTACGATATAATAATTTATTATCGTCTCACGGTCATAATTCCCGCGGAATGACAATGCGACACTATCAATTACATCCATTGCGGTTATATTGTTAATATTTCTTATCAGTTAAAAGTTCAATAATTCCACATAATCGCCTGACTATATCATGTCATCCAAAATTTGTAGTTTACGGTAATTATAATGACGTGTATTTATTTACTATGATCATGAATTCATTACAATAATTTATCACAAATATCACTTGATGATAGTAACCATCGAAATACGTTACGTGGTCATTGTATGGTAATGAGCATGTGATAACTTACCGAAACGAGTGTCGCGAATTTTCCAATGTCTTCGCCGATGCGACTGACAAAAGCGTTTCACCGCAGTTCTTAGTCTGTTTCTAATCATTAATATAGCTTCGTTCGTATCCTCGCACACGCACAAAGTTTTTGTGTATTCAAGAAATGTTTAGCAAACTTGAACTCAGTAATAAGTAGGGGCAGAAGATTGCAGTCAATCGCGGTTACTTAAAGCCCCTTTCTGGCCATGAAACACATGGCTCTCCGTATTCTCCCAGTGAGAAATTCAAGCATCGGTTTTTTTTGCCACGCATACATATCATCAATAAAAAAAAACAGTAGATTCATAAAAACAGAAATGTATAGAACCAGCACATTCAGAATCTTAACAAAAATCTTAATACACAACTTATAAGGTAGTCGTAAGAAAAAGAAGAAAAACGTATTTAGTGATAGCTTGTATTCAACAAACGTGCTTGTATGTGCACAGATAGTCGTTCAGTGGCCTTGAATGCTTAAAAACTTTTACCTTTGTTCAGAGATGCCATACGGAGCCCCGGGTGCACCGGGGACACCTCATTCCACTTTCTCACACTATGTTAGATCACGCGTACGTGAGCTCGTAGAGTTTCGGAGAGTTGACGAAGGCAAACTGACACATGCCTTCTTTCTCGATTCTCCGAAGCTGCCCGAAGTAATTTCAAACCGTCTCGTGGGAGACGAGAGAGAAAGGCTCACATTTGCCTTCTCGTAACGTACATAGCAACATTGTGACGCTCTTTCAGAAAAATTTCAGTTTTTCGGCGAAAAATTTTAAAAAAAATTTTAGCAGCCCTCCCCTCTTTCTCTGTCTTCTGGTAGCCGCCAGAATCTCTGGCTAGCGACTTCTCAACCCCCCAACCGATAGGTTTTGCTCCGGTGCGTGTTGACTGTTAGGCTGGTCCGTACTCGAATGACCCATTTAGAAGTCGGTCAAAGAGTGTATATGTATACTATATGGGAAAAAGTTGTTCAAAATGTTGATTTCTACAACATATTTAAAAATCATCGAAATCGGTGAGACCCCCCTTTTTCTAAATAATTACCGAAAGAAATTTACTGTAAAAGAAAATTTAATATGAAATGTGTTGATATCGAAATGCTTTAGAAAGTTAATCTGACCGTAAAAAAAGGTTACAAATCATAGCACCGCGTTGATAAGTGCACTGGCCTCCAAAGGTCCCACGCACCCATTTAATTGTCCAGGCGGCAGGGGAGGTGAACCGCTCGGGACAGACTGGAGAGGGACAGTGCGCGCCGCGGAGGTGGCAGTGGCCACCGTCGTCGCCGAAATCCGCAGGCTGGGCCTAGAGGTGGCACCCCAGAAAACGGAGGCCATGTATTTCCAAAAACTCGGCCCCCGTGGGGTGCCGTCGGCCGGCCTACGGATCCGAGTTGGGACAGTCTACGTCGAGGTAAGAGCCCATATGAAATACCTAGGTCTGATCCTCGACAGTGATGGCTCTTCGTGGAGCATTTCGACCGCTTGGCCCCCTGGGTGGAGAAGGCGCCTGCCGCTCTAGGCCGCCTTCTCCCGAATATCGGGAGTCCCGATGTTGGAGTCCGCCGCTTCTACGTGGAGGTGTTGCGCAGAGGTGCCAGAAAAGCACCGACGGTGTCCTATTCACACATGCCAGATCACGCCTACGTGAGCTCGTGGAGTTTCGGAAAGTCGACAAAGACAAACTGACGCATGCCCTCTTTCTCGATTCTCCGAAGCTGCCCGAAGTAATTTCGGACCGCCTCGTATGAGTCGAGAGAGAAAGGCTCACATTTGCCATCTCGCGCTTAACAACTGAAATCCGACCTCCCATCAACGGCATAGGATTTGGATTCTCGACTGCCCAGGCATTTTTATTTTCCGACCTATGTAGGCGCACATAAGCAAAGTACCCATAATGAAAAAAAAATTTTGTAAAATTTAGTTTTCGGAAATACACGTTTTAAGACCCCCTGATCATATTTTAATTATTGAAAAAAAAGAAATTTTTTTTTATTATTCCCATGTATGAACGCACATATGTATGTATATTATTAATACGATTGAGTATAAATGGCTGAATGAATTTAAATGAAACGTTACATTTAAGTTTTATGTTCTCATTTCAAAGTCCGGTTAGACTTTGACTATAATCAGTCCGTGGATAATAATAATTATACCTCTTGTTTCATAGTTGTTTTGATATGTATATAGGCATAACGTATAAAAAATCTTTTAAATGTTTCATATAAATCTTAGGAGGAATTAAATTTTATGTAAAAAAAATTATATAAACTTTTTCTCTTTCTTCTCTAGAAAAGAAAAAATTAAATGAAATCTTATACATTACATGCTTACTTAAATCACACTGAAAACGAATACCACAAATGTTTTAGAATAATGTGCAAAATGGTCTTACTCGCAAAGGGTTAATTTAGAAATAAATGTTTGGTAATTGAAAACGGGTAAGCAGCTTAACCGGCTGCGATTTTCGCTAAGACAAATTGAAAACTCGGTTTTAACAAGGAAAAGTTGGAATAGTACCCGGTTTTGGGTTAGGTTTTCCTTTGAGATATTATTAAAGTTATTACAGATACTTATCTTTAAAAATAGAACTACATTCAACAGACAGCGTGGCGTTAATGATAAGGTGTTCGCCTGCAAGTTCTGAGCTTTTTCTGCTCTGCAAGTTCGAACCCTGCTAAAACAAATCTTTTTATATTTTTGTCTGACCTTCGAATATTTTTTTTGTTAAAGTTGAATTTAACCAATTACTTTTAACATATGTTATTTTCAATGTACGAAGTACATGAATCTGGATGGTACTTTTCGTAAAAACAGTCAAAACATAAAAATTTCCACGTATGTACATCTACTGAAAGTTCTGTTTTCACAGAAATTACAAAATTTTGTATTTAACTCTGATGGAAAGGCCGCTTCATTTATATTGATAAAATGTGAACGATTTTCGGATAGTCGTACTTTGTATCTCGTACTTTTTACCTTATGCTTCAAGTAAAAAGGGATATAACTGGGTAAACAGTTTTATGACATTGCCTGCTAACTCATGTTACTGTTCTAAAATAAACGAATGAAGTTTTGTACCTTTAAAAATATTCGACTATGTCCTTTTAAAATTTAAAATCCAACCCATACTTTGTATTAAACTGGCAAACGGGATCACTTTTCCTTTGTTTCTAAATGGTTCGATGGTGGAGATCTCGTGACTCCAGTTGTATAACACTTTTGTTCCTATAGCTCGTATCTACATTAATCAAAATTGATGTGTCTACGAGCTCTTTTTTCATTACATTAGTTTAAACATTTCAATATTGCACAATGTCATAATTAAATAACAGTTTTTTTCATTTCCTTTCTGATGCAAGAGACCACCACCTTCCTGTGGTTTCCATTGAACGGTATCGTGCACGTTTCATGGATCGATACAATTATTTTTGTATGCAAAGTTAAGCCAAATCAATCATATAATATTTAGTTCGTCATAACAAATTGATACGGTTATCTCAAAACAATCGAGGAAAATCATTATTAATTAATTTCTGCAATTATTAATTCTACTGTTTTGTTTATGTTATAAAAGTAAGAACTCTTCTTATTGAAAAATACCACAGCGTGCACAATACTGGTAAAGAGTGGAATCTCATTTTAATTTATTAATTTTCAATCTTAAAGTATTTTGATTTTCAAAAATCGTATTAATAATATACATATGTGTGCTCATACATGGGAATAAAAAAAAATTTCTTTTTTTTCAATAATTAAAATATGATCAGGAGGTCTTAAAACGTGTATTTCCGTAAAATAAATTTTACAAAATTTTTTTTTCATTATGGGTACTTTGCTTATGTGCGCCTACATAGGTCGGAAAGTAAGAATGCCTGGGCAGTCGAGAATCTCGGCTCGAGAATCCAAATCGTATGCCGTTGACGGGAGGTCGGATTTCAGTTGTTTAGAGCGAGAAGGCAAATGTGAGCCTTTCTCTCTCGACTCCCACGAGGCGATCCGAAATTACTTCGGGCAGCTTCGGAGAATCGAGAAAGAGGGCATGCGTCAGTTTGCCTTTGTCGACTTTCCGAAACTCCACGAGCTCACGTACGCGTATCTGGCATGTGTGCGTGTGCACCCGGCGGTGCTTTTCTGGCATCTCTGTGTACATACATAGTTGTAAATAGTACCTTAAATTTTTTAATAATTTTGTACGTTTAAACTCTTGCGTCTTTCGTTTTCCCTTATTCTACTTATTCTATTTTACAAACTTCTTATATCCTATTCACTCGTATTATCTTATTATTAAAATTGATTATTAAGTAGTACTGAAAATACCATTAAGACGTTGGTAATAATTGTTTAAAATACAAATGTAATTTTTGAAACAGTTCGATAATCGAACACAAGCATTTTCGTACCCATATCGCAAGAATGCTGAATTTTATTAAGAATATAATACATTAGTTTCATTGTTCGAATTTTACGTTTTCATTTTCACGATGTCTGATAAATAATCGTTGTTTTCAATTGTTTGAAAATCATCAACATTGATAAAGTTAATTTTAATTATTGGTGATCGAGTTTTTGTCATTCGATACGTCGATTTGTTTGAAATGGCGGATTACAGTGAAAAATGTGCAGGTGACTGTTCATTCGATTACAGCGAGGATAAACAAAAAGGCGTGTGTCTAATTAAAAAAGAGTAAGTGATTATTATCGTATTCGTAAAAATTGTTCCAAAATTAATGTCATTTATAATAATTATATATGTTCTAACCTCAAAATGCAAGGGTGTCGCGTGGCTTTCTGTCATTAAAAATTTACTGGTAATAATATTTTTTATATAACGGGATATAATTTTTGTTTTCAGTTTTTCGTCAAATATTTTGTTCAAGTTAATTTTATATATTATTAACGAATAAATGAAAATAAATACGAGATAAAATTTTTTGTAACCAAACTAAAATTATTACAGGTATATCCTTGATGACCATATCAGATTTCTAAGCGAAGTGTGTCTCACAAAGAGCAATAAGGAGAAAGTTTTGACCAATGCAATCAACTCAGGCGAAGATACATCTATATTGGATGGACCACCATGTAAAAAGTTTAAATCTGACAATAAAAAAGAAAAACTCAGAGGTCAGAATAAAGCTAGGCCAGCTCCATTTAAGGCACAGCGTGAGTTGAACCTTTGTCCATGGATAGCTGATCAAGCAGTGGACGAACCTGATAAGAAATGTAACAATAAAAGTTGTACATTTCTGCACAACAGAATTGAATATTTAAAAATAAAACCGAATGACATTGGAACGGAATGTTATCTTTTTAATTTAACTGGAAAATGTCCTAGAGGTGCTGCCTGTAGAATGGGCTCTAAACATTTGACAGAAGATGGTTTAAATATTGTTGACAAGGAAAAAGAAGAGGAGTTTAAGAAGAAACCACCTTCTACCAGAAACCATCTAACAAAAAATTTACAAATTGAATTAAGAAAGTATAAGTACAACTTTATCAAAGCTGAAAAAATTGTCAAGGCAAATGAACCATCCAGAAAGAAGCTAGGCACAGAAACTGTTAAACAAACTGAACAAAATTTGGATGCAGTGAAACTGGAAATAAAAAACGGTTCCACTTTGGATACCTTTGTCCCTGAATCTAATAATGAAATATCTGAAACACGTAATACAGAACAATCGCTGAATGTAGAAAAATCTGAGATAAAAAACGGATCTGCTTTGGACATTTCTATTTCCAAATCTACTAACAAAACATATAAAATGCATACTACAGAACAAAAAATCGGGCCGGTTGAAGATTACGATATAATAAAATGTAGAAATGCGGAAAAAAAGAAGATAGATTGGAGAAATAAAATATTACTTAGTTCTCTGACGACGGTAGGCAATTTACCTTTTAGAAGAATTTGCAAAGAGTATGGCGCCGATATAACGTGCGGAGAAATGGCTCTCGCACCAAGGATATTGAAGGGAGCTCAAGAAGAGTGGGCACTCGTGAAAAGGCATGAATCAGAGAACATCTTTGGTGTACAATTATGTGGTAATAATCCCGGAGTATTGACAAGGTGTACACAATTGTTATCCGAAGAGATTGATGTTGATTTCATTGACTTGAACCTGGGTTGCCCTATAGATTTAATTTATAGACAGGGAGGCGGCAGTGGTATGCTTAATCGTTTAAATGTCCTAGAAACTGTTGTAAAATCTGTTAGTCAAGTCATGAATATACCTTTAACTGTAAAAACTAGGACGGGAGTTTACATAGATAAACCTGTTGCGCATAATCTAATGCCAAAGTTCCATGAATGGGGTGTGTCCATGATTACTGTGAGTAAGTTAATTAAATTTTTTAGTTGACATCTAATAAATGTAGCGAAATATATTATAACGTATTATTAACAACAAATTATATACTGTATTATTAGGTACATGGACGATCTCGAGAACAAAGATATACAAAGCTGGCCGACTGGGATTACATAGAAAAATGTGCAAAAGCGGCACAACCCACACCAGTATTTGGAAACGGCGATATTTTATCGTTCGATGACTATCAGAGGGTTCAAGACGCTTACACTAATGTCTATGGTATTACCATAGGTCGTGGTGCGTTGATTAAACCGTGGATATTCACGGAAATAAAAGAAAAAAAATTAATGGACGTACCGAGCACAGAACGATTCAATATGCTAAAGAAATATGCTAATTATGGGCTTGAACACTGGGGTTCGGATACTCGCGGCGTCGAAACAACGAGAAGATTTATGTTGGAATGGATATCCTTTTTACATAGGCAAGTTTTTTATTATATTTATTGTAAGGAACAAAATTTAAATAGTGACTTTTCCCATTTATGTACAGAGTAGTATTATGTGCATGATTCTACTAAATAAGTCAAAAAGACTTCGTTTTCGAGATTATTCGATTCGAGAAAATTAATCAAATACACGTGGGTTATAATACGATTTGGTTGTCGCGTCTGACCATTAATCACATCTTCTACTTGTGCTGAAGTCTCAGTCGTACTTTACAAGTTTTTATTTCGGAATAACTTTACCGTTAACGACAACCATATGTCTGTTAACGTTTCTTATTAATAAAATTTTTTTTATATTTAACGTAAACGATTAAATTTTATTTTGATTCAGATATATTCCTATTGGTATTTTGGAGAGACCCCCGCAAAGAATTAACGAAAGACCTCCATTTTATCGAGGTCGCGACGACATGGAAACTCTTATGGCCAGTTCAAATTGTGCTGACTGGATTAAATTATCGTAAGAAAGTTTTCATTGATGGTTGCGTTCGATATAAATATTATCACCGTTTTAAACGTCACTTTTATTTTCAGAGAAATGTTGCTAGGAAAAGTGCCTGAGGGATTCCACTTTTTACCAAAACACAAGGCGAATTCATGGAAATAACCAAGGTCGATAGTGTACAGCGAATTATCACAAAAACAGAATACTTTTATATTACAATCTTTTGAAATAAACATTCACCAGATGGGATGAGTCTTTTTAGGTGAAAAACTATAGAAGGATCATTTCTCCTTTATTTAGTATTCTTAGTCGCACACGAACAACGAAATCCGATTGCGTACATGATAAAACAAATAAATTTAATGAACGTCAATACGTACTATAAATACCATATACCATGTAAATATTACAATTTATAATTTGCACAATTTCAACGACGTGCTGTGCCACTAGATTAAAAAGTGATGCTAGGGAAAATTTAAACAATATTATTATGTTTCGATCAATCCTTGATCTACCTAAATTTCATTCACGTGGAAACGAATAATGGTCAGTTATGTCTCCGAGTACAGCCTCTGGCCACATGCAGTCGCAACCACTGGCGATCTCTTTGACAAAAGGTTCCCAACATTCGCTGTCCCATCGTCGCCTTACCAAGTATAGAGGTCGACCTCTTTGCACGCAGTGAAATCCAGGGTGTACGCATTTCTAAAAGAAACGGTCTCGTATTCAGTATGGCAGGAGGAGTAAAAGAGTTCTAAATGCAAGATGGAAGGAAATACTTCTTTTTAAAGAGGTTTGTAGTTGTAACCGTTTGCGATTCAATTTTGTGCCCTCGCAGTTTATCGAACACTGTGGTCTGGCCGAAGTTTTTGTTAATATGTGCGAAGTAATAATAAAGTTTAAATCGGCATTGTTCCATTGATTATATTAATCTTTTGTCACCGACACACTCCAATTTTAATTAGATAATGCCGGTAGCTTATTCCGTAGAACGAGTGAATCGCAGAGAATTAATTACTCGCGGTCAAAGTCTCGCGCGGTTGTAGTTTCATCGCATAATTGTAATAAACACTTGCACCGAACATAAAGATCCGTCACGAAGGCAGCGGCTATAAAATCTTGCCTTCTGTAAGGTATCCAAGCTCTCTTGGCATACAAAGGACAAATAAACTACCAAGCATTGAAAGCTAATACATCGAGTGACAGTTTCTTTTACAGATCGCAGGAATTTTTGTTTGGAAGGCAAAGAAGCGAACATTATCTATTATGCATCTACCTGCTTCGATGAACTCATAGTGTGCTGGCTGTTGCCGTGAAAAGAGTTATTTTTACAATAGACTTCGTAGTAATGCGGCGGTTGGTACTCGTACTCGGTATCTTCTAATTGCACCTTTCTCGTAACGATTTCGCAAAGATTACGGTAACCCTGTGGAGAAAAGTAGACTGTCACAGACGAATTTTAAGGAGGCGTTTATTTCTCGTCGCATACAAAACCGACCGACAATAAATTTCTATTATCTCTATCTAGGGGTTGCTGTTCGGTTTGTTTTTTTTCTTGTACTTCGTCGTAGTCTTCTTCCGCCAGATAAGAGACGTCCCGAAGAAGAGGAACGCTCTGACGAGGATGGTAAGAGTTTCGCGTTGTTCCATCGTCTCTTTTTGGTCGAATGTAGTAACTGACGTTGCACCTCTTGCAGATCTCATAAGCATCATACCCCATGATCGCGACGGCAGCAAACTATAAATCACAGAGAAAAAGAGAGAGAGAGACAGGTAATAGAGATAGAAAATTGACCTTTTATACTGTCAACGTCAGTTTGTTATCTGATAAAGTGTTACTTCCTTCTAAAAAAGCAGAAATAAGAAACGGTTATTTGAAGATTCTATGGAACGAAATAAAGTATGGTCGTATTTGAGACACGAGTTCGTGTTTTATGATAAGAAATATGAAAAGTGAGAGTGTTAATGCTAGGACTAACGTGGACCATCAATAATCGACGATCGTTCTACCGTTTTGTCAGTTACATTATTAAACGACTGATTCACTCCACTTCCATTCCCACTTGGCAGAACCCTCCGCGCACGATTTATGCTTTATCAAGTTTGATAGGTCTCTAACACTGACTGAGACCTCCGTCGAAGCTTGAATTTTAACGATGACGCAATACAATGTCACAAAATACGATTAAAGAACATCAATGTCATCAGAAACGTTGCAATTCTTTCTCGCCTAAATTGAGTAGTAACCACCTTTCTCTAAGCGGTATAGCTCGTTACAAAAGCTATAATTTGTCGGCAGATCTTGAAATAACCGATTACCTTGGTCAAACAATATTTATTTCGCTCAAAACTGCCATAGACGAGTGGAGATTACTTTTCTAGAAATTTAACGCATTTCATGGGAAGCATGGAAACAAATAAGATAAAGAGTCAAATTAAGAATCTAAGAAGATTGCCAAATAAATAAGAGATGCATATCACAATTATGGAAGAAGTTAGTTTTTTTCAGTTCTTCCAACGATCCTCGAAATTCCAGTTAAGTATCGTGAAATGAGGAAGATGATGAACGTCAATTGAATAGTGACGTCAGAAATCAGCATAATGTGTTGACGAATCTTTGAAGACGATGGTAATACCGCGAAAAACAGTGTGAACCGGTCAGCAAGGTCGATCGTGATTGAGCTGACGTGCTTCGCGTCGTATGATATAAATTAGTCTTCCCCGTGTCGATCACTATGATTCGCCGGTGCCTTCAAACTGACCACAGGCACGGTGTAGCATTAACGAAAAAAAAAAAATAGACTAAGATATTAAGAAAAGATGTAGCATCTTTAAGAAATGATGAATCAATTCTTCAATTCTTCTCCCTTTCCTCGTTTCCTTCGTTAAAATCCTCTCCTTCTAACTGGATAAGTAACAACGGTGTAAAACAATTATAATATCTGTTATAGTTATGCTCCAACAGTGGCCACGTCATCGAGGATAGTCAAAGTGAATTATTGTTTGAGCAGAGCAACAGAAATCGTCTAAAATACATGTTCTTCTGCCGTTCGAAGATCTCTTTCCATGCCCATAAAATGCCAATGCGGTGCAAATGTTTGGTATAAATTGAATAAATTAAAAAAGAAAAGTATTTAATTATTGTTACACAGGTATGCTCCCTTAAGGGGTTAAAGAAACATCAGTAGCTGCTGCGAAGCAACCGAAATTAAAAGCGAATTAACACTTTCAGGAGGGGACCGGGAAGCACGGAGGGAGCCGGTGGTCAGCTTGGAACGATATCAACGCGTATTCTCCACGCGGTGGCACGTCGGTGTGCGGTAGGTAGTTATCCAATTGACAGTGCCCCCGTCTGACATAGTTCAGTCGACGGCGAACTCAGGATGATCCGACCACGTCTCTGGCAACAGTGACGTTCTTTGCACGGGTCTGCTGTTCCGCGAGCCCACCGAATACGCCGTTAACCACCGCGTGTTCAGCCTGTTAGAGACGGATCGTGGAAGAGGATCGGTCGGTGACTATTGGGGAATCGGGATGACGATTCCCGGACGGACAACGATGGACGCGATCGCGTTTTGGGACCGGGTCGCTGGTCCAGTGAGAACGAACCCGGTCAAGGTTGACCGTTGTCAGTGAACTGGTTCTTTTTTTCTGGCCGCCGATAGAGATCAACGTTCATAGGAGAGAGCTCTGACGAGCAGGATCGACGGCTACTTATCAGACAAACGCATCCGCGCGGGGAGGGGGGAGATGCGAGCGGATCGGCGCGATTGACATGGCAGCCGATCTGTACTCGAATGGAACCGTGAAGTCAACGTCCGGCAGGTGAGATAAATTGATAAGGAGGCCGCGATAAGGTGATGCTCTCGCTAACATCGTCTGTTAATCGTCGACTGGTGGCCACCTTCGGTCTGCTGATAGATTTCTATGAACGATCCGTGATCTCAACCACTGTCGTTACGAGTTTCAAACGATACGCTTCGGATAGAAAAACCAGACTTTGTCTTTAGACAGTTGGGTACTACTCGATTCAAAGAAATTCATTTTCCTTAAGGTCTCGCGTTAACATTTTCCTATGCGGAATTATAAAAAGAGTGGATTTATGTAAAAAGAGAATTATATCGTTGGAGAGTACTTCCCACTGCAGGATCTTCTCTGTATCTTCGTTTAGAACAGCTTGTCCCAGTTTCTAGAAACATCCTGTATAACGTTTCGAGCAATTAGGGGGTCAGATTTCTGGACGGTTCAACGGTATGAACCAAATAGAACAGTTAGGCGGTCAAACTTTCTGTAACTTGGCTTCTGTAGCTTCAAAAGCGTTGGATATCTTTGTGAACGATACGCTCGTTCGAGTAGGCGATTCTTTAATTGGTTGTCGTTGACTTTGGGTAAACGTTGGAAGGACAGGTGTTCTTCGTAGTAGATTCGACCAGAGCTTTTATATAACGTTTTGGAACAATTATTTTCGTAGATTTATATTTCCAATACTTTCAGTTGCACGAGGTTTGCTTGTCAGTTTTCTGATTTTGAAATGATTCACGTAGAACGTGCCCGAGCGTGATTTCCCTGCTTTTTTATGGCAATATTCATGACAATGAAACGGTTTAATAGCCGTTACGGCTGTCCGAGTTAATAACCAATTGACCCTCGACTGCTCGAGCAAAGGTTCCATTGATGAGGAGTACCGGTTAGCAAAAACTTGAGGGGCAGACAGTTCAAAATTTTCGTTTGTTGCAGTAAACTGTTCGCCAGCTTCGTCTCGACGATCAGGCTGTAGGGAAACTGGGGTGTCCAGTGCGTCCGATAGGGATTCCCATTTTCAGAAATAAGCAGAGGAATAGGAAGTCAACCATTCCATCGTTTAATTCAGAATCGTCAGATTGTTTGTTTGTTTCATACGTGAACGCCACTTGACTCTGTCTCGATGCAAAGTCATTTCAATAAATCCGCATGGCGTCGAGAAAGTTCGTGTCAGTAATGATTCGTCTATTTAAAGAAACATGCAAGCATTGGGAACGATAGATTGAAATATCTTGACTTCGGTTATTCTTCGTTGGTATACCGTTGGAGTGTCGTTCGATATCAAGTTTTGCGGGGGAAACTTGGATGCGTAAGTAAACTAGAATGTCAGCTGAGCACACAAGACTATTGTAGTTAGAAAAATGCACTAAGGCGCAGTTGTCTGTGTTCCTCGTTTTTCCACGTTTTTCCCGGCGTAATTTTCCAGTTTCTCTTGCCTCCGTTTCATTTTCTGCGTTATCTGAATCGTCTGCGTCGCATTCGAACCATTTACAAACCAAAGGGATTAACTACACTTTTTTTTAACTTTTTATATTCAACGTAAACTTGTTTAATAATTATACAGGGTGTTCGGTCACACCTGGGAAAAATTTAATGGGAGATTCTAGATGCCAAAATAAGACGAAAATCAAGAATACTAATTTGTTGATGCAGGCTTCTTTAAAAAGTTATTAACGTTTAAAGCTCCGCCCGTACTGAATTTTTTTCTAGAAAGTGGGTAGGATTTCGGGGGTAGGTCTATTCACCAAAAATTATTATAATTGACCCCCGCAACCGAAAATAATTTTTCTAGAACGATTTGAAATGTTTTTTTTCCGTCGAAAAATTTCACATCTCTCGAATTTTGTTCTCGAAAGTCGGTAGGATTTCGAGGGTATGTCTAATGACCAAAAATGATTGTGAGTGACCCCCACAACCGAAAATAATTTTTTCAGAATGATTTGAAATTTTTTAATTTAATTTTTTAATAACATTTTAATGAAGCCTCAGACAAGAAATTGGTATTCTTGATTTTCATCTTATTTTGGCCTCTAGAATCTCCCATTAAAATTTTTCTTAGGGGTGGCCGAACACCCTGTATACTATAAATTGACAAGAAATTTTAATTTTAAAAGGAACTTTAAGAAAAAATGTATACAATTTTGTCAATGTCTTCGCTTTTCCTTTTATGGAGTTAGTTGTTCCGGTAAATGAAAGGTACATTCTATACTTTTACGTTTCGAATACTGTTGAAGACTCTGTAGTGTCGGACGCAAACATACAGCAAAATAAATGTTCTCGTAACTGTAGAAAAAAACCCCCTAAACGTAGACGAATGCCTGGCTTAATAACAATAATACTCGACACGATGAATACCTTGTATCATCAGTTGCCGCCGCGAATTCTTCGCAGATACGTTAAAATGTCTCGTTTTCTGAAATTATCTCAAACGTGCTGTGTTCATAGATAATTAACAATGATCGTTCGATTCCATTTCAAAATTGCCATTGTAAACCAATCGTTCCAACTTCGTTGTCGCCACAAAACACTGTAAGACTATTGTATACGACGTCGGTATAAATATTTTTCAACAAAAGATCCTTTAAAAGAAGATCGTAGACTTTTTAACGAACTTTCCAAAAACGTTACGCTCCCATTGTTGAAGCTCACTGGACTTCATCAAGTCGAGATTCCCGTTCGGTTGCAAAATCTTTTAATCAGAATAGACGCATTTTACGGCAGAATCGGGGCGAACGATATTTTTAAGTTAACAAATGGTGCAACAGTTTGGCATGTTGAGAAGAATTGCAACAAGTCAGGCGAACACGCAACGCATAGCATGAAATTGTGGACGGGACGCGCCTCATGAACGGGAGCGATTCGCAGAGAAGAGACTATTAGACTCGTTAGTTTAGGAAATCAATTAGATTCCTCGTCCCAGGCGACAAGGACGTACCAAGAATTCCGTCGAAAGTTTACGTGACATGTTTACCGTCGTTTCTAGATGCTATTCGCCCCACATTGCCAGGTCCGAACCAACAAGTGCTCTAATCATTCTGTTTTCCACTTTGCAAAACTGGACGCTATATTTCTCTTTCAATCTGCAAGCGATTATGGCTCGGCTGAACACAATGATTGTATAATTTTGTCTCTTGGAATCGGTAGTTCAAAACCAGAGATTCGACGTGGTCAGGGCTCAGTGAAATGACCAAAAACAGGAAAATAAGCTTTTGGAATAAAATAAGTGCTTGGTACGCTTTGAAGCTTTTGCGATATCGAATGCTTTACAGAGAAGTAATCGTTTAGAGTGATCATTTGTAGTAACTTGTTTGCAAATTTGTTACTGAATCCAGTCGTTAATTAAAATACAATTAGACTAATATATGTTTTGTTTTGTAGAATTTACCTCGGCACTTTCTGTTCGTAGACCGAACTGTTCATATTGCAACAGAAGTTCTTGCAGTGAACGACCTGTTTCGGTTGAAAGTTTAATTTGCTGGCCAGAACAGCGACTTTAATTCAAGTTTGTAGTCGGCACGGCTCGCTACCTACGTTCGTCTTGCACGATCCTATCAAAATTTTCTTTATCTACCCTTTTCTTCCTAAAATAAAGTAATAAATATTTCCATAATTTATCTCGAAGAAAATATTCGTTGCTGCAGATATTGCTTCTCCAAAGTATTTGGGATTTGAATTAATATCATCAGAAGAATTTAAATTGTAAAGTAGAAATATGCAAGATGCCCTTCACGGTATGTCATACTTAAGACAAGAAGCTATATAAACGAGGAATGCACACGAGTTCCATGTGTTTAAAGAGACAATTAGATCATACTGGCAAGACATTTTTACTAAGATGGATTTAAACCTGTTAGCAGGCCGCTATTGACGTGTACAAAAATATAAGCCCTATCCGCCGGTCGACTTATATGTTCAAATTATACAGCAGATGTACATTTAAGACCTTTTCCTACTTCAACATTATTTAGTTTCTCAGTTACAATTTTCTTCATTGTATTTTCAAATGTTTGATTCTTATCTAAAGTATTCAAGTACTAAACAAAGCAAAGATTTCTTAGAAGCAAAGAGGGACAGCCGCTGAAAACATCCAACGGTCCATTCCCTATCAGATTATTTTTAGATAGCAAGATAGGGTCTACCCCTTGATGCTGGCTAAAAATAGCCAGTAAGGCCAATCCAGCTCCAATTATTCCATTTAGGTATTTAGGTGACAATCGACTGACCGCCAATTTAGAAATATTCCACACGCTGACAGCCCAGGGACCTCAGGCAGAGATGCGGACGAATGCAAATAATATGTCGGCTAGTCTGGAGAGTATCGGGTCGAATGCATCTTATAATTTATGCTTGGAAGAACTATATTTTAATCCTCTTTACCTCACAGAAGTAGACTTTGTTAGCAGAAATTTAACATTGTTAAAATTTTCCTAAATGCATGTAGGAAATACAATAATCAAGATACTTTTGATATTTGAGAGTGACTTTCAATGATGTCTGTAAACAGAAATAAGTTTATATGTCTGAATATTATTTGCAAATTCATGATAATTAAATGTTACTTGAATGACTCTAAACGTTGAGAAATTGCTGCAAAGGATTGTGGAAAATTTATTAAACGCGTTGGATGAAATTACAAATTTCAATGTGTTGTATAGTGTACTAATCTTTAAAAAAAAATCTAATATAACTAAGATTAGTTCTTCAATATGTTGAACTCTATAGATTGCATTTGTATTCTACAACAATATCAGTATACAATGTGCAGCATTTGCTACATTCTGATGGTTTTTGTTCCACGAACGAGTTTAAACGCGAAGCCTGGTAATATGCAACCAGTATAACGTGGCTGTTTCTTTGGGTGTAGAATCGCGGGCAGCATGAGGCAACGTAAGACCGGTACACTTGGCGCCGCGGCGCCTATATCTACGGAAGAAGAGAGGCTGAAGTTCCAAGACAACAGGTTCTTAACGACTTTGGTACTTGGGAAAAATAGGTGAGTACGCGTCTTGTTAAATCGTTTTTCCAGCGATTCTCTGTTCATCGAAGCGCGTTTCGATTCCAGTTCTAACACACTTGTTCTAAAACGTGACACATCGATTTCAAAGGAATCGACATTTGTCTTGGATCAGTAATAATAGATCGTTAAGCGTGATCACGTGTTCTTTTCATCGTTCTTCGATGTAAATTTTATCAGAAACGGTACCGTTCAAGTACTTCCGTTCCTTAATTATATTCGAAAACGACCTTAATCTTTCCAGAATCTATCATCATTTTTGCAATGACAAATTACAAGCTATTTCTTGAACCACTTTTCGTCAGCTTCTTACATCAAACAGTAACATCATAATATTTATCTTACGCCCGCTAATCGCGATAATAGTTTGCCCGTTTGTTAAAGCTGTACGTGGCACGGTAAAATTAGACAAGGAAACACTAAATTTAAGCGCAATTCACGTTGGAAATTAACACGCGCGTTTAACATTCTTTTGAACGGGTTATTACGGTCCGGCACGGGGAACACGGAGACGTACTAATAATTCGATGGTAAACAACGTAAGTTTTCTTAATGACGTAGCAGTACGTTCATGATAATTAAAGTTCTTAAAGGCCGTGGGCACGCTACATCAGCGAAGATCGCGGTTGCGTGCGCAGTATTTATAAACGTTTTGCAATTCAATTTGTTTATCGACGTTTTAACGCAAAGTTTCTCTTTCGACATTTTCGACAGTTGTAAAACCCTTATTGGCATTGAAAGAGCATTCCATTACTGGTAACAATGAAGCCAATTTATTTTTTATAACTCTTTTATTTCAGGAGCGGGTCCAGAGGGGCGGCCGCCCCTCCCTCAAGAATCATGAATCTCTAAAAAAATATATTTACTACTAGCTTTTGCCCGCGGCTTCGCTCGCACATGAAACCGTTTAGTTCCCTCGGAAATAGATATTATTTCTCCATAAAACCTTTTAAGCCCCCATTCACCACTATAGAGTTTTAATTTTATGTCATGTCGCCATCTTAGATTTCAAAATTGATACCATTTTCGTAATTAACGTCCCACAAAACCTTCATAACGACACCCATACCGATATTTAGGCGTATTTACACCATTGCAACGGTTTAGTGATAGGATAATAGTTACGTATTTAGTAATTTACATGTTAAATTTGAAGATTCTAGATCCATTTATGGAAATAAGGCAACTTTCATGCGAAATAAGTGTATCAATGAGCATTAAGACCAAGTTTGAAGCAAATCTGACCACAAATAAAATATTCCTTATACAAACCTTTTCCATCCCCTTAGGGGATGAATTTCGGAATATCCTTTCCTATTCCTTGTATATGTCATAAAGGAAACCTCTGTGCAAAACATTAGCTTTTTATGTCCAAGGGCTTATTGTCAGCCTGGGCGTTGATGAATCAGTAAGTCAGACCTTTCATTTTATATACAGGGTGTTCGGCCAGTTTAAATGTTGCCACCTCTAGGAAAAATTTTAATGAGAGATTCTAGAGGCCAAAATAAGACGAAAATCAAGAATACCAATTTGTTGATGGAGGCTTTGTAAAAAAGTTATTAACGTTTAAAGTTCCACCCATACTGAATTTTTTTCTCAAAAATGCGCGGGATTTTGGGGGTATGTCTATTCACCAAAAATGATTGTAATTGACCCCCGCAACCGCAAATAATTTTTCCAGAACGATTTGAAATTTTTTTTTTCGGTCTAAAAATTTTAGCACCTACCTGATTTTTTTTCTCGAAAGAGAATAGGATTTCAGAAGTATGTGTATTCACCAAAAATGATTGTAATTCACCCCCGCAACCGAAAATAATTTTTCCAGAACGATTTTAAATTTTTTAATTTAATTGTTAATAACTTTTTAAGAAAGCCTCAAACGAAAAATTGATATTCTTGATTTTCGTCTTATTTTGTCCTCTACAATCTCGCATTAAAATTTTTCCCAGGGTTGGCCGAACACCCTGTATAGATTTATTTTACATATGCACTCATATAAATTATTTAAGCCCCCTCTTCCAAACAAGTCTGGATCCGTTTCTATACTATTTTAAAGTTCGAAACCTGTTTGAATTTTGCAATTTGTTAATAATAGAACGTTCCTTTCAAACTCTGCTTCTAATTATCGATTCTTTCACGAGAAGAGCAATTGATCGAACTTTTCGTTTCTAATTGATCCTTGGAAGTTTAACAAATTTCAATGTTGAATATTTCGTAAAAGAATGTTAGTGTATATTTGAGCAACCTTACCATAATGATGTAATTTATTCGATTCATGACGATTATATTTTCCTTCGTGCTTCGTATACAGCGAAAGCCTTCGGTTCGAAATTGTAAGTCGAGCCACTATTGTACAAACGAGCCTTCCTCGATCTCGTTTTATATAGCGCACAGGACCCAAGCAGATCGAATCGCCTGTCATTTCCAAGCTGGAAAAATCGTCGTTAGAGATCCCCGTGCAAATAACGAAATCTGATATCGTGACAGACCTGTCGCGTTTGATTACTGACCGTTTAATTGAATTCTGTAATCGTGCTGATTGAAACAAATATCGGTATCTACGGGCTCGTGCTATGCAACGCCATCGTCGGTCAGTCACTTCTCTCTTTCTCGCTTCCTTTGTTTCGTCTCTGTGCGTGTTTATTTCATCGTCCGCGTTGTCCTTCCCCCCATTCGTCTTTTCTTACGTTTCTCTGCCATCGCTGTCTCCGATTCAGTTACTGTTATCCTCGTCGCTCTTCCCCGGCTCTCTCTTTCTTCCTCTGCATTTCTCCGCCGCGATTCGCGTCTCCCTTTAACGCGCTTCTCGATATACGCGCGAACGACGACGAAAGCACTTCAATTACTAATCGCGGCGAGCGTGCTGTCGACGAAGTTTGTGGTGGGATTCCACTTTGACAGACGGGCCAGGATTAACCTTAATATCGCGGTCACGTATCACGCGACGCTCGTTCTCTCGCCGAAAAAATATTTCCAACCGTTCCGGCAGTAACGACGGAACGCGCGCGCCAGACTGCAGTGCTTATGTCGGATAAATCGTAATCTCTGGCCACTCGACGCCCACCGGGAAACTCCGGTGAGTAAAGGCCCGACAGAGATTTTCGAGAAAGATTTTCGAGATCGCGTTGTTGTTTGGTCTTCCTTCGATATATTCAGTTCGATACGCGCTGTCCCCGATCGATCAACCGATATCGGCCGGAAGCGAGACTCTCGGAATTTTCTCCGCGCTTCTATTTAACTCGTTCATTTCCAGATAAAATTCTGAGAAATTTCTACGAGATTCTGTTTTCAGATGATCTAGCACTCATTTTTGTAACCTCGTCACATTTATTTTTCTTATCATTTTACCCTGGGAATTAATTTTTTTAGCTCCTGATTAACCCCACGAAAGGCAAAGTAAAGAAATTGACAAAATAATATATATTCTTTCTGTGAAATATTAAGTATTATAAATTCCTCTTGTTTTAATTTAGTCTATTTAAATTTGTAGGGTGGTGTATGTGTAGAATGTGGATGAAAGATTATGTTGGATTGGAGGAGTATTGTCAGGATGCATGGATTGTACAGGTTTTAGAGTGTAGCATAACCTATTATAATCCTAATTTAGAAATAATAAAATTCTATTCTATTTTATTCTAATATACACTTTTTTTTTAAGGTCCCCCTTAAAATTTAAATTTCTGTTTGTCAATTTATAGCGTTGAGTATAATTATTAAGGAAATTTATTTTAAAAACTTCAATAAGTGGAGTTAATTACTTCAGGTTGTAAATGGCTCACATATAGGTGACGTGGCAATCGCGTTAATCTAGGGTGAATATTCTAAACTAGAAACATTTTAATTATTCTATGAATCGAAACCACGTTTTTATTTTCAATATCTTTTTAGGGATTTACAACTAAAGACGAAATTTGATTGGATACTTTTTTTTAAATTCCTTTGGGCAGATTCTGAATAATTGTGCAACAGTAATTCAGAGAGTAAAGACAGAAAGTTCAATGGTTTACAAATAGAATTTATTACGCGGACTGTTCCTTTCTCGAAAAAAGATCAATCTACTTAAATGAATCGGATTGGGTGCTTGCGTAGGCTGCGTCGACGCTTTGTCGACGCATTTATTTTGACAAGATTACATGTAATTGAGACTTGATAAACACAATGTCGTGGCCTCTTTAATGCAATCCAGCCCTAATGCGTGCATTGTTTGTGGATACAAACCGGTCTGATGTTTTCCTTCGTTCAACGATTTTACGTATTATTATTGATTTACGTTTAGCTCGATTAACCGAAGAATGCTTTTGTTCTTTCATTCCAATATCTTTATGGTAGGCATCATCTTAGTTATTCTATGCAACCCACATACTACAAATGCAATATAGTGCAAATGAAATCTCAAAGTTTAAACATTTCGGTGGGTCACACGTTTGTCACTGCGTCAAATAATAATCAACAAACTATAACATAAATCGTCAGGAAATAGGAAATGTGTATCAAAACCGATATCGGCGATGATTGACATACAGTCAGTTACGAAAGTTTTCGTACACCCCGTAAAACGGTCGTTTTAAAGAAAATAAGCAACAATTTCATATAATATTATGACTATTTATTAATATGTACAATATCATTAATTAACCTATACAGGGTGTTCGGCCAACCCTGGAAAAAATTTTAATGGGAAATTCTAGAGGCCAAAATAAAACGAAAATCAAGAATGTCAATTTCTTGACTGAGGCTTCATTAAAAAGTTATTAACAATTAAATTAAACAATTTCAAATCGTTCTGGAAAAATTATTTTCGGTTGCGGGGGTCAATTATAATCATTTTTGGTAAACAGACATACCCCCGAAATCCTGTGCATTTTCGAGAAAAAAATTCAGTATGTGTGGAACTTTAAACGTTAATAACTTTTTAACAAAGCCTCCATCAACAAATTGGTATTCTTGATTTTCGTTTTATTGTGACCTGTAGAATCCCCCATTAAAATTTTTCTCAGGGGTGGCCGAACACCCTGTATAAAAATGTATTATTTTTTAAGAATATTTTATGCAATAAGAAAAAAGCGAAATGTGTATATCACAAATGTGTTCCTACACTAAAATATGAAGTTAGTACATTTAGTAAATCTAGTAAATTTTTGTTACATTAATATTTTGTCGGTCCTCCTTTTGCCTCTAAAACTGTTTCTAATCTTCTTGGCATAGAATGGACTAATTTAGTTGTATTCCTCTTCCAATGCAGTTTTAAGGCTTTGTCTATTTGTTATCTTATGCTTCCTGATTTTGCATTCCAAATAATCCCATACGTGCTCTATAGCATTCAAATCTGGTGATTGAAGTGGTGAAAAAAGTTGTTTCGGGACATTGTACAGTATCCATTCCCGAATAACATGAGCTGTATGCTTAGGATCTTGGTCTTGTTGGAAAATTCAGTTGTTTTCCAGTCCCAATTTGCCGCATCATTTTTTAAATGGCTTTTAAGTATATCTAAATATACCCATCGATCCATAACAGAATCTACAAATACTAAATTCCCAACTCCCGAGGTTATCATTGAGCCCCAAACCATAACGGATCCGCCACCATGTTCTAAAGTTGATACCAGGTTTTTCAAATCAAATGTGCCGATTTTTCTCCATATTTCGCCTCTTTCATCTGCTTCAAAAATGTTATACTTACTTTCGTCAGTGAATAATACTCTTTCCCAAAATTGTATATTCTCGTTTTCATGTTTTTTTGAAAATTCAATTATCTTAGAACGGATGAGGTCACTGACTAAGGATTTCTTCCGCGGCACATGACCACGATATCCAGATTTTCTTAAAATTCTTCGAATATTTCCAAGGTGTACTGTTTTTCCAAAATCATTTTGTACCTTTGCGGCTTTTTTGGAGGACTTACTTTTGGATCTTGGCGAATAATTTGCAGTACAGATCGAACATCTCTATTACTTAGGATTTTAGGACGATCACTACATGTTTTATTTTCATATTTGCCAGTTATTTTGAATTTTTTTATTATGTACTGAATAGTAGAATGTTTTCTGCCCACAATGTTAGCAATTTCACGTAGAGATTTCATCTCCTTGTACAATTTAACAATTAATTCCCGCATTTCAACGCTTGTTTCTCTCCTGGAAGCACTTATTGTCGCTAAATGATTGTTAGACATCTTTCAACTGAATCACGACGTCATGACAATGTAAACATTATCGGGGAAGCCCAGGTATTATGTTTCAAAAATTTACTAGATTTACTACCTTCGTATTTTAGTATACGAACAATTTTATGACATATGTACATTTCGCTTTTCCTCATTGTATAAAATATTCTTAAAAAAAACAATAAATTTTTATGTAATTTAATTAATAATATCATACATAATAATAAATGAAAAACAATATTATATGAAATTGTTTATTTTCTCAAGAATTACTATTTTAGGGGGTGTACGAAGACTTTCGTGACTGACTGTAGTTTCTTATCTGATTTCCTGTAAAGAGTTCTACAAAACAAACGTTCTTCGCAGGAAAATTTCGCCGGACGTTCTGCCCTCCTGTTCCCCGGGGATATTCCGGCAGAAGTCTTTTCGCGCCTCGACACCGCCGAGGAACACCGCTGCAAGCTTAGACTCCGCCGCGGCGAACAACCGTAATCGCGCAGGCGTCGATCCGAGTGGTCCACGTGAGCCGAAAACATCTAACAATAGCAGTCGCACAAAGTGCAGCGTGTTACTGCTCGCGCGAGGCGCCCGGGGTGCCAGCAAGCACGCGCGTCTTGGCACGGCACTGGCGAACAAAATGGCGTCCTCGAGCTCCACCACGGTCGTGCAGGGCTGGCCGAACACCAAGGACGACTACGAGCTCAAAGAGGTTATTGGTGAGTAACGTTGCCCCTTCGCTTTTTTCATCGCCTCCGACCTAGTACAGGCTCTGCGGACTTCTCCTCTACGACCGTTTCCCTGTCTCGCGAAATACAATCACCGGGTCTTCGTCGACGAACCCTTGCTACTTTCTTGACGTTATCGAGAGAGTTTCCGGATTCGTCGAGAACGAACATTAAAGAAGAATATGTGAACTCGAAGTCGTAACGGTCGTTGTATTATTTCTACGCGAAACGCGACGGCGGTCGATCGCGACACGTTGTCTACGTTTACGCGGCCATCTCTCTTGCTCCTGTTCCCTACGATCGCTGTCTCGCTCCCACTCGAGGATGCACGTATACCGGTGTCCGATACGTCCTAACCTAGTTAACATGCTGCGAAAGGGAGCCAACAATTATGCCGCATGCGGAATTCGCGCGGTCGTCGTCTTTGCGAACGATTGTGAATCGGCACGAGGCTAAGATATCGCAATTCGAAATGCGAAATAGGTTATGTCGTCGGCTGTTGTTCGGTGATCATATCCATTGCGAATACTTGTCGAATGGGAAGAAACTTTGGGAATATTCTTTAGCAACAAACGCTTAAAACGTTCGAGAAACACAATGCGGAATTAATTGTTAGAAATGCAATGACAATGCATCTCTATACCGCAGATATTTTGTTATTTAATTTTAAAGGCTGACGTATTTTATTCAATCCATTTTTATTAAATTATATTAGAATAAATCGTTTTTTTTCTCTGAAAGAAAAGTCTGATAAACAAAACCTATTTGACTGTGTTGAAGTCTGTTTAATTCTTTCTCCGAGTTTCCACTAAGGAAATCGTCGAGTTTCGATGTTAATCAAAGAATCGTGTGAAGTGAACTTAATCTGCAATTATGTGCCTAGCTTTAGTATATATAGTTCATCGTGCAGTGGCACGTGGCGTCGATTGTGACGTTTAATGCGTCAAACAGAGTCGGGCAAATTTTATTCGCGGATAACGAATAAAAGTTTTGGGGGTAATACGCAAACCAACTTCTATTTACGTTTCGCACGTAAATTTGTTTAAAAGTTACACACATATAAAAGTACGTTTACGAATAAATTTTAAATCTGTATTCGTTATTCGTGAATAAAATTTACCCAACGCGTCAAAGTACTGAATAAATTTTGTCGATGTTCAGGCATTTCTCAATATTAAATTTTTCCAAAATCTTCAATGAATATTTAACACGTTGTCTGTTGTGTAACCTGCCGGTGGATCATGCCTTTTTTTAAAAGAATTTCTCGACTCCTGAATAAAGAATTCTTTTATTTACTATAACTACTATAATATCGATATGTTAATTTTTGCAGAACAATTTGTACATTTAAAAGAGCACTTACGTAATGTTTGTTAGAACCTTGTAGGCTACTAATGTGTCACATACATAGTAAAAATTCTATTATACAATCTATTATAAATACAATATATTGTTCTAAATATTTGCGAGCTTTATTTTATAATCGTTAAAAAAGTGTTCGTTTAATATTTTTTAAATACATGTAATTGTATTGTTTAGTAATTATTTACGTGGTCATTGAATCTCCGTGGTTTATATTCTAATGTTTTTATTTAATTGCAGGTGTGGGTGCGACCGCCGTGGTACACGCAGCATTTTGCATTCCACGACAGGAAAAATGCGCGATAAAAAGAATAAACTTGGAAAAATGGAACACGAGTATGGACGAGCTGCTGGTGAGCATCGTTGCGTTTAATTTCGTCAGAAAAGAGTATTGCAAAATTTGCTGATGACACATCGATATGTGCTGAGTAACACATTGATTCATATAGATTATTTATATTATCGAAATTATCGCTCATAAGTGATCTGTAAATATATCTCATTGCGTATTCATGATAAAATCAACTACATTGTTCGATAAGATAACGTTGCAATAGTTATTATCGTATTCGTTCCGATTGTATTAATTCATAGATTTTTTGTTTTACTAGCTTTTGCCCGCGGCTTCGCTCGCACAGGAAACCGTTTAGTTCCCTCGGAAATTGATATTGTTTCTCCATAAAACCTTTTAAGCCCCCATTCACCTCTATAGAGTTTTAATTTTATGTCATGTCGCCATCTTAGATTTCAAAATTGATACCATTTTCGTAATTAACGTCCCAAAAAACCTTCATAACGACACCCATTCGGAAATAAGGCAATTTTAAAGCTAAATAAGTGTATCAATTAGCATTCAGACCAAGTATCAGGTAAATCCAACCACAAATAAAATATTCCTTATACAAACGTTGCAACCCCTTTCCACCTCATTAGGGGTTGAATTTCAGAATATCCTTTCTTATTTCTTGTATACATCATAAAGGAAACCTCTGTGCAAAACTTCAGCTTTTTATGTCCAAGGGCTTATTGTTAGCCTGGGCCTTGATGAGTCAGTGAGTCAGGCCTCTCATTTTATATGTATACAGGGTGTTTGGCCACTTTAAATGTTAATAACTTTTTAACAAAGCCTCCATCAACAAATTGGTATTCTTGATTTTCGTCTTATTTTGGCCTCTAGAATCCCTCATTAAAATTGTTCCCATGGTTGGCCCAACACTCTGTATAGAAGATAACTGTTACGTATTTGTAAATTTTTTTTAAACACACTACGTGGATAAATTTCTCTTGCTCTTTGCGAATGGAAAATCTGTCTTGTTTCGTATGATTTTTATTTACGATCAGCGTTAAATTTTGGAGCGAAATATCTGCGTCGCCTAACTGTTTTTGTCGATGTTCAGGCATTTCTCAATACTAAATTTTTCCAAAATCTTCAATGAATATTTAACACGTTGTCTGCTGTGTAACCTTTTGGTGGATCATGCCTTTTTTTAAATGAATTTCTTGATTTCTGTATAAAGAATTGTAAAGTCTAATAACGATACGTATTATCTTTTGCAGAAAGAAATACAGGCCATGTCCTCCTGCAACCACGAGAACGTTGTCACGTATTACACGTCTTTCGTGGTGAAGGAAGAGCTCTGGCTTGTTCTAAGGCTGCTAGAGGGTGGTTCTCTGTTGGATATTATCAAACATAAAATGAGAACCACCAATTGCAAACACGGGGTGTTCGACGAAGCAACGATAGCTACCGTGTTGCGAGAGGTGCTCAAAGGCCTTGAATACTTTCACAGTAACGGGCAAATACACAGGTATCTCTAAGCAATTCTTTCTTTGCCTTTCCTAATCGTTTTAACCGCCTTTCGTGCTAAACGGATCAAAGAATATTAAAGACGTTTCTAAGTTCGTCTTGAAAAAAAAAACTGGTCCTTTCGATGAAGCACAAAGTAAATGTATCTGATGCCCGTATACATATAGACAAATTTTAATAACAGAATAATATTAGGGACATAAAAGCCGGTAATATCCTACTAGGAGAAGATGGCACAGTGCAGATCGCTGATTTTGGCGTCAGTGCTTGGCTCGCAACAGGTCGAGACTTGAGCAGACAGAAAGTCAGACACACCTTTGTGGGGACACCATGCTGGATGGCACCAGAGGTCATGGAGCAGGTGAGAGAGGAAAGTAACATTACAACTTCTTAGCTTGCGTTTTTTGTGTCAATATTTGTCTTGCATTCGTTTAGCATACGCTATTTGTTAGGCATTGAAAATTGTATTAGGAAATAGAGGCTTAAAACTAATTTCATTCGCCATTTGGTTACTTTCATTTTCATGCAATATCTTCATATTTCATAGTAACGAAACAATTCACAAAATTCATTACAACAAGTCATAAAATTCCGCCAAGCATGCACGTTAAATAACAAATCTTACATAAATTTCTTTGAAGATAAAACATTATTTAGTCCTTACGAGTTATATAAAATATGTGAAATTAAATGACTTTCATTTCATTCGATTTGCAGAAAGTAAATGATGTTTTGTCTTAAAGAAATCTTTCCAAGGCGAGCAATTTGCACAATGAATTACTAACAAATCCAATAATTTCTATTGTGGAAATTACGCTATAGAACAATTTTTTTTTTTATTTCTTTGCGAATCGAGCAAAACATGTTAAAATCTTAAAAGCACGTTTTAAACTTGATATTGCCGGTCTCGTCCAACAAGTGCCTTGTAAAATCAATTATAATATGCACATAACTTTGCAGGACCATGGCTATGATTTCAAAGCAGACATTTGGTCTCTCGGCATCACCGCGATCGAGATGGCCAGTGGTACAGCTCCATACCATAAGTATCCGCCGATGAAGGTGCTAATGTTAACGTTGCAGAACGATCCGCCGACTTTGGATACCGCCGCCGATGATAAAGATCAATACAAAGCGTACGGTAAAACATTCCGAAAAATGATCGTCGACTGTTTACAGAAAGATCCGACGAAGAGGTAGGAATTCACTTAAATTTATCTACTTCGGTATAAAAAATTCGTGCAACGATCATCGACGTTAAACAATTTTATAGACCAACGGCGACGGAGCTACTGAAACATCCTTTCTTCAAAAAGGCGAAAGATAAAAAATACCTGCAGCAAACCTTAGTAGCCATTGGTCCTAGTCTGGAGACTCGCGTGCAGAAGGTAAGTCTACCGATACCAAATACAGTGAAAACTTGATAAATGTCACTACTTCGGGTCCGGTCAAGAACACTTATGGAATAGGAGAATCGTTTTTCGAATTTGATTGTAGTTTGCCAACGCCTCGAACATAGAAAGAGTTAGTAGCTAAAAAAGAAAGAGAGATTGAAAACCGGATTTATCGCCCCCAGTTTAAATATCCGTTACACATTACATTTCATTGTGTGCCAGAACGTGTTCAATTTCGAGTAAAATGTCTCAGTGGAGTTAGGGAAAGGTATTTAATAGCACTCCCAAAACATGTACGTACTCTTATCTTCGCAAGGTCAGAGGAGAGTACATTTATCGAACAGAGGTAGCTAACGAAACTTCCTATCTCATAAGTGTTACCGTTTCTGATCACTTACGGAACAGTGCAAGCGTTCCGTTTGAAAATAGCTACCTTCTATTCGATAAATGTACCCAGCACCTCGACCCGTCGTTCTTTGATGTTTCTGAAGATGGAAAAGAATAGCACAAGAAGGATAAACAAAGAGAGAAAGACTTGCAAGTACAATATTTAAGCCAATATTATGCTACCAAATATTGACCGATTTATATCATGTTTAGTCTCATTTTAATCGGAAACATCTCCCCCACATGATAATGAAAGGACACCGCACAGATCTTATGGAAAATGGCACCCGGTTAAATTAGCTGAACTTTTGATATGATGTAGTTTATGATATCTTGATGAAAAGTTCCAATGGGACCAAGCTCCGTAAATTGAACAGTTTCCGAGATACGGGGGTTCAAAAGTCAATAATAGTGCGCCTTATTCTAGACTACGATGTTTGAGCATATTTGAGTGTAAGAAGCACTGTTGTGAACCCTGTGGGTCCTCAAATATTACCCCTTGATCCTCTGACTCCCATTCAGGAGCCAAAATAAAAAAACGCCAAGAAGGTAAAAAATGGTTCTTTTTTTCATTGTACAAATATGAAGCACCGTCGACATTAGTATTACCCAGTGTGCACCACGAGGAGGTTGCTCGATCGGATTTTGCACACCAAGGCGGCTCTGAATAGGGCCGTTTTTATAGTTCTCTCTATTCGACCATAAGAATCTCAACATTCATATTGTCATGATGCCCTCTATTAGCGTAGATTGAAACTTCGTTGATAGATAACAGCCTTAGAAGACTAGAGGTTTATTCACGATTTCGTAATCGTACCAAACATCAAGTTCTTATTTCTCATATTCCCAAAAATGAACTGGAACTAGAAGTAGAAATAATAAATGGTTACTACTGCATCTGTCAATCAGGTGTCAAAACATCGGGTACATGCGCACATATTGCAAGTGTTTTAAGGTTTTTAGGATTTGCTTGTTATCAAAGGCATGTCAAATATTCGGATGGTAATCTTTTAAATGCGTCCAGAGATGCCGCTAATAGACACCTTCAAGACAATATGAATGTTGAGATTCCTATGGTCGAATAGAGAGAACTATAAAAACGGCCCTCTTTAGGGCCACATGGTGTGCAAAATCCGATCGAGCAACCTCCTCGTGGGGCATACTAGGTAATGCTAATGTCGATGGTGCTTCATGTTTGTACAATGAAAAAGAGAACCATTTTTTACCTTCTTAGCGTTTTTTTATTTTGACTCCTGGATGAGAGTCAGAGGGTCAAGGGGTCAAGGGGTAATATTTAAGAGCCGACAGTACAACTACTGAGTTTGAAGGGGTCAAATAAATGGACAGTGTACAACAGTGCCTCTTACATTCAAATATGCTCAAACGTGGTAGTCTAGAATAAAGCGCGCCCATTATTGACTTTTGATCCCCCGTATCTCGGAAACTGTTCAATTTACGAGCTTGGGCCCATTGGAACTTTTCATCAAGACATCATGAACTACATCATATCAAAAGTTCAGCTAATTTAACCAGGGGCCATTTTCCATAAGATCTGTGCGGAGTTCTTTTTATTAACAAAGAGTAAAAAATAAAAAACTTTCTACTGTACAATAGTGTGGTCACACTGACAGGGGCATTTAAACGAAGGTGACGAAGGCAATAAAGATTTTTAAAGAAAGCCGCTACGTTTTCGCTTACACTTCGCCTCACTGGTTCAAGGGGGATGCCCCGAGTGGTGGAGATAAAAATGTATCATTTACGGAACAGCTATTGAGGACATTTATCGAGTCTCCACTGTAGTTTCATCTATTCGCAGGTTAGAAATCGCACAGTGTATATGATTCCTCGTAATTATTATTTTTTAGGCTTCGAAAAGACAACCGGGCACGTCCGGTCGCTTACACAGAACAGTCACAGGCGAGTGGGTTTGGTCCTCGGAAGAGGAGGAAAGCGGAGCCTCTAGTGGCGATGAAGGCAAAGAGGCTTTACCAGTCAATACGATCGAAAATCCTAGTAGCGAGGAGGAGCCCGATGAAGAGTTCTATGGGCAAGTGAAATCTGCGCCAAGTCAGCTTCTTGTACAAGCTACCGAGCAGAATATTCCCATAAACTTGGTGTTGAGATTACGGTACGCGATACTGAGCATTCTATGGTTACTTCAGTTATGCCTAGTTTTCCTTCCAATTTTCCTATTGGATCACTTCTAACAACACGAATTTAAATATCCTATACTATTTAGTCCTGTTTTTATTGCAGACGCCCCGAAACACACTTCACCTTTGAAGACAGTCCTGAGTATGTTCCTTCCTTATTCTCAATATTGTTTCCACAATCACCGTTCGATACTTTCTCGATTTGCGATGAATCGTATAACATCGCGATGCGATTTTTAATTACATACGATTCTATTATAGAAACCAGAAACGAGAGCTTAATGACATTAGATTTGAATTCGCGGTTGGAGTGGATTCCGCCGAGGGCATCGCAGCAGAACTAGTCGGAGCAGGTTTAGTCGATGGCAAGGACATTGTTGTAATAGCAGCAAATTTACAGAAACTAATAGACAGTGCCGGCCAGTTACGAACAGTAACGTTTTCACTGGTACGTTAATCTTTATTAACATTAGAATTTGCTTGTCTCGAGTTTCGGATAAGATGGATTAATAAGAAATTACGTTTTCCAGAATTCTGGTCACGCAGCCAACGAAGTGCCAGACGACAAAGCATTAATAGGATTTGCTCAGATCTCCATCACTGATTAAACGAACTTCCATCTCGCGTTCTGAAGTCTCAGGATACAGTTCTTAACCACCGTTCAGAGAATGGGAAGTATCGAAAGCTCATCGGTTCCTTCCTGATGGCTTGGAGTGACCGACTACAAGAGGATAGCTCCAAGAAACTTACGAATTCATAGCACACCTTTCTGTATCGCACTTTTTTTACAGCTTTTGCTACTTTCACTTCTTCCAAGTTCGAAACAAAGTGCGACAGAGCATTTTAGACACAGGGCGTAGGTGTACAAGACCTCCGTAATAAACTGTACGTCGGTTACCACGAACAACTTGGCAATGTATTCAAAAGCGGCGTACAGACAGATCGTCAGGTAACTACGAGTTTGTAAATGTATTTTTTTGAACCCTCTTGTTCCCGTAAAGTTTTAGAAACCTAATGGTACTAAGATTCTCAATACTACACTTTTAATGAACACCGTGACCTCGACTAATTAAATAAAAATGTAGTCATTAGCGCCGTTAGTAAAACAGTTGACGTTAAATATTATTTTGTTCTATGAGATGTAATTTAAGGTAGCGAGAGGGTTAAATCGAATTTTAATCGCTGAACTCGAATCATTTGCGAATCTTGGTGCGTACGCGATTATGCACGCATAAATAAGGCACGCAGAACGGACAAAAGGAACAGTATCATCCGTACTGGCTTAAATATCCACTTGCTCTAATCATTAATGGCTGTAGTTCCATATATTCTCAATCTATATCATTCATATTACATTAATTCCTGTAAATATTAGTATTCGAATCGTTTGTTAAGTTTACCATTCTATAAGAAATACGAACACAGAATTTCAAATAACTAAGCAAATGAGTGGCAAATTTGTCTTCGGAGATGCTCAAACATTTGACTTACTTATTTGGGATAGCAGGCAAACACACATTCTTATACACAGTTAAGAATTTAGTTACAGACATAGGATGTATGCTGAACATGTTTAACGCATTCTGTACTAAAGCGGTCATCAATTTCTTGTATAATACATAAATTGTTATCGTATTTCCTTATGCTTGAACGCTACAGGATCCGTAGAACACACGAAAGTACTAATGGAACGTGTTTTGTACTTAATTAAATAGATTTACGTTAGCGGATTTATTATTATACGGCTTCGTAGAGGCGGACAAGTTAGCCGAGAAAATGTTCCACGTGTCTTAAAAAAAAAAGTTTTAGATAATGAGCACACAGATATCTTTAGAGCAGAACTGTCAACCCTTTGCAGTTTTATTTTGCACCGGCCTCAACATTGTATCCAATTGTACTCTGTGTCGAACGCGATATAGAATTTCTTATATAACAATTATTTATATGCGTTAAAAAATATTTGTTACTGTGTTAATCCTTTGCACTTTATTCGTTCGACATATTGAAATATAGTTTTGTAAAGGACCAAAAAATGTGAAAATTGTGTTCTATCGTTAGCATACCACTTTTTAATTTAGAAGTAAAATAAGTCAATCTTGCAAAGGGTTGTAAACAAAAAAAAAAAAAAAATAGAATGCGTCGGAGTCACATTACAAAATTTACCGCGAGGGTGCAACAACTTAATACTCGTTTAACTTGCAGTTGAAAAAAAATCGAAGTCGATCACGAATTAGGCACGAAATGAGTACATTATTGCGATTAGGTTACTTCGAAATCAATGTGATTCTGGTATTTAAGATGATAAAGGAAACAAATATTTTTTCGCGACGTTAGGAATCGATAACGAAAAACGTATCCGAAAATAAATTTGTTCGATTGAGTATTTATTGCTTGAAGGGGGTTTTGTGAATAAAGTCTACGATTAATCTCACGAATAAACATTCTTTTTTTTTTATTTTTTAGAAATTCTTTTATCTATTATAAAAAAATGAAGACTAATCGTCGAAGTTTTAGCATATACTAAACAGATTTTGATAAATTTGTTTGTATTTGTTATCATATGCTTGCGAGTAAATGTTACCGAAAAGATGCTATTGTTCATCGACTGGGATGTTTCGCTTGTTACTTTGTCTAATTTTACGTTTGCGCGAACGATTAGTCGACTGTAATCGATCTAGAAACTTAACACAGTGCTTACCAATTTTACTATCCTCAAAACTACACTGATAGACGACCAAATTAATAGTTGTATAATTTAAAAAGTATTGTAGTCATCAAAACGAAGTTGTCTCATGGTTTCCATAGTGTCAATCATTCTACAGGCTCGAAAAGATTCTGAATGAGTTTATTGCAGGTACTAAAATGAATTTAAATAACACTTTGGAGTGTAATTATTGGTTGTTTAATGCTCTCTGCCATTTTTGAAGACCAAAAATATATGAAAAAATCGATATTTCAAAAGATTTACAGTAGAATATCCTCTTTACATGGTCACAGAAAATTAATTTTGAATAGTAAGCATCGTGTTAGCGCAAACATTATTTAATTATTTAATTTCGAAGATTCCTTGCTTAATGAACTGTGTTGAGATTATGTGATAAGATAATGGAAACTAAATTTTAATTGAGTCTTAGCAAATCAATTGTTTTTGGTAAAAATAGTAATAAATTTTTATGAAATCAAAGATTCGACTTTAAGAGTATTTTATATAGTGAACAATGTGTGCCAGAAAATGATCTTTTATGTTATTCTTTATTTTTATGGATACGTGACAAAATAGTTGTCACAGGATAGGTACTTGAGCGATTCATCTCGACTGCAAGTACAATTTCATGTAAGGACGTTTTCTTTTTGGTCTTTTAATGGTTGAGTCTACAAATTGCCAACAACATAACAAGGTCCACGACCCGTTTTATTCCTTCCTTAACTATTACTCACTCCTTGACGCTCTGCAGGATCCTGGGGGACCCATATATTATAGAAGTGGGATGAGTAGATTCGACCAAAGTGGGCCCGCCAACTTCCCTGAAGTTCTCCGCACCAGGCCACTACAAAGGCAGTGGTAGGAAAAGGTTAAATTAACGAAAGAAAATGAATAAATTAAGAAAGTAATTACGAACAACGCTAACGATGCAACCGTAAAAATTATCGATGGATTATAATTTTATCAACGAGAACCAGTACAATGCATTACTTTACGCCATTTAATTTTTCATTACGGCATTTTTATCAGTTTCTGACCGTTTCTAAGATACAGGTTGTCCCAGTTGGACGATACGATCACGCGTGCGCCCATCGTTTGAAATCCAAACCCCACGGGAATCTTCTATAGTTTTATTTCAGTCTTGATAGAGCGAATCGCGTTTAACCAACTGTCTTCTGCGCCACTGTTACAAGATAGACTGTCATAAAAGATGTAGTGGCTAAACAAATCCTAGTAAAAAATTTATGTCCTTGTTACTGTTCTGTTCCGTTGTAATTAAAGTACTCCCTTTTTTAACCGAGTGAGTGTTGAGAAAAGTCGAACAAAAAGTGAAACTTAGTGGAACTGGCTAGTTTGACAATGGCAAAATTTTTAGCTACGGTCAAGGCGATAATCACACGATTGGTATTCGCCTCGCATGGTTTCATAGCAATTTGGCAAGTCACGACGTTTAAGAAAAATCCTCTCTTCTGGTACCTGAGCTGCCCTATTCTGTTGCTGTTCTTCGAAGGCATATTCACGCTCACTATAAAAGAAAACCAAGAATGGAAGTGGTAAACAACAAACAGCTTTCCTCCGAGTTATAATTTAAGTACAAACAAGAAACATTCGGTATAATAATACAGGGTGTTCGGCCACCCAATACCAATTTATTGGTGGACGCTTCGTTAAAAAGTTATTAACAATTAAATTCAAAAATTTCAAATCGTTTTGGAAAAATTATTTTCGGTTGCGGGGGTCAATTACAATCATTTTTGGTGAATAGACCTACCCCCGAAATTCTACCCACTTTCTAGAAAAAAATTCAGTACGGGCGGAACTTTTTAACGAAGCCTCGAAATGGTCGAACACCCTGTATAATAATATAGTAAGAATACTAGCAGCCCTCCATTACACGAAGTTTATTTAAAAATTGAAAAAAATAAATAGCTAAATTTAAAACAAAGTATAAGAGAAACTTTAAAAGCAATTCTGATCGCAATAAAAATTACTTTGCAGTTCCTTCGAGCTCCGCTGTAATTGAAAATGTAATTCTCGTTCCGCTTGGATTTTTCTAAATTTAAAAATTCTAGTTTCTTGTCATTCTAAAATTGTGATTTGAATTTATTTTTTTTTCCTATTTTTCAGTTTAATTATTTATTTCTCTCCGGACGTTCTAATTTCAGTTACTTTTGATTGCGAGTGGATAGAATGTTTACAGGCGTACGTCTCGAATTACATGTGAGCAAAGAGAACGTATTAAAAAAAGTAAACATGTCGAGAAAGAGTCTCCCTGCGAAGGAGAAACCTAGCGATAAAACAAACCTACTTTCTCGAGCGAGGGTGTGTTTTTGTGGGACCGTCTCAATTTGACAGTCGGAAATTGAAGCATTAGTAAGAGGAGCGGAACGAGACACAATCCACTATACGTCGAAGCTGATCGAAAATTATTGACACCCAAAAAGGGCACCTCGTAACAGTGACCTGTATATCTGATACCTTTTTCCATTCAGATTACATGGTCGATTCGGCAAAGAAGTTAAGGGGTAAGATCACTGTAAAAACCTGAATAAAGCGTTTTATTTTTTTTTTTGATTAATGGAAAAGTAAGAGGATAATAATATTCAAGAATGTTATTAACCATGTCGTTAAGTGTTACAAAAAAGAATATTTATTCAAAAATAGTGCAAAATGACGACGGTGCGTCGAAAAAATCGGTTTTTGATTTTTGCTACTACGGAGCTCCCTGCTAGAAAATCTGAAAAAATTCAGGGACATAACCAATGACAATACACATTTACAGTAATTATTATAAATCTAGTATCTCGAAAGCCTCAATACGAAATCGGTATTTTTCTGCGTTTTTTTGCGTTTTTAATTTTTCACGCCTAGAATTTCTAATCGAAAAAAATTCTTGAACACGTATCTCGATAACCACAATGCACCAGATTTTTTACGTAATTTTCGTACTCTATCAAATACAGAAAATAGGCACAAATTTGATAATCCGGATTTTCCCTATAACTACCCTTCGGAACAAGATAGAGGGTTGAAACTTGGCACAGAATGTTTGATTTTGATTCTCTATCGATGCCAAATTTGGTTCAAGGGCACATTTCACCCTCTTATTCGGCTATACCCTTTGTATCTGGAAAAAAAGAAAATATTTTCTCTTAATCTACGTGAGTATAGCTAGAGAAATAAGTAGGGGATTTTCGATAAGTTAATTTTAACATTATTTATTGACAAATGATTGCACCATGTTTTGTACAAAATTGAACTTTCTACTTCAAATGCTCGCCAATCACAAAAATTAATGTTTCAAAAATCCGTTACGTATTTCTCTAGCTATACTCACGTAGATTAAGAGAAAATTTTTTGTTTTTTTTCCTGATACAGGCAGTTACACTGCTCACCGCAGAGCGCCTCAAATTCAAAACACGCCTCGCGAGAATGGCTCCAGCGTCGTCATTTTGCACTATTTTTCAATAAATATTTTTTTTTGTAGCACTTAAAGACATGGTTAATAACATTCTTGAATATTATTATAAAAGAAACGCTTTATTTCAGGTTTTTACACTAATCTTACCCCTTAATGAAACTGATCAACCGGAACTGCTTTCTCAAAGTCAATGTTTACCTAATCCTTTCGTTTTCATTGGAATACTTTTTAACATTGTATTATTTCTGTAAACGTAGTATCTTGCCGTGAAAAAATGGACGATAAAAACGATATTTTATATGCTTAAATAGGTTTTGCCCTTCCGTTTTCTTATACCTCAGTAGCGTGGTGCCTGCAATATGGCTTCTAGAATTGGACAAGGTCGACAGAAGATTAAAAGCGTTCGAATCGAACGTGAACATATCAGAAAACTTTGACCTGACGAACTTGGCCGCTAAGGATTTGAAACACTTGGAGAAAGCATTCGGCGTGCGTAATATTTGATCTAAAACGTATTTGCAAACTACTTGAAATTCCTTAAATCGAGATTGACTTTAATCCATTAGGAATCCTTTTTGTAACTCCTTATCGATTTAGGTGAACATTCATCTGCCGGATATACAAATATCCACCGAGACATGGGTGACTTTGATCGAGCAGTTCTTGATGCTGATCCTGATCATTGGAAGATGGATGTTGCCAAAGGGTGATCTAACGCGCGATCAACTGAGCCAATTACTATTGGTTTACATAGGAACGGCCGCAGACATAATTGAATTCTTCGACTCTTTCAAAGAAGACCGTATCGCTCGAGAACCAGTGCTGGTGTACTTAACCCTGGGCATTTGGGCATGGTCCTTGATGCAGTTCACCGTTGTCCTGACGGCCACCAAGTCCAGAAAGTCCAGGCTCTCTTCTGGCAGTGCTGTAAAAAAACGAGTACACACTGAGACCAGTTGTTGCAGCATAGACGTATGGGGTATCGCTTTGAACATGCTGTTACAGGTAACCTTCCAATGTATCGTCCACAACAGCGTTATACATATCTTTCTCAAATCTTCCAGGATGGTCCGTTCCTCGCGTTCCGTTTGATCCTGATCGTTCACTATCGCATCGTCAGCTACATGAATATCTTCTTCACATGCAAAAATACCCTGGTCATACTTCTGCAGCTCTATCGGCTATACGTGGTGCAAACAGAGAGCAAAAGCAAGCGGAAGAAACGAAGACCCGAGACGACAAACATCAGCATCATCTCGAGAGGGGACGTGTACAGGGACTCGAGGAACAGAAAGTACTGCGACGACAGAAGGAGGAGGAAGAGGAGGGACAGAGACGTGGAGGCCAATTCCTTGGACAGCGATGAGCCCACGGAAACAGACAAATTTGATTCTTCCCCAAAAACCGTCAAACGTTCTAAACGGTATTGTTGTTACTTGATTTTGGGGAAAAATTATAAATGTCAGGAATTATTCTATTCTATTCTATTCTATTCTATTCTATGTATGATTGTATTAAAATTCTACAGAAAAAGTCGCCAAGACACTGGATACTCTACGTCGAGTTCACGGAATTCTGGAAGGCAGAGAAAGTCTCAGAGGAACGAAAGTAAAAGGAGATCTTCGCGCAAGGAAGAATCCAAACGTGAAGTCTCCTCCGAGGATGAAAGACACAGAAGGAGAGTCGACAGAAAATCGTCGGAAAAAGGGGACAGAAAGTGTTCTGACGGTGTCAAGATGAAATCGAGAAACGACGACTCCAGTAAAAGTTCTGGTAAAAGTAGGATGTGTAAAGATGACAGCGAGGACCAAACAACGACGGAAGAAGTGGCTGAGAAAACGGTCAGCGAAGGAAGCGAGTCGGAATCTGAAAGAAAGAGGTATATCAAATTTATTCAGAAATAATCGACGAAATGTTCCGGTTCTATGGATTTGAAAGACTCGAAGTTCTATACAGACTCTAATCTTAGAAATCCATAGGGATGGTGGGTAATTTCGTCAATTTTTAATAATGTTCTTAGTATACTGAACCTTACGTACAATATTTCAACACAGAGATATAACTGTTCTATAATTTAATTATTAATACTGCTAAACAGAAAACTATCTCACGAGTAAAAAAATAGTTTTTATAATTGTATTATCTATAAATTCTGAGAACAGTTGTAATAGCTAATTATTCGCTATCTAAAAAAATGTATGTAAGTAATTTTACTATAACAAGAACTTTTTAATAGAAAAATAGTCGTAGAATTTTTAGCACAATATTTCCTTCGTATAAGAAATCTATAGTATTTTAGCTAAAAAATCTAATATTAAAAGGTTCGATTTCGTCACAGGTATGCTCATCGAAAACGACGACAAAACAGAGACTGACAACGAAGCCTCGGTATTGTCGCATTGCTATTTGTCTATTTTGCGATTCTCGTCACATGCATTCTCCTCATACATGGTGGAATCAACAACGGCGTGGTGTTAACTACAAGAACGAAGAAAATGTTCTATGTCGATTGACCCTTTGCACTCCAACATTTGCGCGCAGTCAAAACCAAAGAAACTCTCGTTTACTAGTAATACCTGTTAACACAAAACAGGTGCAAGTGCCTAAAATAAAAGATAAGATAAAATTAATACCACAATATAATCGTTACATTAAAACTATAAATGACTTCAAACTATACTCGAGCATAGTTGAGCAAAAGGCACGCTTGGAGTGCGAAGAGTTAATTATCGTCGAATTCGAAATTGTATTACCGTTTATAAATCCTATTTGAACGCTCGGTACCTAAGTAGCTTTAAACTAATACAGTAGCCAAACGCAAATAAAGATTAAGGCATTATTTTAATAATAGTCACTCGAATCTGTAACGTACTAAATTACTAATTAAAGACGTTTGTACTATGGCTCGGTTTCAAGTTTAAAGACTCTTCTTAAAATCGTTAATAAAGGAACGAAAAGAAAACTTTCACGTATTTTCTTTGATTTTCAATCTAGCTAGAATGCGAAGTTCAAAGGTTATAAAATAATGTGTATAAAATTATGAATGATTATTGGATTCTATGTTGTAGAACAGGTCCGGGGGATCGTGATAAAATCCTATATTAGTAAAAAGATTTGATTCTCGTTAAATCGTTATGGGTGCACAAAAGCTGGTAACATTATCTATTAGTGAAAGTGAAACAGGCTATTTGTTTGAGATGTCTCATTCTTAGAAGCAAAGTTATTTTTTGAAAGTACATGTCAGGTATGTTTTTAAAATGTTATCAAAATCCCCGACCCGTTGACTACAATATTCTTCGCTGAAGACTGTAATCTCGTTCGAGCATAGATATACGCTCATATAGTAAAATCTTTACACGCGTCTAACCATTGTATCGTCTGCGCGACATCCAGGCTATCGACATAATTTGCTAAATCGTCTTGATGCGTGCCAGTGGCAGCGCAATACAGTATCGCTGTATTCTCCAACAATTCCTGCAAAGACTGCGTTTTCGTCGTAGCTGTGTCCGTGCTACTGCTCACCAAGGTATATTCCTTTTTCTTCGGGTTCGTTGCGTTCGGCCGTATCCTCTGAAATGTTTCCAAACATTTGGGAACTTCAGTCGTGTTATCTGACGCGATAACCCCCGGTGCCTGATCAATCTTGAACGATTGCCTATTTTTTACCTCCGACGAGAGGTTTTTTACGCTTGAGTTACCCTTTATGTCCTTCAGCTTCTCTACTGTCAAATGAAACCGTCTCCACCTTCCCTGAGGAAACTTTATGTTCATGTTTCGGTTCGTAGAATTCTCCTGAGTATTTTGCTTCGCGTTCTCCTCCTTGTTAGCGACTTCCTTGGCCCTGATGCTCTTCACGGTGCTGTAAAACCCTTGGTTTTCTATGGCTGGCTTCTTTGTGCTGCTCTTGTTGTACTCGGACAGGATTTTCGCTATCTGCGACGTGTCGGTGGAGCACCAGGTCTTGCTTAAGCTGCCGGGCATTGTTTTTACAGTTAATTCCTTATTAGGAAGTTCGTTGCGCGATTTCTTAGTTGCTGTGTCCGCCTCTTTCGCTATTTTAATCTTATTCTGCTGTCCATTGTCGAGCAGGTACTTCGTTACTGTAAACTCCGTTTTATTTTCAAGCTTCGTAGACACCTGCTTCAAAGACATTACCTTTGCATTCTCTGTCTGTTCGTCGACGGGAACCACATTTTTGTACATTGAAGAAACGTCTGTCGAAGATTTCTCGCTAATAGATGCATCTTCCAGGTTTATTGTTTTCAGATTATTAGGTATCGATTTTACAATCTGACCATCCTTTGTTTCCGAAGGATTACTGGAAGGCCGTACTATTTCGTTTATCTTCATATGTCCGCCCTGGAGGGTCCTTAAGTTGTTAAAAGCAATAGATTTCTGGGAATTGGCAACGTATACTTTTCGTGCTGGGAACAGCCGTGTGTTTGTCACATGATTGTAATTTTTAACGTTTTGCGACACCATGGTAACCGTATAATTGTCCAATTGCTTCCTTCCTTCTACCGACTTCTGCGAATTACTTTTGAAACTGACGGACGGCTCGTTTTTGGCAACGTAGTCCACAGCGCTCGTCGTTAAAATCTGCTTTTCCGTCGCTTTAGTGGAACTCGATACATTTTTGTTGCTTTTTAACTTAATTATCTTCTCCTCTACGTTCGTTTTGTAAGTAGGAGTTACCACTTGCGAACAATATCCCAGAACGCAGTGGAAACTCTCGTGCATACAGGTTTCAAACGATTTGTGCTTCCGAGAAAGACCCGCGTGCGATGCTTTCGCGTTTTTGGCGTTCGCGATACCTCGGTTCGATTTTCCTTTGTTATTCCGTTTTTTCTCGGTATAAGAAACGAAGTCGCAGCGAGGATCAACGGATACCACTTCTATTTCAGGACGATCAACTATTTCGTGGTAGGAAAGTCCGTCTATGCTGGTGAAGTAGCGGCCCAAGTATTCCGCGGCAAGGCCAACCTGGAATGCACATTGGACGATAATTGCAAATTAAATTGTTTTAAACAACTTACAAGGAATGTTCGCGAACGGTCCGGCTTCGATTTTGATGAAACTTTGTGCACTTATAAAGCAGCCAAAAATAATCGACACGTATTTTTTTTTAGCTGCGGTAACTCGAGTTTAAGGGATGAAACCACCCCTTGAAGTTTTGTTATTGCTACTTGTTACTATATAATTTAGTGCAAGCCTACAGTGCTTCATTAAAATCAAAGTTAGAACGGCTACTACCATAGTGGATGTGCGCGCAAGATGTAAATCATCAAAATCTGCAAAACTGTAACAGGCATTTTTAAAATGTTACGTACCAATGGATTTGGAATAAAATGCTCGTCATTTTTTGCCATTATGAAAATTTCAATAAAATGAAAAATTAAGTTAATAAATGTTTTTGTTGTTATAAACAAATTGTGTTTTGTTAAATTTTTTAACACCATGTTATTGTACATAAGAGACCATTGACCTCGCCCATTAACAATTTTTTCGTATGTCTTTCCGTTTTCGAGATAGCCGTTTTGAGCCAAAACTTCAAGAGGTGGTATCACCTCTTAAACTCGAGTTACCGCAGCTAAAAAAAAATACGTGTCGATTATTTTTGGCTGCTTTATAAGTGTACAAAGTTTCATCAAAATCGAAGCCAGACCGTTCGCGAACATTCCATGTTAGGAAGATAGAACTATGTAAATCACCTGGGGATGGAACACTGGTCTCTCGTGCATACCATGCACTGGCCATTCTTTCCATTCCATCTCATCCTTTACAGAGGGTGCTTGATAAGTCGCACCCACATTATACATTTTTCTTGTGACGGATCGTGTGTTCATATAAGGCATAGTGGAGGATTTCCCTCGTTTACCAGGCTCCAAACGGAGCAGCATTTCCCTTTTCTTCACGGAAAGCAACTGTTGCCTTGGTCTCGGAAAATCTTTGTCCGGATCCTTCTTTGTCACGCGTATAGGATTTCTTCGTATCTCCACCGTGCCCCGACTGCAAACAATTTTTTTTTTAAATGAATTTTCAACGATTCCTTCGAATTACAAAATCGAAAAATTTATACATATACAGGGCGTTCGGCCACCTCTGGGAAAAATTTTAATGGGAGATTCTAGAGGCCAAAATAAGAGGAAAATAAAAAATACCAATTTGTTAATTGAGGCTCCGTTAAAAAGTTATTAACGTTTAAAATTCCGCCTGTAGAACGGCAATCTGCAAACTGCGTGCGTGCGATAGGATGAGACAGGTCAGTCCTAGTGGTTCTCTACTCACAAAATTGTAAGGCTGTCGATACGTTAGTAGGTAAAGTTTCTCATGCATAAACGTTAATAACTCTTTAACGAAATCTCAATCAACAAATTGGTATTCTTGATGATTGTCTTATTTTCGTCTCTAAAATCTCTCATGAAAATTTTTCCCAGGGGTGGCCGAACACCCTGTATAATTAAAATTTATTAAATTATTTTATATTTTCCGTGGATCTCTTACGTTTCTATAACTAAGATTCGTTTTCAAACTTTTAACGTTAAAATTTTATCGCTAAGAACTCAAAAAATATACCAGCGTATAATAACGTTAGAGAAACCTTAAAAATTACCGGCACACGGTACAAATGTAGCCTACTAAAATTCATATCATTAAGAAATACATCTTGGATGCTATGAAAATTCGTTAATCGTTCAAAGCTGTGGTTGATTGGCTTTGGAATTCAGAGAACTTATAACGCGAAGACGATGCCGGTTTTTAATTCGTTTGGATAAAATTTAAACAGTCTACGAAACTTTCTCATCGATTCGCTCGTCGACGAGACAGAATTTAAAATCAACAATTCCTACTCTGGTGTACCTACCTTTTTCTCGTAGTTCGATAGACTCTTCTTACTTTAGCAGCACCACCGGATGTCGAGCCTCCGCTACTAGTTTCCGTGGAGTCTCGTACGTAATCGCTGTCGTCTTTGTACTTTCTCTCCTGCTTGATGACGATCGTCTCCGGAGGGAGCTTCTGCAGAATTTCCATGTTCTTGTAATCATTGGTCGTTTCTTCGGCCACGTTCGATAACAATTCTAGATCCAAACGGTTCCTGAGTGCCATTTTACATCGCTCGTCAGTCAACTCGATCACTTGTCGGCTCCCTTGCATCCGATCTCGTGTCACATTCGACTTATCAACCGGTCGATGCATCGACAAACGATCATTATCTTTCCCTATTACAGCAATCACACTCACATCGTCGTCCTCTTTGTCCACGTTCGAATTCTGCTTCGTTGAAGCTTCCATTTACCTTTCCCCGATCATTTAATCATTCATGGACACGCAAATTTACGTTTCGTCTGGACGTTGTTGCTATATGTCGTGATTCTTGGAAACATGTGGCGACGAAGAATTAATGGACAACGAAATTTCGGTACTCCCGTTTCTGTTTGGTCGAGGTTTTTCTCGGAATGCCGGTGAGACACTTGCGAACGGATCGCGTCGAGTTTTGTTTGGCTACGAACGATTGCATTGAAATGTAACCCAATACACTGGGCCACGGACGCGAGTCTTGTGCTTTTGTTTCTTGCGGTGGAATGAGGGAACAACAGTGTCATCTAGGTATTTAAGCCTCGACGACAACGTCAAATTATATGTTATCCTGTAATCAGATCAGGCAACTGAGAGTGCGCTGTTTGTCATGAACGAGTGTATCCAAGTTTTGGATAATTATTAATAAATGTTTAATCTTGAACTTTACGACTCAATTAACTTTAGATTTTACGCGACAAATAAATTTCAATGCTTTATGATTTATACGTTTAGACTATTCAAGAACTTCGTTACAACTATTGTAGTTTATATTTGTTGTAAAAGTCGGACACAGCATGTGTGATTAAATCCAATACAATATTTACGAATTTATCAATCAATTCGATATTGATTTATTATTTATTTTACGTTCTGTGTATCGCTCGGTTAGTATAGAAACCTATAATATTTACGTACATGGTTAAAAGGTGACGGTGTATACACGAGGAGAACAATAAAAGAATTTACCAAAAGTTCACCTTTAAAATAGAGAAATAAGCAGGCATTTTACAGTTGGAAATTGGGCTTGTGCCTGACTCGTGATTTGTAAAGAAGGTTAATAGCCTTGAGTTCATTTCGTTACTCGGACTGTAACAAAGGATCGCATTATCAACCGACAAAACTTAAGGGGATATTCTGGTCTGGAAGGCCAATTTGTAAATCCACCTCGGGATTTTTTTCCATAAAAACTGTAAATACCAGAATACCCCTTTAAAGCCAGAAAGAGGTCGACCAATAAAATTCGACACCTTCATAGCTCCTCGCGAGCACAGATTTTTATTCCAAACAAAATACTAAAAACTAGAATCGCTATCCCTTTTACATGTACACGCGTGTATTGCATATAAGTATGTATAGAAATACGAAATATAATATCATCGCTCGTATTGCACGTAGATGACTAGAACTGAAATGTAACAATATTACGCATAACGTCCTTTGCCACTCTATTCAGCTGAAATTTATTTACAAAGAAAATTAGAATCTCGTCTGCTTGTTATCCCGGATGATCTCTTAGTTCATATTGTCCGTGGTCAAGGCGAGGGTGGTGAGGACCGATCGTCGATTCGGATTCACTCCCAGGTTCTCCCAATTGATCCACGATAAACGCGCTGTTAGATCTGTAAAAAAAAAATGAAGCGGCGTTAGATTTCGAATTAACAATTGAATTAAATTTCGACTAATTTACCAACCACTAGTGTTCCATTCGGCACGTTCCCCATTTATTTCTCCTCTAAGGCACCTCTCGACGTAAGTCAGCGGATCGAGTCTCGCAGCCAGCACCTCCCGAAGAAGAGCGATGTAGGCTATGGCCAGACGCAGCGTGTCGATCTTCGACAGCCTCTTCTCGTATGGGAACGTTGGTACGTGAACTCGAAGCTCGTCGAAAGCCGAGTTGATGCTGCTAAAAATCGTAATCGAACTGACAATCCGCTACTAGTTCTACTTAGAACTAACACGCTTTGCGGTATCAGAACGGTTTCGTCGGTGACGCATTATTATGTTTCTTTTACTCTGATATAAAGTTGTGAGTATACCTTCATAGGATCGAAATCAAAATGGACTTAAGGGACCAAAGTATATTTTTATAATTCAAAACAAATTAATGACGGATTTGTTAACTTTTCTTGTCCATTTCTAACGCAATTAAAAGTAAATGCCATTTTTTGCCTACGGTATAATGAGCCACTGACTTTCATGGAACTTTCAATGCGAGTAATTCCTCACCTCAGCATACGTTTCCTTTCGCGTATGTTGGCAGCGTGTCGTTGGATTCTGTAAGGGCTGCCATTTGGATAATAACCCTCCTCCACGCCATTCATATCCGTGTCGTTGTGATCTATGATACGAATCAAGATATTAATCCAATGTGTTCGATCTTTTGCCTTAGTTTTGGTCAAAGTTTGTACGGAATTCATGCAATTGTTGCCGTGTTCCTTCTAAATTAATTTATTTATCGGAAAGCAGAAACCTTGATTCTAAATAGTTGAACTGTACAAAAGAACATCTAGACGCATCAAGAACTGTACGTCGGATACCATTGACAATTAAAAAATAAAACAATTTTCAAAATTTGACTTTAATGAATGACATAAAAGGAAAGAAACTCTTCTTTGTGTTAAATGTGCGGTTTATTATTTGATGTCGAATACGATGAGACGCTTTTAATTTCATATTAGCTTTAAGATCATTCTGACGAGCCTTTCCAGTCATTAACGAGACAAGTTAATTTCTCTAGGATAAATTCTACTCTAGGCTGAAGGTTGACAAACTGTTATGGATCACGTTGAAATTACCGGGCGTGGAAACTGGCATATGATAGTGCAGGGGCGAATGGGTGTGTGAAGACGCGTGGGCGACATGTTGAGCGGATCTGCCCGCGTAAACGCAAGATGGTAGCTCTGCTAGATCTTCCTCGCTAATGTCGCTGCTCGGACCCACGTAATATTGACTACTGAAACAGATAATCCTCCATTAATGGAGAAATCTAAAATAGCGGGACGCGGGAAACGTGTAATAACATTGGACTCTTATCCTTTTAACACGTTCACTATCACGATGTTCACCGGTGACCGGCACTTGAAACTGAACCTTGAGGAATCTCATCAACGGAAGGTAATTCTTGAAGAAAAATAGAAACGGAAAGCAGAAACCTTGATCCTAAATAATTGAACTGTACAAAAGAACATCTAGACGCATCAAGAACTGTACATCAGATACTATTGACAATTAAAAAATAAAACAATTTTCAAAACTTGATTTTAACGAATAACATAAAAGGAAAGAAACTCTTCTCGACTCCATCGGTCGAACGCGTTTCCACGTTAAGAAAGGTGAATCATTGAGTTAAGGTTGAATCGTTAAATTATATGGCACAATAAATGGCCAATCCATTTTATAATACAACAGTATAATAGTACAAGTTGGATAAGTATTCAAAAATTTTGAACTTGTAATAGCATCAAGTCCGACGGCGAAATGAGATAACATATAACTTTTCTATGTTTCAACCGATTCTATTAAACAGCTGCTATCGAAGCTCTTAACACTCCCAAGTCTATTAAGATATTCAAGCTGTAAGTTAAAATCTGTATAAGAAGCAAAACAACTTGGCAGTGTAAAGAATAGAAGTCTAATTGTTCTGTGTTTACCAGAATGGTTTAAAAAATATCATACTTTACTACTAACGTTCTACTGTATAATGTTACTTGGCTATTATCCATTGATATTGTACATCGACCGTATTAAGCGACATTTAGCAACGCGAATACTTTGTTCTGGACTCGATAAGGCTTCCAAGAGTCCTAAGCTTCGAATCCTCATAGTTTAAAAAAACATCCAACGATTTCAATGCTGAAACTCGAACAGCCAGTCGTACCTGGTACAGGCCACGGTGGAGTCAGCAGCTCTAGAGGCGGTTCCCACCCTGTGTCGCATCCTCTGACCCCCTCTGTCCTCGTACTCGTAAGCGGAATGAGTCGCCATGGCTCCTGTCTTCTCTTCACCAGCTCATCAATCACTACACTTATGCCTCGAGCAGAGGCCCCCCGAGTCGATCGACCCGAAACCTTCGAAGAACCAACTGAAAGCTAGTTAGCCCTCCAAAGGAAGATCTTCTTTGGGCGTCCTATTCCCCGATTCACTTAACCGTCACTGAAATGAACCCTGTAACTTAGAAACGACCTTGACTCGGACGTTCCTCGACTACGGAGCTAACTTTTCAGAGTCCCCAGAGACACGAACCGTCTGATGGGGCGGCAGGATTGAGATCGAGGGATCCACGGAACAGCAACGATTCCGACTATCGCCCGTGTCCCCGGGGAGACCTGTTTATATAGCGAGGGCGAACAACCCGCGTAGGGGATGATCGATGCAACCCCTGGGCGGAGAATTCCGTCCAATCGCCACTGCGCCAGGGTGCGACCGACCGTCGGCCTTCTCAGCGATTGGCGCGGCGAGTTAATAGCCGTGCGCTTTATCGCCGTAGAGAGTCCTGCGGTTCATTGTTACTGCCAGGCGGAAATTTTATTTCCGTCGTTTTCCAACCCTCGCCCACGCAACTCTTCGTCCTCGTGCTCGGGGTAAAACTGTCCAGGGTGGGGATGGAGTTTCAATTTGGCGGCAGTCGGACCAACGAGAATCGTCCTGGAATTCTTTCGAACGCGGAGGACCGATTCCGGTCTCTTCTTCGACTCTTATATTCGATTAGGGCACGGTTGGCGGTCGACAACGCGCCTTCAGAAGCGGCACGTTTAGTCTATAATACCGATTAGACAGATATAAAACAAAAGACCTTCGGAGAAAATGTTTAGATCCGAATAAATATTAAAGTCTGCAAGTCTGTTAATTTTCCACGTACGTAATTTTAAATCTTCGAAGCGTGTAAAAGCTATCCGATCATCGTGTAATTACAGTGTGACCGTATGTAATTTTGTCGCGGCGAACGATAGAGAACGTAATAATGTAAATTGTATTTTGACGATACGTTATATTATCTGTTTCACGGGTGTAAATTGAGATTGATTTTATTCGAATCACCGCGGGTGAAAGTAGGTTTTTTATAGATATCTGCCAATCAAGTGTGACGTCGATTAACGTAAAAAGTCCTCGTACGGATAGCAATCGTTCTAAGTATAACATTTAAATACGATATTCGATTTACGATCCGTCCGTTTAATATTCTTAAATATAATCTACTGTATATTAAATATGATTCGTACAGTGGAAAGTTTCCTCGTTCGAACCATCGCCTAAACATCAACACGAAAGGGTAACTTCGATTTGAAAAAGGTTGTGGCGCACAAGGTTAAATTTCGACCAAATCGTGCATGCGATTGGTGGAAGCGTGACAGCCTGAGAAAGAGTGTGCCGTGGACGATCGAGAGGAAGCAAACCGCGGAACAGCATCCCCTTTTATCAGCTATCGAGGCTTCCCAGAGAGATATGAATGGGCCAATATTCAAATGAGACGTGTTTAGCGGGCGCACAATGAGAAACGCGGCAGCGTCGGTGGCGATGCAATTATGCAAGGTGTTAATACGATCACAATGGCGGTGGTTCGGTAGGGTTGTACCAAGTAAATCGGCAAAGTTTTGTCGCGGCCCGCCCGTAGGAAACGAGTTGTAGGCCGTAGACAGGAGTACCGGCTCGTTTCTGAACCGGATTACTATTGTCGACCGCCGATACGTCCGTGCACATAATTGGGATTAGCTCCCGGAACGTATGAGAACACGCCGTCAAACGTAGGATCTTGAGCTGCTTTTCACGAGCAATTTGCATATTCCGATGTTATCCGCCGGGTGAAATTGAATTTGATCGAGCGGTGTACTTTCGAACAGTAGAATCCAGTCATCGACAACGAGTTTCCAATAAGAGCGGTGGAACTTTTAACTGAAATAAAACGAAAACTTAAAGTTATTAATCCTTGTTTATTTTAGGTAAAATAATTCGTCCTCAAAGGAGACGAACGAGCGATCTGGGAAAATTGTACTCGTTTTAGAAAGAGCCATCGATAAACATCTTCAGGCATCGTTTTTGAAAGATGGATGCGGACCAGATGCGACCTGGAGTATCAGTTTTATGAGTATCATTTTGCAAGCGTTTCGGAGCGTGCCGTTTCGAGTGTCGGCGTAGCAAATTTCAAGAGAGCATTGTGCCCCCGCAAAACGATTATTTATCTCAATTTGTCACGTACCCGGGGGAGATTGTTGGCCAACCGAGATCCGCTATTTCTCCATCCTCGTTTACGCAATGGTTCATCCATATGTATGTGAATTTGATGCGAACCAATCGTGGCAAACTGTCTTAAAAATTATTCCTGTTGTTCAGAGTTGAAAATAAAGTTCTTTCCACGGTTATCGGATCCACGGTAATGTATCTCTTAAGCGCAACTTTGACTTGACAAATTTTTGCTTACAATTAATAAGAGAGATATTTAGCCGAACCCTGTTGCATATAATATTCATATTTCTCCAGAACAAAATCGTACTGGATGCTAACAGGATAATTTAACCAACAGAAGCTTCTCAATACATTTCAATTGAGTAAAGCATTGTATAATCTTGTCTTTTTGTTCCTGACTGTATAAATGATGTGGCGGTGGGGAGGTGTTCTCGGATGGATAGCGAATTGAAAAAAAAAAATAGAAAAGGTTCAGTTACGGGACAGTTGAAAGACAGAAGTGGACCATGCAGTTCCTCGAGTTTACTTTTCCCAAACCGCAGTTCAAACAGATCCGCGGCGTGGAAGGCGCCAGATCTGGTGAAAACCGCTGTTCCTCGTCAGCATATTTGACCAATAAATAATTTAGCAAACAAATTGATCCCCAGGGACTATAAACAGATACTTAGAGGCACGCGGCAATCCCTGTTGAACGACCAGGGAATCTACTGACCTATCATCCACGACGGACATCCAATGGTTCGATTGGACAATATATGAACGATCGAACATGAGACCCCTACTGTGAGAACCGAAGTGGGGCCCGCGGCGTGAAATCTCTATTATCGAGGGGTTGGAACGGTACCCCGTTGTTCCGCGGTGCTTGTACGTGTATCTGGACGAAACTGGTGCTGACAGGGTCCACCCTTCTTGCTACCCTCGGAAATAATGTAATCGCGAATTAAATGTTTGCTCGGATATCCGCGATCCCTTTGCTGTTTCTTCCACCAAACCGACGGAAGAGGGAATCGTCTCGATTAATTTTTTTCAGCCTCTTCAGCCTTTCTGTAATGCACGGATTTTCGAAATTAGTTCTCAAGAGGTCAACCGTGAAAAAATGAATAATCTTAAAAAATAACTTACGTTACAGATACTCCTTGATTGTACTTTGAAACAAGTCAATAAATTTCGCGTGATTCTGTACGGAAAGCAATAGCTGGTTTTTAATTGTAAAAATTATAATTTTAGGTAGGTTGTTAAGGCCCCGCCGGGAGGAAATACCGTCAATTAGAATCCCTTTAAGCGTCCATAGGTGGTGGACTAGTCCGAGATGAAATATGCGGAGCGATGCAATTGACGTTCACCGCCACAAACTGTGTGCAACGACGCGACACTGAATTGCGGCCAATCGACGGTCCGACGTTGAAAAGAGTCCGGGGTGGAGAGAGAAAGTGGCCCCGGACAAAGAGAGCACCGAGGGGTCACGGGAGATGAATGACACGAAAAGAAAAATCACGTGGGAGGAGGATTAGCGGAAAAAGCGGGGCAAAAGACGAAATAAGGAAATCTATACTCTTAAACAGTAAATAATGTTTATCCTCCCACTGTGTTTCCATTTGTTCTAACTAGAGAACGAATGCGTGTTTGGGAGAAACAATTTTTCTATACGTATAGCGCTACTAAAGTTAATTAGATAAATTAAGATAAGGTGGGGAAGAGTATAACAAAGTAAACTCAATTGAACCTTTTCGTTTCAGTTCGTCGCCTGGGACGAGAGAGAGAGACTTCCAAGCGACTCTTCCCGGCGAAAAAGACCGAGAGTTCAAAGAGGAGACTTCTGCGTTTTGGGCCCCCCTTGCTTTCTGGCACTTACGAGTGCCCCGAAGTCGTCCCACCGGCAGCCACGTGCCGACGTGTGCCAGGACCCCTTTGTCACGAGCTCTCGGTCTCTTCGTCGCCCCAAGGAGGGGAGGATCGTCGAGGTTCTACGTGCAAGGACACGTGTACCAAATAGGCTTGGTGGCCCAAAGCCTGTTTGCCTCGGCCGTGGGCCACCAAAGTCCTGACGGTCGGGGGTACGATGGATCGTGCGGTTCTTGAGCTGTGCTCGATTGGAGGGATCAAAGACAGAACGGAAATTGAAATGTGTAACGGGTACAGGGTCAGAGGCACAGGTAAAATGTACCACAGGTCCCCTTTGCTCGAAGAAAGTATTTAGTGACATTATTTTAAGATCATTGTTGAAGTAGCAATTTCGCTTTTAAACATATTGAAATTAACAGTATTGTGTTTTTCGGTCCGATTGACGTTCGTTCGAGAATTTTTTCCGTCGAAAAATTCACTTTCCGCACGCTCGTCGCCACCGGTGAAGCCGTCGAGCGGAAACGTCGATTCCTAGGCGAGAATTATCGGCGTTCACCTTCGGCGATAGCGAGTCGTTGATTGGCACGTTAGATATATGGTTCGTTACGACAGGGTGTTGCGAAAAAAGGTGGAGCGGCGGTCAGGATGTCGGGAAAGACAGACGTGAAAGGCAGAAGCGCGCGTCAGCGAAGAAATGAAAATCGGTAATAGATGTGGACGTTTGGACTAATTAAGCTTCGTTTCGGCTTCGGCAGTGTGTGCGCGTGCAGCGAGAAAAGAGAATAGTAGAAATTTCACCGATTAAAAGCGAATTTCTGTCATGGACAGGAAAAGGAAAGAGAGAAAACAGAGCGAAACGGTTGCATTTAGAAAACTATACCCTGTATACGATATCTACATAAGTTCTAAATCTGTATTACTACAGTAGAATTCCGATTATCCGGCACCCGGCATATTTACCC